GTTCGTTGAATTTTATGAGTTTTCCTTCTTTTAACTAATGGCCCTATTAGCATCTCTTAGACAATAATTTAATATCTCCGCGCGCCCCTCGGCAGAACGTTTTGCAAATGTCGACTTATTTTTTCTACATTTAGGTAATTTTAATTGAGATGGTGGTGCATTTTTTCAACTGTTCTCGAAGTCTATTATAGTACCTATAGATATATATTCTCGGAAAGATTTATCGGGTTCGATCATTTTAATCGTGAAATTAGAATTTCGTTTTAATTAGAAATATTATAAAGTTTTCATATTTTTATACTAAAATGTATTTTCACCAAAGCTCTTTATTTATTAAATAACTGTGCGAGTAATATTATACATTTTATATATGCTGAATAATTGACGGGATTTGTATCGGACAAAATCGAAATAGACGTTAAAATTTAATTACGATTTTGGGAACACCTGTCTCATTCTGTCTGTAGTCTGATTTTAATCTTGGAGACAAAATTATATAAATAACAAGTTTTAAAATAATATTACCAGCTGTAGTCTGTATGTGTAGTATTTTTTTTAATTTCCTCTACATATTTTTATAATTCTCATACGAAGTGTTTCCATATCTGTGCGATATTGTTGTTATTGAATTGTGGATTCTGTACATATAGTATATCATCATCTGCTTCTTCCTGATTCCAATTATATGAGGTCGGCGTAATATGTTTTTCTCTTCCATTCATCCTTGTAGATATAGTACATATTTAATTTAAATATTTTTTTTTTCATTCTGCTTATTATTTTAAATAAGTGTATGTTTTTGTACTATAATACAAGACCATGGGTAGGCGAGAGGCATTTAATACTTGTTTTAGTGAAATATATTAAGAAAAATCTATTTTGGTTCAACAATGTATAATTTTCTAGAGATTATTCCATAGACTGTAGAAGTTAGAAATGCAAAATAGTTATATGCATATATATGGTCGGACAGTATAGACACATGTATGTATATGCATCAGTATATTTCAACCCACTTGATGACAAATCGGTGCTTAAACCGCAATGTCTGCGTGAATGAGCCTCACCCCAAGTAATAAGACTGCCCTTCCTTTGCACAGCTCTTTAACTATGTAATATAGAAGGAAATTATATGGAGAAGTCAAATCTTACACAACAGTATTCTTTTGTTGTATTTTTTTATTTCTATTTTGTATTCTATGTGCTAAATAGAAATAGAATAGCTAAAGATTCAAATTTATTTATTATAATATAATTAATTTATTTTAATATGTTATTCCACAGTAATAACATCGATAATAATATAACAATGCTGAATTTTTAACTGATAATATCCAAAAGGACGCACAACTCTTAACTTTTGATTAAATGGATGTATGTACCCTTGGGACACCATAATATTTTTGTATATTTGAGGATTAAATATGACAGATGATATTTATGTTTAATTATGAACAATAATCGTATCGTATTCGTTATTATCATGGTGTTGGATATTAAATAAATGGATAAAATACGAATTACTAATAAATAGGCACACGCATATGTAACTATTTATTATAGAACAGTTATATGATGTTGGGCATTATAAAAACATAATAAATGTTTTCTTTCTAAAGGTTATATTGATAAAAAAAAAATTATTACCATCAGACCCGGCTGATATCGTCCTGCCCGGAAAGGTAGTGTATGCAAATATACATAATTGTTTGCCTAAAATATATAAAAACTTTTTAGAAGACATGTCCAGTATTCTTTTCGTTACTTAAGCTGCTATACAGCAGGCAAAATAAGAAGTAAATATTTTGTAGCAAATAAAAATATATTTTACTTTAAGTAAAATACGAACTGTGCAATGGCATAGCCTAAGACGGGAAAGAAGTTCAAATAATTATATTACGCGCCAGGAGTTAAAGGGGCCGGGGAGAGTCGAGACATTGGCGTGCTTGCAATATAAATTATGTTTCTCAAGATATGAGAAATGTTTACCGTTATCGTTAAAAGTTAAACTTTTATAATCTTAAATAAGAATCAGCTTCGTCAACAGTAGGTATATAGCAAGCTAAAATATTTCCTCATAGCAATTAATTATAGCAATTAAGTTACTCACACTCACTATCTCTAATAATACAACTAAGTGTACTCATATATTTAGTTGTATTATTACATTTTAGTTATATAGTCCTGTACTTACGTATAGTCCACTAAGTACTTTATTGAAAACTCTCAATTGAATTGCTATTAAATTGATAAACTTAATGAGAGACAAGAGATTTTTTTCCTAAATTTTGTTTATTGAAAACTCTCAATTGAATTGGTCCGGTCTCCGACTGGTCTGTTACTATTGACTGTACAAACCCAATATTAATTAAAAAATCACGTTGATTAAATAATGTCAAAAAAAATACCTGACGATAATATTGTAAGGCGAAGTAAAAAGTATAAAACAAAGTAAATATTGTTATATATGAAGAAATGTTCGCCCCAATACGCAAATCCACTCACACATTGTTAATCTGAATACTATAATGGATTGAAATCTCCATATATACTAATGTGAAAACGTGAATTTTTCTCACTTGTTCCCTAATTGAATTCGCTTTTAGATCACTTTTAATTTATTTGCGCACGCTTACCCCCTTTGATGTCAGCACACGCTCCCAGGCTTTTAGATAAATAACCAATTATCTCGATACGGTTTAATCCGACAACAACCCTGGCATGTGATCTGTTTATAATGTGAATTTAAGCTTTATAAGAGTTTATTTTATTTTAACTTTATTATAAATGTCATAGTAACTGAGAACGTAAATGCTTGGTTCGTCAATAAGGATTATTTTTTGTAATATCTATCTACTATATCATTAACTTATTGTTATCAATATTAGCGATTTGTAATTTAATATTCAGATCATAGAATACTGTGTAACTAATCATTCATATTTTTATGATACTGAAATGGTAAACATGCCCAGGGGTGATGATATATTGTAATTATAAATAACAAATACATAACTCTGGACAATTAATACAGCGCCATCTAGTCCCACGATAAACAGAGCTTATGTTGTGGGTATTGAACAACTAATATAAATACTTAGATACTTTTTTTAATAAATGCATAAAATACATACAAAACATCCAAACCGATACAAACAATCGTACTCGTGAAAACAAATGTTTACACCGTGCGAGGAATCGAATCTGCGACCATCGGAAGTAAAGCGGTGTGTTAAACTGCTAGACCACCGAGGTCGATAATTGTCGCTTGAATATATTGCCTCGCTGAAATGTATGTATATACATTTCAGCGAGGCAATATATTCAAATAATCTTTTCAAAGTCTAAATTTCGATAAATGTAATTAATAACGTTATTCCACATGCCATAGGTAGGTACTCTCACGTTATAAAAGCAAGTTTTAAGCACCGATATTGCTGCAGTGAAGATCTGATAGCTTCTGCTTATACAACATTGGTACAGAATACCTAGACATCTGCTGTGAAATTATGAGTTATTGCACGGAAGTTATTTGCGGATAAAATATCAATGCATGAAGTAATTGAAATCGTATTTCAAATTTATCTTTTTACCTACACTTGCCTAAATGTATAGCTACATTATCTTTTTCAAATAGTTAAAAAAGCACAGAATTGTTTCTGATACCGTAACATGATTTTATTTTTGTAACGCTTTATATCACATATTCAATTAAGCATTGTTCTAAAAGTAACATTTAGACTTGAAATAGATAAATAACTTCCAGTAACATACTGATTACTGGTATACCATAAAAAGTTTAGTGAAAAACCTTTAAATGATTATTTTATGAAACAATAAATTTCTAAATATATATATATATATATATATATATATATATATATATTATGATTATTTTAACTAAATAATATATATAATACATTAGCATGTATGCTACATTGGCCTTACATTGCGCTGAGCTCAAATTCTTAGTGCAAAAATAAAACTTCTAATTATAACAGAAGTAAAGAAATTATATTCAACATCCATTTAAACAATTTACTAGATTCAGACCCTCAAATTTAATGACTCGCCTCTATTTTGTACGGGTATAATTATTGTAAGCATTTCTATTTTTTAATAAAACTTAAGTCGTGTACTGATTGATATTGTAGCTTTCAATGAGTTAAAAAATTGATCCAGTTTTTTATTTATTTATTCATTGTAAACTGACGTACGATAAAATATTTTTTTTATGATATTAATTTATTTAAATCACACATGTATAATAGTTGTTACTAAAAATTCTAGAATTAATATAGGTACATATATTTGCAACAAGTCTATATACATACCTACATACTTCATAGTGTCAACAACACGAAACTATTTCCATTTTGGTTTAACGTAGATAAATACATTGTGCAGATAGCTATGGGGTATAAGTAAAGGTAAATATGTGGAGATTCACATTGGGGTGTGATCACATCAGAGCGCTTAATAGGTTAAGCGATTACGCCGACAGCGAGGTGTGCCTCCACTAACCCAATTTGTACAAAGCGACCATGTAAACATACGTATACTGTGACGGTTCACAGATTTATGTTAGTATTTTTTTAATGAAGAAATATGATTGGTTCTAGCCTGCGCTAACATACCGATACAGTGGCTGAGCACCAATAAACAGCGAAGACTAGTCAGTTCGTATATGGTAGCCAATTCACAGGGAATGAATCACGATGATGTCCAAAGTGGATTATTCATTGTTGACGTTCCATCAAAGTCAAAGGCGATGGATACCATAGATATATGGTAAATAAGCGACAAGCTTATTATGGATATACTTAATTATTGTGAGAATCTGAAGGTACTTAACTAATTAAAAAACGCTCTTTGTCAGATTATTATAAAAATATACACATATATTACCATTAAAATTAGGTGTAAAACCTACATCATATACAGGCATAAATTTTCCATTAATATATATAAAATTATATTGTAACTTATCCAAATTTCAGCGGTGTGGAGGCCGGGCGCGCCGACACCGCCGCCCGCGCCAGCGCCGAGCGCTGCGTGCAGCCCCGGCGCTCCGCCGCCGCCGCCACCTCCGCCCGTGTGGACACCGGGCAGTGCTGGACCCTCACCCCTGTCAGCACGCAAGACTTTCCGCCCAGTGCACTTTGAAGAGACCCCACCTACTCGCCGTAAATTTATTGTAAGTATGAAACGTTAATAATCCGTACTTCTTCTTGTTTTAGTCTAGTTAAGTCGGCCGAACTGCGGATTGGAGATCTGGACGACTCGGTGATGGTGGCCGACGTGGTCGTAGCCGTGATGCTTGAGAATTGCCTGGAATCCTCGGTGAAAACCGGGGAAATCCGGTTCTAAACTGTCTAAGGGCCGAAAACAGGTTTTCCTAGCATAGATTCCGTACCATTCTCTAATATTATAATCATCTTGTAAATAGAATATATCATATTTATTATATTTACAAGATGTTTATGTTTAAAAAAAATGAAAATTAAATAAATTGTGAATGAATACTAATAATGGAACGGATAAAAAAAAATAAAAAAAATTTTATTATTAAAAATTAAAATAGATATTTATTATTTAGTAGGTAGGTTTAGTAGGTACCTAGGACCTAATTTATGTTAATTTCGTTATTTTAGTGCCAATTTGCCTTTATGGCAGTGTAGTGATTTTTAATGGAAGTCGGATAAGTAGAAAATAAAAATAGATTGTAACCATCACACAAAATGAGTATGGAAAAAATTCAATTAGGTATAATGAAGTCTTTAGTTTTAAATTATAATTAGTCTTTGAAGATATTTTTCATTCTGTCTTATTTTGTCTATTAAAAAGTAGGTATTTCCAAAATGGTGCCTTTATGACTCGTTTTTTTATCTCCACCTACATAACACAGCCCGTATAGGTATTAAATACGTTTTCAATTATTTTTTTTAATGAAAACTGAAGTATACTCAATATTACATAAGTAAGTTATATTGTAAACTATAACTTAATATAGAAAAAATACGCTACACTTATTTGGAGCGGACGAAATGTTCTGTATCTATTTGTTTATATTAGGTACTTAATTAGGGCCATAAAACTAGTTGCACGACCATACTTTCTTTAACGAATTCACGTGTAAACCTCTGCTTGCATAATTAATGCATGCATTAGTTTCATGAATGCAACTTTTTCATGTAAAATAACCATAATTTTGAGTTCCATGAAACTAATTTACATTATTACAAAAGTAGTTAATTCTATGCAATGTTAGTTGCATAGAATTAACTACTTTTGTATATATATAAAGTGGTAATTTAAATTAATACACAAAATTTTTGGTATCGTTCTTACAGATCGTAAATCACTTCTCTAGAAATTAAAATATCATCCAGTATTTAAAAAACCATGAACAAACTTGCTGTGGAATCACCTTTCAGCAATGGTATTTTCAAACCAATATTACACTACTACTACAATATTGAAAACTTCAAAAGAAATTTTTAATGCCTCCTTAAAACAGATAGCGTACATTGGTAGCAGGCATTACTTATCATTAGGTATGCCGTAAGCTCCTTTGTCAACGCGACGCTCTTCATGTAATTGTACTAGTTAATCAGAACTGTGGTCACAATATGAAGGAGGATTGATTTATTCTTTAACTACATGTATTAGAACCATGAATGCAAATTATTTCTTCTTTAGCTATGCCAGAAAGCGTTGTAGTGGTTTACTAACCGCCTTCGGTTCCAAAAGTCGTGAATTCGAAAATGAATTGTGGGGATGTCAAATAAAGTCAAGAAGACATCAAATTCGTTTTACTATTTAAGTATTTATTAAAATTTCAGAACACGGATCAGAACGGTTGCACGAGTGGTTCAGAGAGCGAAGGACGGTTGCGTACCTCACAGAGTGCCCCCGCTACCGGACTGAGCACTCTGGGGGGAACGACCCTCAGTAGCAGACTACCTAGGGCACAGAATCCTACAGTTACTCTCCTACAGAAGGCCAGAGGTGAGTTTTATAATTAATATTTTTTAGGTAACAGCCTATTAAAGCAAGTGTATGGGACGTACTAATGTTATAAATAGAGGTAAAACTGTGTCTGTCAATCAGTCTGTTTGTACATTTTCACGACTAAACGGCTGAAAACAAGATGCTTTCGGCCGTTAAATAAAATTAGACGTAAAAAATAGATTATATCACTAACATAGGCCATAGTTTATTTTAAAAAAAGCAGATGATGTTGCGGGAAATTATATCATTGTGTTCTACTTTTATTTTATCTTTTTCAATATGACTACATTTCGCTCATCATACAGTAGTGCGTGGGGACAACTACGAAATATACTTTTCTATTTTTAATTACAATACTGACAATACAAATTATCCTTATCTTTAAATACTTATACTATAACTCTTGAATTCATTGGAGTTCCTTTTTCTGTAGTAAAACAAATGTCCCAAAAATAGAACCTAATTCTAGAACAAACTATTAGTTTATTCTAGAATTAGGTTCTATTTTTGTAGACCATAATAATTCACTATCAGATTAAACCGAAACAGTTCGGCATTCTTTGTTGATACACGTACACTTCCGCATGCAAGTGATATATTGGGCAATATTCAACGCAAATATTACGAAAAAACTCCCGCGCTAATAATCCTTAATATAGAAGAATCTGCAGTATATGATATGCGTGGGGCAAAATAAGCAGGTATCTATTCAAAATTGTATATGCACATAGCTGTTTCCTACTGCGGTCCCATTAATTTGTAACTTCATATAACCTTCTCACGTCTTCCCTGTGACATGTTATTACACGTACATAGCTATTCGTTATCGTCACCATTTAGATAAAAACATTGCATGTTAAATTACTTCTTATATTACACAATTTTCTTGACGTGAGATTAACCCGACTTTTAAGACTTCTGAGAAAATATTCACTTGGTAATTTATTCCAGTGGCACACTGCGGGAATGACGCCTAATTGCCGACAAACTTTCATTAATTGGCTTACGCATAGCAACTCGCACCCCCTCATTGCAAATTGTCTTAAAAACCGATAATTGCCCTCCATTGTCTCATTCAAAAGGATTTACAAAAGTTCTTGAACGAAACATAAAATTCTGTAACCTTTTGCCATGAAGATTTAAGGAACAAATCTACTTTTTCTAAATTAATAACCTATTTTGAAGGATTGTCTAAACGAACATTATTTTTAAAAAATCATTTTTATTCCATATATTGTTCAGATTCGGAAAATGAACTTTTATTAATATATATAGTTTTTACTGAAATTTACTTTGTCATGCCGTTCAAAGGTGGGAAATTGCTGTGAAATTACAAGATACGACAACATTACAACTAACTTCGAAACGTCAATGCTTGAAGTGTGTATGCCATGGACGTGATAACGTGATGTCCGTGATGCCTTTCATGTACCTATATGATGGCTATCACTCATCATCAGATGGGCCATCATATAAAAATATACGTAGGTTACTGCAATTAAAATATAATAACCACTTTAATTCGAGAAGCGCCGATGTTTTATGTACCAGTATTTGTCTACACGAACTATCCACTAACGATTTATTTGTATCTAGTAGTGTTCAACTACTAGATACTGAAAGAGTAAAATAGTTATATAACAATTCTGTAAGCGTTTCTTATTTTTTGTATAAAGATAAAAAATATACGGATACGCATTATAGATTCAAGAAATTATATTATCGAATTTAGAAGTTTGTAAATACCTTAGGAATTTGTAGCGACCGCAATTCAGGTAAACGTGGCAAAAAGATATGTCGCATAATGAAGGATCTGACGAGGGTCGATGCCATTATTATTAAAGTTTAACGAGTGGAGATGACAGTAAATGGATTGCTTATTGACCACGAATTTTCAAAACAAATAACACTTTGATAAACATAGATGATCAATTATCGGGAAACTTGACATTCAGACAAAAATACTTACTTTATTTTAAGATTAGATAAACACAGTTATAAATGTAAATATAATTCTACTGTTATATAAGTTAGTACATATTTGTGGTACCAATTATTTCCTTACACTATTATATAAACTACAAAACGGTACGTTTTGTACCTAGTGCTTAAAAAATTCGGTATAATATGTTTTCTCAAAAAAAAAAAAGGTCTAAGAATTACCCCATTAGTTTAGTCTCTTTTAGCTTATTTTTTACATAAGTTAAATCCGGCCTAATAATTAAAACATATGTTGTTGTTTAGTATCCATATTAATCTCTGCCTAATTTAGAACTAGATTAGACTATGTAAATTGTTGTTGTGTGTTGGTTTTATTATTGTATATATACTATTTATTTACGATATACTTAGGAAATTGTGACTGACATACACATAATGTTACTTGACTTCTTCCTATCATAACACCTTAACAATATGGTTGTCAATTATATCGTTAAGATGTTATAATAGCGTCTATTGCAAACATTATATTGTCCTCATTTTCATTTGTATATATACCACATTTATTAGATTATCTGTAATACAATTCAAAGATATCTAAAATCTAAATTAGATATAGAATATAGGGACACTTTTTATTACAGTCATCATCATAATAACTACTTATCACCTTATTTACTGAATACGTCTCTCTTCGTATAACAGCGTCATTGTATAACGCTATCTGCTTTCTAAAATATAAACTAATACCTATACTGTCTGTTAATTTTCAGAGGGACAAATACCACGAGGTTCTAGTTATCTTCAGCAAGAGAGGGACGGAGTGCGTCTACCTAGAGACAGGCCTTCTCCCCCCATAGGAGATCCCGGTAATACTAATTATATTTCAAAACACAAACTTTAGTGAAATTTTTGTCAGAAAAATTGACAATAAAATGGTAAAAAGGTTTTATAAATGAGAAGATAACTTGAAGTTTCTAGCATACGCCAGAGATGAACATACAGTATATGCTATCTACACTATGCCATTATTTTACAACTCAACTCAATGTTTTTTATTATACACTATATCCTAAAAAAAAGTAATGTGTAGATTAATAAGGCTAGTAAAAACTAATAACATACCTACTCAACATCGTGAAGTTGTAGGAATAAGTTAAGAATTAATAGAAATTCAACACATGGATTAGAAGGAAAATATAATAAATAATATGAAATTAAATTTAATGATGATAATATAATTTATTTTTATTGAATTATCTGTAACATTGGTCATGATTTCAGTGCATGCGCTACGTCAGGGCTACGTTAGTGAAGGCGAGGCCGAGCGGAGTAGCTACGATCGCGGCGCGCGTAAAATGGCAGATGTTCCAAGAAAAGTAGAGGGAATTGGACCCACGACCAAAGACGGAATGCCTGTAGCACTTAGATCAGTAAGTAAAGTCTATTAAAGCCACAAAATATTAGACATAAACTCCTTCACAAAAATGTACTAGCAATAGTTTTCGCGGAATCTATTACTTGTCATGTAGAATATGACGAGGCAAAGAACCAGACGGCCCAGTTGATGGTAAGCACTAACTGTCGCCTATATAGGTCCATGAACAGCATAACGGATATTACGTTATCTTATGACACCACATACGCATCGCTATTCTTGATAATTAAGCTGTCAAGGCTTTCATTGTTATTTCACTACCTAATCTCTCCCTGCAACCGAAATAAGATGCGTTTCGGTTGTAGGGAGAATGCAAACTGTGAAACTAAGGCTATTTAATCCCACGTCGACGATTTTTTAAATATTGGATCGGGTTTTACCTTTTGAATGTCAAACTTTGTAGATATTTAAAGAAACCGTAATTTGATAATTATTTACGCGTATTTTGATAATTAATTCAATAAAATACCTACGTTAATATAATAATTTTGATTAGTTAAGGGGGTCTTCCTATGTGATGGGTTGAAAAAATAGTTTTTTTTTTTTCATAAATTGCTCCCTTAACATGTCTAGAATACGGTAGTAAAGCGATTTTAGAAAATTCGAAGTCGTTTTAAAGATACAGCAGGTAAAAGAAAGAGCGGTTCGGAGCGGTGAGTTGGCAGTTAGAGACCGGGCCTATTGTGTACCGTCGGCTTTATACCTGGCCTACATTTTATTAATATATTTGTTTATACAAGTTTAGACACGTTTCTACAGACTTAAACAGAAAAGGAGCAGGTAAACTTACTGATAAAGTTATCCAAGAAATTACAAAATTCTACGGATTAGCAATTCGACGCCATCCAGATTCGCTTGAAGATATGAGAAAGGAAGTTTGGGCAACGTACTATCACAAATGTTCTTCTGATGAAAACCCTCAGCATCAATTTTGTCCAGAAGGCGAAGACAGTTGGTGTAAATGGCGTAAGGCTGAAGCTAATAATGAACTGGACCAATTTCATCACGATAAACCACCTCTAATTCCGCAAGTCCAAGAAGCTATCAAACCGGTTTTCGAAGATTTATCGAAAGACGAATTATTAATTCGTTGTTTAGGAGCAGAGACACAAAACAATAACGAATCTTTGAATTCTTTGATTTGGACTTTCGCTCCTAAACATCTTCATTCTGGTCCCAAAGTTGTTGAAATTGCTAGCTACTTAGCAGTTATTATCTTTAATGAAGGTTTTCAAGGTATTTTAAAAGTTATGTCGATTATGGGATGCCCTGTTGGTCGTGAAGCCCAAGCGTATGTTGAGAAACGGGATGAAAAGCGAATCTTACGCTCTGAGCGGCGCGTAAGTGATGTCGTTAAACAAGCCAGGATTGACTCAAGAGCTGAACAATCTGCTTTAAAAGAGTTTCACGAGGAAGAGGAAGGAATACTCTATGGACCAGGCATCGCCGATTGAGAGTAAGTTGATATTTTAATAGTTTTTAACGGACTTGAAACTTTAAACGCGTTTTTCTCAAAACTGTGTTTTTCAAACTTTCCTCCATTGTATCTCAGAAACGGCTGGACCGAATTACTTGAAATTTACAGGGCACACTCAATATATTATAATACACACTAATAAACGCATGGAATGAACTATTATCAATCGAAAATTTTCAAAACTTCGATTTTTTTATAGCAAAAAACAAAAAAAAACGCCTAATTTGCAACTTTTATTTCAAATGTCGATCAAAAATCCAATTTTTTTTATATTCATTTGATTATAGGTCATTCCGTGCTTTTAAGCCTACAAATTAAAACGCCGTTTTTTTTTTTTTCAGATAAGCCGATCAGCCGAAATCGTGGAGGAAGTGGGAGCTCTTTTTTTCGAGGCGGGGGTGTTCAGAGCGCTGTAACTCTAGTTTGACTGAATATTTTTAGCTGAAATTTTATATTTATACTGTCCAAATATGTGTTAATAAATGATAAAAAACTTGAAGCTCTAAATATTTACTGGTCGTAGAAAAAAAATCCTAAAATATCCCTAAAAAACAGGCCGTCACATAGGAAGACCCCCTTAATAATAGTCACACAAAAAAGTATTAAATCACGTGTCATGCATTTTCAGAATTTGAACGTGATATGATATTATGAATAGATCTTTACAGACATAGCGCAAGTACTTATTTAAACTGTATGCTATGCTACATAAAATGAACTTCAATGTATAAGTATTTATTTGCGTTTTTTTCTTTTATTTCAGGAAGTTAAAGATCAATCGCGATGGTACAAAAAAATGTACGATACAATCCATAAAAATAAATACGACGGTAAGTACGATCAGTAAATTTTAAAATGTTACTTAGTTAAATAGAATAGTAAATCTATTCTAAAATAATTGTATAAGTATTATATTTGCTGATCACTCCCCAAAATATTTATACATTTTCTTTTTCAGACGATTATGTGACTATTCGATACAAAAATCGACGAGGTGATTATCGCACTTCAAAATATTTCATAATGGTGGCTGAATAACTCGACGTCATGCATTTTATATAGATATAACTACGCTTTCTCACTCGTTTTTCGTGTCCATTGTATAATACACAACTGCTGCTTTTTGTTGTTTAGAACTCAAAAACTAAATGCTCCATTTCAACTGATTGATCAACAAATTATAAGACAAATTATAGCTGTCACCATTTGTTTATACAAATTTCAGCTAAGATCATATCATACTCATATAACTAGCGTATACTAAAACTATTAATCTATTAGGTCAAAGTAGTTTCTTCCGATTGCGCATAGCTAATGCTTCTGGATATAATATTATTCTTAACATTTAATATCATTAATGTAATGATCAAATATAATCAGTATTAGTACATACATAAAAACCTCTTCTCGTAAAGTACTGATCCACTGATTTTGATTTCAAGATTGCAGTCTTTGTAGTAACTATTGCCTTTTACTGAAACATTAATATATAATAAATAAAAATTCAATATAATCAACATTTTAGTTTACTTCGAATATCCACTACGCTCCTTTTATAAATTTGAATACTCTTTGTAATTTTTTTAATGCAGAAAAGATATAATAACTTCTTTTAAAATAAAATGTAGTCGTGCCATCCATAACATTCACAGCGCTGTAAAATCATTGTGTGGTTCAACATCCAGAATATCTGATGTTTAACAGATTTTATTATGTGAAATTTTATATTTTTAGGTGAAGCCCCCCAGAGAGTGTCCAACAAATCACATTACGCATACTTCGATCCCCGATCTGGTTATCTCAGTGAGCCGGAAGGTGGTCTCAGTAGACTAGGATCTAGTACCTGGAGCGATGCATATGATAGTGACGTCACCACTGGTCCTAGAAGAAGAACAGCATCAGTACAGGAGGACAGAAGGCTTGATGATGTTAACTCGCCATATCTATCTAATAATAAGTAAGTTAAAATGTTAATTTTTGTAATCCACTTTTTGCACAAAGGTAGCATAAACAAGCAAGCATCGATGGTAAACGATTACTGTAGCCTATAGACAATTAAAATATCCCTTAAGAAACTTAACGTACCCTTCTATCATAGTCCTTTAAATGTAATATAAATATGACGACTGACGCCATTTTGTGATATTTAAAACTATTAGTTGAAATCATGCATTAATTTAGTTGCATCAGTGGGGAACAATGGCATAGTAGCCATTTTTAGTTCGAAAAACGGATTTAGATGGCGTTATTGGTATCGAATGGAATTCAACATTGTTTTGTAATCGTTTAAAACCCAAAACTATGTTTTTAAAAAGGTTTAATCTATTTTTAAAAAGTCATATATAGATGTTAAAATGAAATAATGCGTTTTGAAAAGTAATTTTCATATATTTACTCATTTTGTTGTTGCCCTGTATTTGTTTACAATTTAATCATTGCTAATTGGGGCTTATTGTTTCCAAAATACTTTCATAGATGGCGCTGTTTTCATTTGTATCATCGTATTTTAAATGTGTATTTTATATTTTCAAATAATAAGTACTTACTATATTATTATGATAAATTAAACATAAAAAAAGTTTAAGTAAATATAAAACAGCTAAACAAGAAAACCATATTATTCCAGTAATACTGATTTAGAACGTATTGCCATATAAAAAATAAATGCATAGATTTATCGATTTTTTCGAATAATCGATAACAGGATATTACAACGCATTATTCGATGGTGCTTTTAATTAGTCTTTGTAAACAGTAAAATTTCATCATTTTGTATTATACTCTTATTTGGAACGAATTGCATTGCATAATTTTTACTCGACGACGGCAAAATAGAGAGATTTTGACAGGTATGCAAGTACTATATATTTATCTGTTCGCTCATAACTTCGAAACTTGAAAAGGGAAATATTAATTAGATTGATCTGATACAAGTGTGCTCTATTATATCAACCTCCACGCGGTCACCCTGGTAATTATAGCAATTAATGACATTAGTAACATAGTTCTTCTATTAAAAAAAATAAATACCTACTTATTGTTATTTAATGAATGAGAATTGGATGTGGTATAGAGTATATAAGGTCAGCTATACCTTTATGAAACCTCAATAAACAAGTGTTATATGGTATCTAAATACTGACATTGATAGCTAAATATGAGGATCCTCGAATTTTTACAAATACTCATAAGAAACTTTACAAATACTCGAATTTTGCTTTTGTAGAAGGATATTTTCAACCTTACTAAATTGTACAAGGTTTTGAAACGATAATCATTCATAATACTATGATATATTACTGATCCTAGTACCTACTATTCATGATAATTAGTTTTTTAATATCTCCATTCGAGGGTAGGTTATTCATAATTTATATTATTAGATTTCATCACAAATAAAAATATCGATTTAAAATCGTAGGTTGGTCCATATTTTTTTATTATATCGAAATGACAACGAGTACTGGCAACATAAATGAAATGTTAAAAATATAAAATATAGGAATAAAAGAATAGGATAAACGACTTTAAGTCAAATGCTTAAAACATATTTTCACTAGCATTGGATTTTTTCTCTTTTTTCATCATTTAAGTTAAGTAGGTACTTCAACTTTTGAATTGTTCCTGTTCAGAGTTCATTGAACTTCTTATTTTTTTATCAAACTCAATAATTTAAATGTGTCTAAGAACTATTACAAATATTTAGTAAACTATCGTGTCTTTGAGGATTATCTCATACCAGGTATAACTATAAGTTGTTAAAAACTTGCATATGTATGCGTGTGTATCTTTCATATTAAAATATAATAAACATAGGTACTTGGTGACCGCTTTAATGTGGTATTATTATGTTTTTATTATTGTTATGAATGTAACTTCAAAAAACTAACACTGATTTTATAATTTTTGATTGATTGAGAAAATACTGAAAATTATTAATCAAAATAAAGTACTAAACAGTAGTATTATTTTTATATTTTATTAGAACTGAATGAATATGATGTATGAATAATATGTTTATTGTGCTAATAAGGTTACAGTTTAGTTACTTTCATGTAAATTCATTCATGTAAGTTCATGAAAATGTAACATAGGTATATGATATTGTTTTCAGATTTTCCTGACATCAACAACTTAATACTGAACAAAGTTTAAACAAATAAGAGATGATATTCTAAATCTCCTAGTCATTCAGATGAAGATAAATAACATTTTTACTGTAAAGATCAGGGGTTCAAAAGAATAAGAAATATATATGTATATATGAACATTTTACTGTATAAAATAATAATGCAAGTAAAAATAAGAGAAAAAAGCAGAAGAAAAATCTGTAAATTATTAATCACAATGCAATTAATAATATAATTAAATAAGTAAGAAAGCAATGGACTAGTGATGAGAAGAAATTCCAAGTAATTATATTATGTGTAACCGACTGCAAATAAGTTTATGATTTAAACACATGATTATTATTATATTGCTTCATCAACAAATCCAGGAATATTTTGTGTACCAGGAATTAATTATGAAATGATTTTGATGAAATATTATGTCTTGATATTGATTTATTTGGAATATAATATAAAAATAACAGAAGTGTTTGAAGTTTTAGTGGTATAACAGACAAGCAGTGAAAGAAATATTATTGTAAATTATTAACAATTGTTTATTCTGTGATTAATAAATTATTTAAAAGTGTTTTGTTACCTGAAATAAAAATTTTATGATCTTCAAGTGTTGTGTTCATGCAATGTTAGTTTCACCTCATTCGATTTAAAATGTCAGGAATTATTTACTACATAATGATTTTGTATTAGATGGTAATCATATATATTTTTTAATGCAATGTGTGTAATAATTCCCATTTACATCAAAAAACTTTGTGTAAATCTATATTTCTGTCTATAGACTTTGGTCGTGGAATACTAATAAGAAACTAAATCTAGAGACTGTAGTATATCACAGCATCCCAGAACCTTGTATTTAAGTCATATAAGGACTTAGTACCTACCTAATACTTGCTACTTTTTTAATCAATTAATTAATTTGATCTCAATCATCATGATGAACAATGATGATAATGTTGAGAATACTGCCAATGATGAATTTTATGGTGGTCATAAATAAATACCACCGTCACTATCGTCAACAGTCATTATTGATCTCATCATCATCACCGTTACCCTCCCTCATCCATATTGTCAAAAGTCACTACCTACTATTATTAACTGAAATGGTAAATAAGCTGACGATCCAACCAACCACGACGCTATCCGACGTACATACATACACATATATTATTAAACAGCATTACGTCATCATGTCGTGCCCGCTATATCCCGCATACGTTATCATTCCGGAGAACATAGATGTTATGTCCAAATATCCTGTAATTTCGCAGCTTAATTTCAACTGAATAACAACTTACATAAATACCAAAAAACTAGCAGTAAAGGCGTAGTTTGTAGATATCGAAGGTTCTACAAATAGGTATAACATCAAAATAAGTACCTACATGTCATTAGCACCGATGTAGTATCCCTGAAAGGACCTACATATAACAGATTGATGGTTTGCAGATATTATTTTCAGTTTTACAAATTGCCAGTTTACCATAATTAACTACATATTGAGAAATCATTATACACTGAAAATTATATGAGGTACCCATATGCACATCAATTAATTATAGCTAAAATCTATCACTATCACATAACAATTTAAATAAAAAAAACCGTATTAAAATCGGGCTATTCGTTAAGGAGCTATTGCTCCTTAACCGATAGCCCGATTTTAGTGCAGACGCGTTACGACATATCTTCGTCGGGAGAAAAAAAGTAGGCATGTAAAAAAGTAACTGTAACATAGTACATAGATACATAGGTACCTACATTAGCCGTGTCTGTAGACTGTCCGCGAACAATATTATACCTACATTGAATTTTCGATTGTACCCAATCAGGAGTTCGATACAGTTATATATCTATTATGTACGTATCTTTGCAAAACAGATGTCATATAGACCGAATTCTCTGCCATCTATTTTCATGCTTTATTACTAATCACCCACTAGTAATCCGAACTGCTTCAGATATAGCGACATCTATCGCCTACGGCGGCGAAATAAAATAGCCCGAAGAATAGCCCGAGTTAGGAAGGAACCATTTTCTTGTATGGGATGGGGTATCTGTATGTAATATTATATTATCTGTGGTTGCATAGTGTAAAAAATCCTAATCGCTGAACTGTAACTGTAGAGGTATAAAAAATCGTCTATCTTAGTTTCACCTATTTCAAGCGTCAAGCAGCTTGCTTTCTAAGCTGTGTTTCTATTCTAGAGTTACAGATTAGGCAGTAAAATTAAAGGATAAGAGACACGACATCTTAGTCCTCTAAAATGTTAATGTATGAGAGATAGGTACCGTGGATGTCATATTATAACGTGATACCTGTAATCAGTTAGTATGACAAACAGGCATCAAAACCATCATTTGGACTGTCAACTTGTTTGCCATTTAAATTATATAAAAAAATACAGTTGTCACAGAATTTCCTCTCATCGGTATTTTATTTGTAAATTTTTCAGATATACTACATTAGCGTCTGCGAGAGCTAGTCAAGAAGTATATAAAAGTCAACCGGGTAAAATAGAAAATTACACACCAGGAAAATCATCTGTAGTTGATAAGGAAGCCAAACAGGTAAACGTTTAACAATGGTTAATTAAGGGCGTTAAATATTATATTATCATTAATTTCATATTCATTATTAATGCAGTCTTGAATATAAATATTTTTCATTTAATAACTAACAGCCTGAGACACGAACCACGATATAGCAACAACAAGATTTGTCTTTTTTTCTTTTCTAGTGGTGGGACGAGGTCATGGACATTTTTGATGGGGTACGATTTTTTTTTACTATTCAAGTGTGTAATGTTTATAAAAATTATTTAACATTGTACATTTCTTGTATTATATGTTTTGGACCTGTCAAATTTCTAATAATAATACATATGCTTAAGAATTGAATTAAGTATTTCTTGTTATTAACACAGTAAAAGTTTTTTTTTATTAATAACTACTGAATTGAGAATGTAATTAAAATATAATTAGTTGAGAAAACAAATTATGACAATGATGTAACTTATCCTGTCAGTTTTGAAATCACTATTGATATACTATTAATATTCAAACTGGAAACACGATAAAAATGTGCAGTTGGCAACGTAACGACAATATTGCTCTTCGATTTCATCAGGCGTTCAAATATTTACTACTTCCTCTAATAATGTCAAGATCCAAGCTTAAATTAAAGAATATTAGCAGCATTAATCAATTTTTCACTGATACACTAACACGTTTTCACATCGCTGTCATGGTGCGTGGTGGTGGCACTAACAGTGGCTAGATGACAACTCCCCTCTGCCCCCTTATACCACATTGCTCGCTCGCGCCATTCAGAAAAGTGTAAGGTTTAACATTGTAACGTTCGCCTCTTGTTTGTGTGATGCCTTTGTTGTTTGTAATCTAATGCTCGATTTATTGACTGGTATTCTTAATATAATATATTATCTGGAGCTTATTCCACATGGTGTTTGTTACTTTCATAATTACTCAATATGAAATACATATTCATTTTTAGCATGTCCTCTGAATAGTTATAAGAAACGGGTATTCATATCATCTTATAATATAATTAGGTAGGATCAATTTTCTGTTTATAAATATTAGATATAATAGGTATGGTATAAATACGAGAGACTAGGATTCCCGAGAATATCAATAACAATGTCTCAATTTGATTACTAAATAGTATATATCTACTAACTGTCGACAGACTTGTTTGTGGAGAACTTTGTGGGATGGGCTATATTTAAAATTGACAGTTAATTATAATAATTGTATTATTACTTAATTTTACATTGAAAAGAAATGTGTTGTATTTTTATGTTTTAATGAATATGTTTATATTTGACATCATTAATATGTTATAAAAGAACATTATTTAATACCATAATTTTTGAAAATGATTGACTGTCAATTACACTTAATATTTTAACTAAAAGTACGCATCATACGCATGTCAATTTGTATTGTGTATAAAGTTCATTCATATGTATTAATTATTTTTCTATTAATTGTATGAGTCCTACATTTAGGAATGTATGTATGTAATCTTTTACTAAACTTTAATGTTGTATTTAAAATTATTGACTAAATATAACGTGTACATTACATTGTATATATTTATCAATCAGTTCTGTCCTAATTGAACTAATTCGTTGATAAATACGGTTTTATTTTCTACTAAAAACTATTAATTAGCTATGCACGATATTGCCTTGATTGTACTTATTTCGCATGTTAACTTATTTAAATAGTTTCCAATATAATATAATACCTTGGTATTTTATAACCATTTGAATAATACACTAAAGAATAACAAGTATTATTCTCTTTGTGATTTAATTTTCCATCTATACATATATCTACTTGTTTTCCGCTGTAATACAAGTGCTACATTTGAAAATACTTAGTTGTTATGTATCTGTAATAATATATAAATAATGCTCATATAACCTGGTATATAATATAGCATCTGTATACTTCATAATTTTATACTTATCTAATTTTCTTTCAGCAAAATATATCAAGTACAACATCATTACCACAAGCATCTCCAAAAGATAAGAAAGATATAACATCTTCTATTTTATCGAAATCAAATATGGCTAGGTTAGTAAAAGTATATAATAATAATTAGACTAAGATTTTCTCTCTACAAACCATCGTGGGCCAATTTATTACAATGAAGCTAAATAACCAAACCTCATCATACTCATAATTTCGATACAGAATATAGATATGGAGTTAAATGTAAAGAGCTTCGCGTCTCTCCTCCGGGTCTCTTTTAATCAATCAATGAAGGCCAAAGTTAGATTGGAGCATGCACAATTTGGACTACGACGTCTATCGATAGATAGACGTCGTAGTCCAAATTGTGCATATATAATAATATTTATGGTAAACAAGCTCTTTACGGATCTGATAGAAAATTAGTGTACTTATAGTCCATTCGTCGAGGAAGGCTACAAACTATATAATATCATACTCTATACTATCATACATACGAGCGGAGCTACTATGAAAAATGTTGCAAAATTGGGGGAAGTGTTACGCAGACGAAGTTGTTAATAATTAGATATATTTTAGGGCGTTAAAAGAATCCGGATATGAATCGGATTCAACGTTGGTTTTCCGTCGCCGAGAAGATACGGAGGCACCACTATCACCAGCTGAACGACGAGCCGCATACAGAGATTTGCAGGCAGGAGGAGAGCCACCTCTCCGAGGTTTTCGATCCCCAGCACCACCTAGGCAAGGTAAGACATTGCAATCACGTATAATATTATATAGAGCTTTAATGTACATTAATACGGTCTCAATAAATGTTATAAGTTTATGTACAACAAAAATAAGAATATGAATTGCTTATAATTGTTTATATTTCGTACTTATTAAAGTAATTCTAAATGTGAATAAGATAATGAAATCTGTCGTAATTTCAAAATTACTGAAAGTATGCTTGTTTGCTATTTTATAATTTTGTCATAGAGTCAATATTTCATTTACAAAGGCTACTTTTTATTCGGTTACACAGATAAAGTCGCGAGTAATATTTTTTTTGCATGTTTGTTTATTTGTTTTTACTTTCTTTGTTACTGATATTTAACTTAAAGTAATAACATGTTTCAAATAGGAAATAAATCAATAGTTACATAAGTATAAGTTGTTTTTAATTAAGAGTGCATGATTTTATGAAATTAATAATATAGATGGTGTCGGTTATCAACTATTTTGAATTCCTTCAGTAGACAACGTATTTGTAGACTTAATCGTTACTGAATTATAATATACTGCTTTATGAGGACTCCAATAATATTCGATCAAGGGCTGTGCATCCTACTATACGACATCTATTGTCAGCCGTGTTTATTCAAGGTTACATTGTAATAACACCGTAATAATGCTGTTCAGCGCACATACGTTAGTTAAAACTCAAATACACATGCGGTAAGTTCACAATTCAAATATTTCTGTGCATGCTTTTATTTTAATTCTATTAACGTGGTGTTGGTACTTCAGCTGCGAATACAGGTAATTTGCAAAGCATGAATACAAGTAGACTCCAAAATTAAACATCACAATTGTTTCACCCGAGTATTTTCTACCAATAGCACGTTTTTATTATCACCGAACGAGCAAATTCACTTTTGAAATACACCAAAATATTCCAGGAGCACAAGAATCACGTTTTACTCACATCTAACGTGCGCAAAAGAAGATCGTGCTACTGAACAGAAGTTGAAATTCCACAGACGATTCGGAAATCGAATATATTCCGATATCACCTACGTTGACGAAGATAAGAATCCACAAGAATTCACCGAAACTTCATGAAGTTATATGCTACCCGATAACACATATAGAAACTGGCGTGCGAACAAAAAAACAAACGCCTTCTGTAAGCCGAGATACACAAAGAAAGTCTATTATTACTGATTTTCCTCCCGCTCCTCCTAGAAGAATTTCCTCTAGAAATAGTCGAACTTTACAATTAGTTACATCAACTATTCCGGTATCTTCTTCGCATAAACGATCGTCTTCACATTCAAATGTTGATTTTTTAAAAGACAAAATATGTCATAAATTATGTAGGCAAAACACCCAAATTTTGTCTAAAAAAGGACCAATGCTAGACACCAAAGGACTCGCCAAAGACCGAGTAATGTCTACATCAGCTCCACCAGCCATTAATAGAAAAAGTAATATTGGACCTAATTCTGTTACTACAATTAAAAAAAATAATGTTACGAAACCCACCAGCAGTTTTAGTTCTCCTCGAAGAACTTTATTACCCACTGAATATTCAAATTCATTGCATAGCAAATATGCTAATTCACGAACATCTGTGGTGATTGAAGGTGGTGCAGGACGAAGAACTCCAATATCAAATATTCTAGACAGAGTAACATCACTGGATAAATTATGGAGTTCTGAAAAGCGAAATGAACGTATAGATATTACAAAGGTTAAACCCAAATCTCCAAAAAGTAATATTAATTATACCTCTAAATTTAATGTAATTAAACCATCATCAACTCTCACTTTAAAACCATCAACTTCAGGTGTTACACACAGAAGTAGAGACATGATTCGAACATCGGAAAAAATACAGAAATTAAAAATGTCTAACATACATACAAAATCAGATCTGGGACCACAAATAAAAAATGATTGTAAAGCATTAAAAAAACCTAACATACAAAAATCTTTGAATGTTTCGAAGTCATCATCAAAAATTTTGGGTACAAATAAAAATAGCCAAATAAAAACCGCAGTTGTAACTAACCTAAAAAATAAGAAACCTCTTGAAAGTGTCGTCGTTAGGCCTAGAAGTACACCTTGCCATGAATCTTGCAGTAAGAAATTAAAAGATATAAAGAATATTACAGGAAAAGTTACTAAAAATAAAAATATAAAGAAAACTTCATTAAAATCACCACATGATTCAGAATCTGGAAGTCAATTTGGTGACTTATGTAACGAACAGTCAAATTTTGGTTCCTTTGAGCATTTGGATAGTAGATTTTTAAGCTCTAAGGAAATCAAAAGAACGCGTGATGCTGTTATTTCTAATTCTTTTTTCCAACACCTATTTCTAGGAAATTCTTATATGCCGACTACATTGTACCCTGTTACAGAACCCAATACTACTGTATTAGAAAAGGCTAAAATATTTCAATCTGTTCCTAAGGATAATAAGGAACCAAAATCATTGAATACTTATTTAATTCACCGAAAACCTGTTTCTTTGTCACGTTTCAAAATGTGGGATCGATACACCAGTCCTACAAGAATATCAAGTCCTCGTTCTGTATCATGGCCCAATAGAGCGCATGGTGAAATACGTAAATTTGATAGTTTATTAAAATGTAATGAATTTGGATCAAATTCATCTCTTGCTACAGTTCGGAGTAAAAGTGAACCACCTGTCAATAAAATTTATTTTTCCCAAACCTCGCGACCTAAATCTCCTACTGTCCTCTTTTATAAGAAAGAAAAACAGAAAACATCACCTGTAAGTACTTGTACTTCTCCTACGAGACTAATTTTTTCACAAACATCAAGGCCAGTTTCTCCAAAAGTAGTTCATAAAGTTCCAAAAATGTCAATAACTACATCTATTTCACGCCAGTTGAAATCCCCTACAAGAATGATATTTTCTGAAACTGTGCGTCCAGTTTCACCATCAGTAAATAAACTAGTAGAATCAGATCTAGTAGATGAAAACATAGATAAATTTCCAGCTACATTGTTCTTTTCTCAAACCTCAAGACCTGTTTCACCAAAAGTTATAAAACAGACTTGTAATAAAATCTCCAGCAGAAGTCGTTCTACTTCACCAATTTCTATTAGATCTCCATCGTATCGCCGTATTCATAGTGCAAAATTACACAGTGCCAAACATTTCAATGACAATATAACAAGTTTCTTACGAACAAGAAGTGCTGGTGATGCTGATGAAAAAGTTACAAAACAATCAATGAAAATAAAAACAAAGAGTGATACTAGTTTATATAACGATGATCCAGATTATGCTGAATATGTTCATGACATGGAAAATACTAAAATAAGATCTGAGCGATTTCGCGAGTTGAATAGATATTATACATATTTAGAAAGAGTAGGGGAGTTGGAAAAGGCGACTTCCAGAAGTGAATTACGTCATAGAAGAAAAGATGAGGAAATTATTGATTTTGATCGCTGGAAGAAAATAAGAGCTATTGAAAGAGCTGAAGAGGAATTAAATAATTTATATTTTAAATTGAAAAGAGCACAGAATGAAAGTGACGTCCTTTTCTATCCCAGAGATTTAAAAGATTTTAGATGGAAATATGATAGAGATAGAGGTTTAAGAACGAAAGAGAAATCGGTGGAAGACCTTAAAGAGCACTTTCAACAAGTTACTTATAATGAACAAGATTTAGATGCAATGCCTTCCAAGGATACATACAAACCCCTGTGGAGAGGTACTAGTGTAGCTGAAACAGCATTTAATATTAATAGAAAAAATGATGTGGAGAAAACTAAAAAAGAAAAAATTACTTCTACTAAGCCTTCAATTGCTCTACAGCAAGATTCATCTTTGATCGAGCTTCGTAAAAAGATAGGCATTGGAAATCGTTTATGGAGCAGCTTATCAATGGAGCAAGTGAATGCATTAAAAAGTCAACTTAATGCCATATACAGCAAAGAATTAGAAGCTAAATCAAATAGAGAAATCGATAAGTTTTCTATCAATGTAAAAGAACCAAAAGAAGCAGAACATTCACCATTACATATAAGATGTAATTCACTTATCATGTCACAGTACCCTTCTAAAGACGAAAATAAACAAAAACTCACTAAGTCTGAATCTATAGCTGCTATTTCTTGTCCGATAACTTCTGTAAAAGAATTAAAAAATAATGTTAATAAAATTCAAATGAGTCTTAGTGAAAATGAAAAAAGAAAAATTTCCCAAACGCTTAGCAAAGAAATCCTAGATAGAGTAAATAAATTCGATAATCCTACACCACTTCCACTCCGAGAAGAATTGGAAAATAGTAAAATTAGTGAGAAATTAGATATGAAAAGCAGTGAAAATGCCTCTCTACTTAGTACACAAACCAATATTCTCAAAGACGACAATATAAATAAAACTAATGAGAGACATATTGTTTATCCAAAAGAAATATCTGATACTCAGTATCAATCGCCCCTGAGTGAAACTGACACAGCTAGTTCAGATGTTTCAAATAAAACTGTAATTTATAAGGGACCTACTAAAGAAGTGAAAAAAAAAGTTGAATATTTTGAATCAGTTAGCACAATAGCAGATCAAGCAAAAACTGTCTACCATGCACGACAAAGTTCAGATGAACAATCCGAACAAAATAAAATGGTAGCAACTAAATGCCTAGATATACCGGAATCAGAACACCAAACAAATCTAATAGTACAATCACAGTCATGCACAAATTTTAAAGAACTTTTTGGAGAAAGCGAACGAAATAAATTTATGTCACTTCCAATAAAATCTATATGTTCAAGATCATCCTCACCTCAATCCGAAGTGCAGGTTACCGAACGGCAAACGCCTGACACGCTACGGTACTCGAGCGATGAGACAATCTGGCGCAGTCGAAGTCCGTCGCCCGACCCGGAGCGTTATTGGCGTGCTTATCTCAACCTGGCACGGGCGGGAGAAGTGCGCCGCCTTGCGCGACGATTCGATTCCCCCACTGCAGCGGGTGCAATTCTACGTCGTCACAGAAGTGACCCTGAGATTACCCGAAATGTTTTATGTAATAATTGGGCTTCTATCGAAAAATCTTTGCGACGCGAACGTAATATTTTACCAGTCGCACGTATACCACTTCGTCCAACGAACCGCTTTATGCCACATATTGACATCATTTCGAAATTGGCTTCCCTTCGAAGGCGTACAGTGCCCAGATCTAGATCCGCTGAAGAAACTTTAGAATGTCGTATTGGAGAAGTGGATCGCATGCGACGCAGATTTGAAACTATGTCATTATTGGGACAAATTTATGCATCCGCACCTGATATAAATGAACTGCGAGATATTGCACCATATTTAGCTGGACCTTGGGTTGCACATCGTTATCCTAAAATTACCGATAACAACAAATGTATCAAAGATCCTAATATTTTAGTACGTGGTCGTAATTCACCCATAAAGAAGGATATTAAAAAATCTACTCCCAAGAATTCTGTGACACTGAGTTCTATTCTTAAAAGCGACGTGTTCGCGAAACAAGAATTTAATCCGTCTGCGCACCGGCCAGCGAGCCGCTACGAGCCCCCACGTGCTCCACCTCGTCCACCGCCGGCTGCGTGGCCCTATTGTGTCGCGCCGTACATCATGCCATCGCGACACACAGTTACATTCCAAGGTTAATTTACCATTTTTTTACGTTATATATATAAATATAGTGTTTAATTTTGGAGATACATGTTTATTTTATAAATTTACTTCTTTTATTGATATTCGTTATGTTTTAATTTCTTATATTTCTTGACACTGAATCAACTTTCAATATTTAAATTTTATAGTACGATTACGTGCGAGTAAAATTTCTAAAGTAGTAATAAATAATCATAACGAAATTCAATATGTTTTTTTTTATAATAGCTTAGTAGTTTATTATCCGTTTTGTTGCAAACCCAATAGAAAGCGAGTCAGCACCGGAACCACCAAGGAGAGCACCTCATGGGAATTATTCTGATAAAGGTACGTTAATTCAAAATCATACATATTTAACATATTATAGTTTTATCAATATATAATAAAATATTACTTATATACGCTTTTTTACATTATAGTGAAATAGTGTATTTACTTTCCATCCTAAACTCTTCAGACCATTGTGAGTGGTAACGCATTTTAAATGTACTTATCTGTAATATCTATGCGAATAAACCGGAAACAATGGCCTTTGTTCAAAACAATCGACATCAACTTATTCTTCTGACCGTCGTCAAAATATGTAGACTTGCATGGTGTAACATGTTATTTTTTTTTTACGAAAATGCATTAAATTTAATATAAGACAAGCCAATATTATTTTATCGATATTAGTGTTGTGCTTTACTTTGAATAAAATATTGTTTCATATAATAATTTTAAGCATACAATAATCTCAATCGTGATTGTGCCTCGATTATTCAATATTTGCGTCATTCGTTTGCATCAGACAACGCAAAAACCAGTCGGTTCAGTTTTTATGTTTTTAATATTCAGTCATATAATATACGCGTACGCGGTATTATTGTTCGGAATCATAATAAATAAAGTCACTAAAATATTTTTTGGACCGAGATAATAACACATTTATTTGACACATTGAACGGGTTATCTGTGAGCTGACAGATAAGAAGATATTGTGTGATATCACGATGTTGGTTTAGTGCAAACTCAATAGTGATCGTGTAAAGTGAAATGATGAAGTAATTATAAAACTGTGCTCTTATAATGAATTACCAAACTAGTGATAATAAAAAAAAAGGCAGGAGTCGAGAAGTTAAGAGCGAAATTTATGAAGATGATAATTTTTTTAGTGACGTGCCTTTATCCGGTACTTTATCAAAATCTTTACTCGCATTAAATAAATATGTAAAAAAGAATTTGTATTATGAAGACTCCGAAACCTGTGATGATGATGAAACATATTTTCCGAAAAAAAACAATGAAGAATGCGAATTGGAGGAAGTATGTGAAAATATAAATGAAAACAATCCAAAAGAATATACAGAAATAAAGGATGAAGATATTTTAAATGAAAACAGTCTACTAAAAAAGCGCAATGAGGATGTACCACAAGTTTTAAAAAAAAGTATCCAAAAAGAATTGGAAGAAGACGAGTCATACTTTTCGAAAGAAAGTAGTCCAGTTAACTCTGTTTCAAAATGGGATACAGATAGCTTAAAGAGTAGCGTGTGTGGTGATAAAAATGAAGCCTTAAGTAACACTGTTAATCATGTCATTCATGATACAACTATGGTATCAGAAACAAACATTGTTATTGAAACTATTAACGATAAACTTACAGACGACTACAAAATTAAGTCTAAACAATTAAACGATTGTTTGTGTGATAATAAATTAGAAGATTCAGATAGAGATGATACTCGAAATACTGATCTTAGGAGAGACGAGAAAAAATATTCTGAAGAAGAAGAACCTAATGGAGATGACGATCAATTAGATGAAATATTTGATGAAACCAAACCTAATAATATAATAGAAGATGATGACAATCTGCATTCTTTAGCTGATTCAACAGAGTGGGCGAATCGAACAAACATGTATCCAGATGTTTATGCGCCACTTCCGTACAGTAAGTACTATTAAGTGCCTTACGTATATTATTACATCACCTAGGCATGTAAATTGTCTATGTTCAATTTGCTACCTAGAAATGACGCATAAAGCCGTTTCTGCAAATATTGATAAAATAAAAAATGTTCGTAGTTTGGTAGTGTCGTAGATATCATGACTTTATGATAAAAACAACAAATTAATAAGTACCTACTTCTGATAAAAAAATAATGTACATAATATATGTATACATGTAATTCATTTGTACATGTAAAGGTAAATTAACTCTATTTTTTTAATTAGTATGCATATCTTATTTTTAGCAATTTATAAAAAAATATTAGGCCTCTATCGTATTACTAATTTGCAGTTACTCATCTATTTATCATTCTATTGTGATAAAAATATCATTAACCGTAACAAAACACATTATAAACAAACAAACAAAACAAACCTATCATACTACGAGAACTGCTGATTCTGCTTACTAAATAAATACTGCCACAGTCTAAAGAACTCACACTACTATGCGAAAGCGGTCTGTACTGTGATTTTGGCGGGAGTTGGTACTCAGAGTCGAAAGTTACAAACACATCTCAATCGTGATTGTCAGTTACCGGCTGAGTGGCGCTCTTTTTGATTACCTAGTTACGAAATTAAATAAAATAATAGTGGTACTTTTAAACGTGTGAGAGTTCAATTAGTTGTAGAGATGGGTATATTAAAGCAAATCAAGAGGATGACAACGCAGGGTTCGTTATTTTTTAAATTAAAACAATACTTTTAAAATAATCAATTTTCGAAAGTTCTGTTACTGTATATATTTTTTTCTTTTTATAAATGTTATTTTATCTGTGTGTTCTATATACTATTACATATTTATCTTAAAGTTTAGCAAAAATACCCAGTGTTTATATTTATATTGTGATATATAATAATGAAATTTAAATTGATACAGTTTAATACTAAATAATTTTCTGTTGAAAAAATATTATTATAAATCACAACCGTGAGATTCAATGATATGACTTTTGAAGTATATAAAGTGACCTGACCTAATAAGCTGCGACGAAACTCTTTTTCTAAATTAATATATTATGTATTTGTATTAATTAGTGATAATTTATTCCTTCTTCTGATTTTGCCCCTATCTATTTTAATTCTATTAACTTTCTACAAAAAATGTTTCGTTTCATTTAACCATTTTATGCTTCAGTGACAAATTACGAAACTTCGACTAAGGTCAGCTTAATAATTCTTTAGCCATTTTGCAGGTAACTAATTCACCGAATTGTTTTGAATAATTTAATTTTATCTGCAATTAAGAAGAGGAGCAACGATAGCTCTTATGTTAATAGATAGATGCTCTCTATTGTATTTTCTTTAATTTTGATTTCTGTTGTATTTGTTAAAAAAAATAAATATTTTATTTTTGTAATTATACACTATTCCACATAAATCTAAAATAGTAAGATATGTTTCTTGATTTCATTGTAAATTCTATATTTTATTATGTTCTGCATCTATGAAGTAATTGAAAACACACTCAATAGGCTTAGTTTATACAAATTCGAACTCGAGTGTTCCCAGGCATAAATAACGCCTTATTCCTTAAATCACTAAGTTTGAAAATATACAAGCTGAATATAATATTGTATAATCAATCAATGACTTCTGATGAAAGTAAAACGGTAATAATTTCAGTGGAAACGAAATGGAAATTTCAAAAACTCTTCCGCAGCAATTATTAGTTACTGCGTGATTCAGCCGCGTGACTTCTAATTCACTTAATTTCTTATAATTTTTCGGTTACCATAACCATTATTTCAACATTGCAGTGTCAACATTAGGCATTAATCTCAGACTGGAGATTAAAGTTTATATAACACCACCGTAATTCTATTATAGATTCGAAACAATATCTTAAATCATATCAATCATATCTATATAAGAGAAGAACTTAAAAAAGATCCGTTACCAATTATGTTATATAAATACAGCGTTCATTCTTCAAAATAAGTAAAATCAATTAACAATGGTATCCAAATAAATAAATTGAGGTAAATACTAAAATTCTAATTTTCTAAAATTAGAATTTTAGTAATTAGAATTTTAAAATTCTAATATTCTTCTTAAAAACATGTACAATATCCACTTTGACTAAATATTGTCAACTTTGTCTTAGAATTAAATAACAAGACATGTAGTGCGTACGTGTTTAGAATGATTATCTTGAGAAAGTTGTCGGTGCAGCTTACGTATTCTAAAGGGCTTTCGATTTCATCTCTCACATGTTTTGCTAAATGGAAAGACAAGTTACTGTACATATCGAATTACAACTGTTACCGGAAACTATTCAAGCATTTAAATGTTAGTAATAAAAAACATGGATGACTTTCCAAATCAATTATACAAAAATATTTACGAAGATAAGACATAAATACAGAAGTTATATGTATATTTAAAGTTATATGTAATTAGAAATTGAACATGTACAATTGAAAATACAGAGTTATATAAATATATAACTCTACAAAATAATTTCATTAAACTGTGCCAAGAAATCATAAAATGAAGATCTAATTTTAAGGATTAAACGTATATGCAATTTATCAATTGCATATAATTGTCTTGTATCCAAGAGAAAGCAAATTTTAAAAAGATCCTATAGTTCTATATTAATCGCCTGGTTCTTGTTATATTACGGGGGGGGGGGGGGGGCTCCAACAAATAAAAAATGTACGAGGTCAGAGACATAAATTGAGCTAATTCATGTCTAAAATTTTATTTCTTCCGAGACTTCTACGACACTCAATGTTTCAATCCTGGATCGACGATAAATAATCAAATTATAACAAATTCAATTATGAATGCTAAATGATTGAATAAACTGTTGAATGTTACTTTATTTGTTTATTATTCCTTTATTGCACAGCTCTCTTATCAGACGCAATATTATAATGGTCCTCATAAACCGGTTCCATTCACTGTGGAAGTAGTTACGTATCATCGCATAATCGCTAACTACCAAAAATCACCGATGGTAGTTACCTCATCGATGGACGCCATAGCATTTCCGCCGTGTACCACTTTCACTTTGCTGTTAAAAATAAGCGTTATTTTTGTATTTACGTGTAATACTGGTAATACGTAATTAACAATTTGCTACAGTGTGAAAGTAACATCTAATTATAATGGCTATTACGGCTGTTTGATACATTTTAAACAAAACTGTTGCTAACAATAACATCGTACAGTATTTGTGTATTTCTTTGTACATTAAGCAATATATTTTTTCAGTTCCGATATCAAGTTTTTAATGTTATTTTATGCAAATACTAGAGACCACCCTCGGTTTTGCACTTATATAAACGGAGAAATAGAGTAACGGAAACAGCAACATTGTTCAATTATTAATGCTAAATTATTGTGTATAGTTCATACATTATTATTATTATGAATCAATGTAAATTCACACAGAATCGCCGCGGCGTTATGTGGAGAGCGACGTGAACATCCACTATCGATGCCCAGTCCGACATGATCCATTACCGCTCGTGCCAGAGCGCGAACTTGCCCGCCAGCAGGCTGAGCACATGAAACGGCTCTACAGAGAACAGAAGAGGAACAAATACCTACAGGTTCGTAAATGTTGACAGTATTTATGCATATCCATTAGGTATAGTTATCATATCTAGAGTCGAATTAGGATTATATTCATGTTATAGAACTTTGTCAACGCTAGAATGTATGTTAGATTTTTATATTGCCATAACAAAGTAGGTATGTCTATACCAACATGTTATAGTTTTCTGTAATACTGAATAGTAGAGACTTACCGTAAAAAGGTTAGTAATATTGTTTTCCTCCATCATTTTCTCTCCTGTACCTATACGTAAAAAAATCAATAATTAGCTTCAGAGAATAAAAATTATATGCTACGTTTTTCGCAAAAAGCATAAAAAATACTATACTATATTTAACTACCAACAGTACTCACGATGGCTTTGATTATAAAAACAGTATTTGCATGATTGTCAACTATTAAATTGCAGAATCATGCAGTTTCTGAATCGATATACGGATATATTCATTCATCGACTGTTCGTAAAAGTATGAAAACAGTATCAAACGCTATTAATGTGTCAGGCAAGGCCCAACGAGGTTGACGATTGTTCAACCGAGTTAAATAGAGGTAGCACGCGACTGTACTCATAGTTTGATCAATACCGATAATAACTCGCGTAATTATCTCGTGACTTAAAAAAATACTTCTCAATGCTAAGGTAAGACTTATGAGTTCAATTCGGCAGCATACCTGAGTTAATATTACTTGATTTTATGATTAACAGACAGAAATTAATATAAACTTATATTTTATACGCTGGCTCTGACCTCTGGTATCATTACCTTTGCGGTTTCTCCGTCGTATCAGTACTACATTATTTACGAGTACATTTTGGTTTCCACGATATAGTATTTGCATAAACAGTGTGGACAGTACGCTGCCAGTACAATTTTATCTTTATGTACACATCCTTTGTTTTTGTAAGTTTAACATATACGTGTGTTTGTTTTAACATTACATAATACAAAAAGTTATATGTAGACTGCATATATTTTAATGATCGCAGATTCGTAAAAGTAAACTAGAAGAGTTACTTTCGTTTTAGTAGTATTAGGTGCAAATTAATATTTAAACTTTGATGAGATAAGAGTCATTATTTAAATTGTTGCTTTGACATAATTGAATTGGACTCTTTTTTCAATTCGTTCATAATTTGTTTACTCAATAAATATAACAAAGCATTGAATTTGTAAATGTAAATTAACAACTCATATGGTGTAGGCATGTATTCAGAAAGGATGGGTATTTAACTCAATCGATATCCCAGGCTAATGGAAGGGATGGGGTACCACGCTGGAATATCGCAAAATATCTCGTAATTCTAATAATAAATGTAGCTCTATAATATACTGTTAAAAATAATTTCAATAAATTTAAGTTGTATAAATTGATAATTTAATTTTTAAAGAAAATTTACCCAAATTGAAAAACTAAAGGAATTCATTACAACTTATCATAATGGCGTAGTTTTTACCAGCAAATGATTTACAGGGTCAATCGTAACTGCTCTTAGTTTGGAATCCATTTAAAAGAAATCAGTCATAATATTCCACTTCATGGACTAGTTTTATTGGCATATTTACGTGTTGCTTTATTTTTACCTATATTTTTTAAAATACCTATTACCTATATTATATACTACTGCGTTTCATAGAATTGATAAAATTTTATAATGGCCTATAAATACATATATCATAGTAATCCTCTGCCATAATCACTTTCATAAAGCGTCAAATACAATAAATTTGGGATACATGACTATCCTTATGTACGTACTGTACGTACGTATATAAATAACTTTATGTACGTACTTAATTGCTACATTTTGTAAAAGGCAACGGCCAGCTGTGGTAGATATAGTAAATTTGTAGATATTACTCGGGAAATTTTATGAGTATTTACACAAAATCTAAATCTGTATTTCTGTCACTTGTTTATTTAGTATCAGGACAATTTGACTATTAAGGGGTACTAGTATTGTTATAGTGACTGTCTCTAGATGTAGTCTATTAAACTAAAATGCAAATATGTATACGTGTGTGTTATATTAGGTATATGTTCATAATACATTACTCTGCTGCCATCCGCTCCCATCTTTGTGAGAAGTGGAGAGCGTAACATTTACATTGTGAATGTTTCGTTTCGCTGATGCGTACAACACTGATCTACATAATCATAAACAATGATCACGAGCAAAACAAATGTATGTTAGAAAATAGTAACTGGTAACGATTTTCTTAAAAATGATTATGGAAAATTGAATATCGGCTTTCTATTTCAGTATAATTTCAGAGAAAACGAATACGCAGTTACTACAGCGATGTTATTGTAAAGATACATATATAAAAATTATAAGACATCATCAACGATATAAGTACTGTGATGAATATATTGGATATACCTATCTATAAATATGTTGATAGAGGAAAAAAGCGTTTCCTATTTAATAATCAAATTCCACAGAGGCCACAATTTGTTTTAAATAAAAAAAGAAACGACCTTGCTCTCGCGCATACCTCGTGAATCGCGGCGTGAATGACAAAAGTCCGTTAACCAAATGACCACAAAGCAGCACTGATTTGCCGTTAATCATCAACCATTGTTGGATTTTGAGCTTTAACTTCAGCATTATTAGGTATTTCCCTATTATTTGGTCAGAGAAAACACAATACAAATGTTATGTGTGTATTTGGAATAACAAAACGCGGACGGTTACCCTCAGTCCATGTGAAGCGTGCGCGAGAAACGATCATCATGGTAATGTGTGTAAATACAATTGTTCAAATATGTCATTTACCTTACAGAATAAATCATAAATTGTAGTGAAAGAAGTTATGATTACTATCCTGAGAAATGTTTTAGCTCTATAATGACTAAATAATTAGAAGTAGTAATAGCTAAATAATTATTTAATTATACATTTACATAATAGTGCTGAACGTTCGTCAAGTGAAATGATGATATATACAATGTGGTGACTGTGGCACTACTTGTAATGAAAGATTCCGTTGAATATCATCATTACTGATGTTGATCTATTAAAATTTCCAGGAAAATGATATACAACCCTTGGACATAGAAGCGTTTGATGCTTCCATTAAGGTGATGTTTGAGAGAGGCTGATGGTGTGAGACGAGTGTTTAATTTTTCGGTTAATGTTTGTCATCATCGTGTGACATTATTAAAAATACACGCTATTTAACAAAATTTTGCTCAATTCATGACCAAAATATCATCTGCAGCACGAGTTTAGGTAGTCAGTACATTATTATTTTTATTATTCAGGTAAAATTATGCGTCTATGAATCTTCTTGTCCATAATTCATACACCAAAATATTTCAAAGAATCGCATAAACTTGTGCTATAGATCTTCATAGTCAAAAGTTATCTACTTTCTTTATTTATTCTTTTATTTTATAAACTGCTTTTAAGTATAATCGTGTATATAATTGCATGATACTTTTTTTTTTATATCGAAGTAAAGCTAATATTGGTATGTATTTTTATGTATATTGTATCAAACAATTCTATATAACTTACAGGAACTACAAGATATGCAAAATAGACGTCATCAAGACAACTTCACGCCTTCTCAGAAGAACATTCTTCCTCTCAACAGATATGATGAAGCAGAAAAAGTAATTGCCCGAGCACTATACGCATTTAATGGTCAAACTGCTAGAGAATTGAGCTTCAGAAAAGGTGACTTTATTAACGTAAGACGACAGATCGATGCCAATTGGTACGAGGGCGAAGTTCATGGAAGAATAGGATTATTCCCATACAATTATGTCGAGGTAAGATATATTAAAGACAAATATAAAATAATATGCATTGCATGTACCTAATAAATGACAGTATCGTATTTTATGAAATTGAATGACAAATATGCTGACAGCCGTCATCAACATGCATTCAGCTATAGTAGATACACAAACAGATCACGTGGTCGTTTGATGCCCGCTTCATGCCTTTTACCTAAGTATCAAATTGGAAGTATCATGTTTCTATCCCCAGTAATTTCTAAGGGAGTAATAAATATCTGTCAGAGAAATTAAAAGAGAAAAATTGAAAAACACTTATGAGCAAACTGTTTGTCGGCTGAAATAAGTGCGACTGAGTGCTGCCTTAATTCAATTTCAATTCATGTCCTGATAATTTCATTGCATTATCGATTCTGGATTCTTTCCTCCCCACACCGATAATACTATCTTATCTTATCTTATATCTTATCATGATTATTTTGTCTATTCCACTGTTTTACAATCCATAGTAGTTTACATTGCATACATGCGTCATCATTTATCTCAAAATACCTTCCACATTCTCCAATGAATTTAATAGTATTCCTCGAATAAACTGTAATCATAATAATAATAAGAACTGCATTTAACATAAGTATTTTTGAAAACATTCCAGATAATGAAAGGTGACGTAACACAATCACCGAAAAAGTCTGTCTTATTAGAAGGCAGAGCGAGAGCCAAGTTCGATTTTATAGCACAGACCAATCTAGAGCTTCCACTAAAGAAAGGCGAAGTTGTTGTGTTGACGAGACGCATAGATCAAAATTGGTGGGAAGGTAGAAATGGCAATAAAACCGGCATCTTTCCAGACAGCTATGTGACGGTGTTACAAGAACCTAGTGCAAATAAACCTGGTAAGTTAACAAATTATATTATTATATTTATAATTATAACTAAAAGATTAAAAGCATAAGGAATATTGTATTTACTTTTAAAAGTTAGTAGGTATTTCCTTTACCTTCATGATATGTATACACTTAGTTATTAATAAATTAGTATTTAAGTAATTTATGGTCAACATGTTTTTGCTCAATGTAATAATTATTTTTTATCTTTTCTAATCGAAAGGCCTTGATCTTATCCGATTATATATTATTTTTTATTATCAGTGCAGTAGTACGTTACCTTGCATATAGTACCTAAAGTTACAAGTGTCTTCCGGATAAGTATGGACGATATTTGATATTTTTCATGGGAGTCTGTCAAAAAACCAACATACACCTCAAAAATATTATTAGTATAGTTTTATTTTTTATTGCAGTTATTATAATAAGTTATAGTATAATTTACCATAATAACTACTATTCCAGATAAGGTACTAAGAGACATTGTCAAATTTATTTGTTGTGGTTAACGCGACATTTGTTATGCCCGCTTAGATTAATTAGATTTATTACCGGTATTTCTAGCACCGAAGAATCATAAATACAAAGGGCATTTTTTGGCTCAGTCAAATTTTAGCGCTCAACGTTCTATATATAGCTGTTATAAATATATTTTATTTAAATTACAATAGTACCTGTATATAAAAAAAATAGATTAGTCATGTTTTCGATCATGCCGAGCTTTCTATTTCAAGCTACATTTTGAGGTACAGGATTCAACATTCGTATATTATACCTAATAATATACGGCATGATCGAAAAGCATTAAATTTATTAGATATATGTTATTTTATAATGTTACATAACTTTCTAATTACAATATTCTAGAACCGCAACCGATCTTGTCTACTGACAAGCCAGTTGCATCGCCAGCTGCGCATGGTCTCGTCAATGGAACAGCAAAGCGAAGTATGGGAGCACACAGCTACTTACCTCAACCAAACAGCCCTGCGTTATCTAACGCACCTCCTGCCACACAACCACTGCCAGGTATGTATATGCCATAAACAAATATTACCTTATATTTGATCAAAACAAAAAATATTTTTTTCCTTTCCTTATATCATAACTCTCTCACCATATTGATATTCGGATTATGGACGAAATATTTGAATATGTCTAATGAATTTACTTTATTTTCTATCTTTTTTGGTAAAATTATAACTTGACGCATTTACGGTCTCTTTATCCCATAATATTAATACATAAAAAAAATGGCAACACATAATATAAAAGAAGTTCAGTTTCAATCAGTTGATTAGTATCAATAGTATGTACATGATGTGCTTAGTTTCGGACGGTATAGCGTTGTATAAGTAGTCAAACAAGATATGCGGTCACAGGGTAAAAATATTAGATAAAATCATATACCTAGGCTGAAATGAAAATGTTTAATCCATCATATTTAAAATTATCACTGTTCTACTATTTCCTTACTAACAGTAATATATGTATACGACTCTTACATTATGTAAGATTAAATAAGGAGAAGCGAATTATTAGTAATGGAGACCAAGGACACCATAGTCAGCAATAGACCATGTTAGGTCGATATCCACGTGGTTGCCCTTATAAGCATCGTGGTTAAACTCTGATTATTTAATCATAATGGTAACTAACTTGACATCATGTTTATCCTATCATCTGCCACTGTTGCTCCGCCAGCGTATCCTGTTAGCTCAAGGTGGTCCACCATTACATTATCATGAATTAAAAAAAAACAAAAATAAATGCATGCACACATCTTCATTCGTGTGACTTTGTTTATTGTTGACAGGTTACGTAGCGAAGCCGGCGCAGGTAACGCAGACCCCGTCGGAGCGCGGGTACGGTCCGCCGAGCGGCGCGGGCGTCGACCTCAATAACACCGAACCCCTCTATGTTGACACCAATGCTGAGGCGGTGCCGTATGTGATCTATTGTATTCATTCACACTTCCACCAGTAGCTTCGCTTCTTCGCACACTATCTTCCAGTTCTATGGCAGTCAAGTTTCGGGGTACTAAGTGCTATATCTGTGTTGTAGTGCTATATTCTATAGTTTTTTATATAATTTACGGTTGCCAGCCCCAAATTAATACAAAAAGGATTTGCAGTTGAATAACCAGTAAAATTCAAATATTTTCATATACATTCGTAAAGTTTGATAATTTATATTACATACAAATCATTGGATTTGAATATAGTTAGATAAAAAAGTTCTAATAAAAATGTATGACACGAACAGTTGTAATGTTTCTAAAGGTAAATAAGAATAAACATATCGTTAGATATTATTGACCCAAAATATTTATACGGCAAAACTAATAACTATGGTCAGTGTAATAAATATAAAACAATCTAACAATAAATGAAATTTTGTATTACCTGCATATCACTAAGCACATAAAAGTAGGAATACCTATGCGGTACTTACATCAAAAAAATATTTAAAAAGTATATCTCTAGTCTGTCTGTTTGTTTGTTACTGGTAATCTCTGAATCATCTAAACTGATTTTGATGGAACTTTCAGTGGTAGATAGCTAATGTTATATGTTAAGTTACTACATTTTACTATTTCACGCGGACGAAGTCGTGGACAACTTGTAGTCAACAATAAAATAGGTAAATAGTCTTATATCAACTGAAAGCTTAAATTGTAAATTATAACTATTTCCAGGTATCGAGCCATGTATAAATATCGACCACAGAATCCTGACGAGCTGGAGTTAAATGAAGGCGATACAGTTTACGTTCTAGAGAAATGCGACGACGGCTGGTACGTGGGCTCTAGCCAACGAACTGGGCGCTTTGGTACCTTCCCAGGTAAAGATTTTATTATCTTTTTATCTGTTACCCCAAAACTAGACTAAATGAAGTAAATATTCTTAGCAGCTGACGTAATTAAAAGTAATGGAAACTCAAACTAAGAGAAGAATATGTGTACGATTATTTAATTCTAGTTTTGTCCATTTTATGCACTTTTTTTCGATGAATTTGTAGATAAAGATTTAATATGGATACATAACATAAAACTCTATATATTTTAAGTTGTATTAGAAGAATAAGATAAAATAGACTTATATTTTACTTATAGTAATAAAATGAGGAATTTAGCATTTCATTAATTACATTCGTATTGAACAAAGTTGATCCCAATCATACTTAACCACCCATTACTATTTAAAAGTGCTTAAACAAGGTTTATTTGTATAAAGAATTTTCTACACTATTCTACTACCTTAATTATATTCCATAATGTTTCTCTAAAATGGAATATTAAATTTCAGGCAACTACGTGGAGCGCATATGATAGCGCGAGATGTCGCTACTGCGGCGACTGCGACGCGCTACGCTATGTGCGCGGCGACGCTCGCCGCCCGATACTCTACATACATAATGTCTGAACTTAATACTAGCACAGTTGCAAGATTATTCAACTATGATCAGGCATTTACGTGCTCTTATTTGAAATCAGTTTGCACTAAGTCAAAGTAAAACTCGATCTGATGTTTGTCTGATATAAAATTTGAACTACTTTAAATTTGTAAAATGCCATTCAATGGTATCCAACCTGTGGAAATATTGTTAAATAGATAAGTATCTTTGAAACAACAAAGAATAATGGCCTAATGATACCAAAATTTACCATGACTTTTTATATACAATTTTGTACAAATCAACATAAATTTTAAGATCCGACGGCATTATTATAACTAGATAGATGATATTAACTGTAACAGATTAATTCTTTTATACTAAAGTATTTATTAAGCATTGCTGTTCTTAAAAAATGTCGTCGATGAAACTACTTCATGTTGATATACGGTCGGCTTTTTGGCATATCTACATAATATAACATGTCAGTTATATTAAAAACTGTCATATCATTCATCTCAAGCTTTTACCAAAACTTATTTGATTTCGTTAAACTAACAGTAGTCCTTTTATGTCGGTACAATTTATCCAAAGTTAATTTATGTGTCCCAAAGAATATGTTTATCGGATGATTATAATGTTGTATAATTGTACAAAAAAAAAACTTATATTATATAGCTGTACAATTTGTTTAGCATAGTTATTTATTTTTAACATATCTAATAAGGGAATAAGAGCTCGTCTTTTAAAAGTGACTTTTTGAAAGAATGCAGCTAGCACGTGTAATAATGATACTTTAAACTAACTTGAAATATCAATAACTATATGACGTTATATCAGCAAAGGTCAAACTTTGAAAATAACCCAACGGTAAAAATAGAACATGAACAAAGTTTCGACATTTTGTGTAGATCGGTAGCTTTTAACTGGCTTCTCAACACTATTCGTAACTGAAATCTAAATATATTTAAACTCTACTATAGAAGGAGTAACAGTTTATTCTGTATCAGCATTAGTTACCATATTAACTTATTATAAATGTATACTCGAACAACATTGCAATGTTTAGTGTATATAGGGCGAGTAACTTTCAGCAACGGTTGACAATACATTAAAGTATGCTTAATTTTAAATTAGATGTATGAAAACTATATGAGTGCTATTAGTCTGATGTCGTGTCATTGTTGAGACATCCATAAATTGGTTTTGTGCTGGCGTCATTGAAAGAATTGATTTTTTCAATATCTAGTCATTGATCAAATTTCGTATATTTTTCTAGGTTGTCCAAAATACTATTGGTGTTTCATTATATTTTCTATATTATATTGGACGCTTTATACAATCTTATACAATTCAAATGTTATGATATGGATACTTTTAGATCTTTAGAGTAACCGATTACTTTTTAATTTATTATCATGTTAATTGTACGTGAATTATAAAATGTCGAGTTTCGTGTTAGTACCTACCTACCAACGTGTCGTTCTCCTCGCCCTATGTAAATGTGCGCTTGGTTTGTGTAGTAGATACACAGCTTTCATTATTTTTAACCCATTGTATTGTTGTAATTTACTTTTGTTAATTTATTTTTAAATTCACAAATATTTTTATTTTATTGTTGACACCTCGACATTCGATATAACATTAACAACTATTGTTTTATAATCATCACACCTAATAAAATAATCTCTCTATTTAAATGGTATTTTTTTTTCAATTCGTATTGTTATCCCGCAAACATTTTGTTACTTTACAATTATAGTTCTAAAGATTTAATATAATATATAAAAACAGATGTTGTCCTTTTTGTACATCTAATCTCAATCTTAATCATCATCATTAGGTACATATTATAAAATAAAGTCGAAGCCCTGTGTATTCTTAAATCTTGAAAACTACGCAACGGATTTTGAAACGGTTTTTTTAACAGATAGAGTGATTTAAGAGGAATGTTTATATATATAATACATGAACACCCGTGCGAAGCCGGGGTGAGTAGTTAGTAATATTATAAACGCGAAAGTTCTTTCTAAGTTTCACACAAAAAGTACTGAACAGATATTGATAAAACTTTACAGTAATATGTCAGAATAACTAATTTAATTTAGGCTAATTTTTTTATTGAAATTTAACGCGTGTGAAACCGCGGGCACATATAGTACCTACTAAATATTATTAATTCATAATTCATTTACCGATAATAATTCGGAAGAAATTTTGAGAACTTACCAGCAAACCTAACAGAAATAATAATTTCATACTTATTGATAATTCTAGAATTATCCAAGTTAGTTCTAAATCGAATATCGGAGAAACATGATTCATAATAGGAGTATATTATTTTTTTATATACAAACAAATAATTAATGTTTTTGCTCAGTTAACGTATAAAAAAACAGTCGAATTGAGAATCTCTTTTTTTAAATAATAGAAAATATATAGCTGTAGACAAACACTCATTACCTTTCCCATGTAAATGGTACATTATTAAATCAATAAAAGATAGTTGCCTAGCGACGCCTTATAATCAAAACAAACACAGTGAAGTGAATCATTTGAAATAGTGTTTATGCTTAATATAATTTTGTAACCAATTATTAGTGAAACAAGTGGTAATATTTTTATATAAATCATGGCAGATACGGACTGGAGAGAAATATTGAGTTATTCTCAAAGAGAATTAAAAGAAGCCGATAAAGATAAATTATGCGAAAGTTTGTCATGGATGGAAGCAGACGATATCGAACTAAATTTTACTGATTTAAAAACTTTGTTTCGTCTAGCTCAAGATATTTTAAAATATAAAAGTGAACAGGTAAATAATAACTTTTTTTATTATGTATTATTTATATAAATCTGTTTAAGACACTTGAGATCTTACATATCTGCAAATATCTTCATTTCATCCAGGTAAACAATTTACTAGGAAAAATAGAAATCAATCAGCGAAAATACAATAAATCGAAATCAAAAGGTCAATTTACTGGTGAGTACCTATTATATTTTTTATGAAAAATAACAAAGGACTTAAGTACTACTTTAAATATATATTTTTTATTTCGTTAGCTTCACCTACCAAAACTGCAGAAAATGTACTAGAAACAATAACACACCAAGAAGAAGTTATCAAAACAAATAAAGAGATTTTAGAACAACTGTATGCAGATATTGCCGAATTAGAAGGACGTAAGAAAGTAATAAAAACAGAAATGAGTAATTTGGATAAAGATAGTGAGTCAAGCAAAGATCCCTTGTCTGAAATAAATACTATGGCCCAATTAGAAAATGAAATAACTATGAAGAACAGGCACATCAGAAAATTACTAAGTGACGTAAAAGTAAGAAAATTCTTTTACTCCAAGACTATGTACAAAAGTAATATTATTAATTTAAATGACTGACTCTGAGATAAAGTACGTGTATTAAGCTACATCAGTTGTCTTGCAATACAATACCTAGAAAAAAAAAAATTATTATCGCTTAATTAATTACATTAGTAGTGGTAGATAATTCCCAGATAAGTTTTAATGCATTATTTATTTTAGGTATTAGACGAAGAAAATATGAAACTTAAAGCAAAAGTGTCGGTATTAAAAGACAAATTAACAGAAGCTACAAAACTTATTGAGAATTTAACTGAACAATTATTCACATTAAATAACGAGAGCACTCAATTGAAAGGTAAAGAATATAGTTGGTAACACTACAGTTCGAAGCTATGACATATATATAACACTATAAAAGTAATTGTCTAAAGGAACTATAGTTCCATAATATGCATAAAAATAAATTCAAGTAAATAATTATGAATATGTATAGTTAGTATTAAGTAACTCAGTAATTAGTACTGGTATTACTGAGTGGTCAGTGGTAATAAAATGACGTAACCAGAAGTAATACCAAAAGAACTGTTTTTAGATATCTCAATACTTGTAGTGTCCTATACTTATTGTTATCACATACTGTATGCGTTACTTACCTTCTAATATACTAACATTTAATTATATGTATATTATAAATTTACGGAGGTGTTTAGCTAAACATAAAATAACTTTTATTATATTAGTAGGTCAACACATAGCATTTTATGACCTGTCTATTTGCTTGTCTCTACTGTACCTACATAGTCTACATACGTTCATTATGTAGTACAAACTCTGCCTGCATATTACCTAGTACATTTTATGACATCTATTTCTGGCAATACAATATAGTAAAATATTTATTTATCCATTTGGTTAATAATTTAAAAATATTACAGAAATTCTTGGTCAATTTGAAGAAGCGAAAGCACATCTTTCCAGCGAAGTAGAGTCTTTTAAGAAGAAATTATTTGAAAAAGACAGTAATAAAGATAAAATATATGAAGAAATTAAGTCTAAAGCTCAACATTGGAGGGTGATATATCTTATGATTTAACTTCTTTGCTAGCTATTAATCACCGACTTTAAAACCCTATTTCTAACCCTATACTTTATGTTAAGTACAATCTTCGGGAAAGTGTAATAAACTGACAGACACAGAAACAGTTTCGCTCATAGACTAGAGTAGATATAGATATATAGCAGTTTTATGCGACTTCATGTTATTATAATCTATTTATTAACCTTGAAAATGTACACTAATGAATTAATGATAATTCAAATTAATTATAGAATATCGCACGATCAAAGAAAGCCGAATTAGAAGCTTTATCTAACGAGAATATGAAATTAAAAGGTCTAATAATTCGTGTTTCAAAACCATCATCGCCACGACAAGAGCCTCCTGAAATAAATATGGACGTAAGTACATTAATTAATACAATAACTTAAAAATAAGTAGATTATTATAGTAGTAGTATATCGATGAGTATCAAAAAGTATGTAAGTAAATGTTCACAAATTTATTTTACTTTTAAAGTTTTACTGAGGTACGTTTTGTGGGAATAGTAACGGATGTTATATGATGGCGTGATGTACGTGGTTTATATGATTGAGGTTGCCCAATGAATATGCCCAATATGATAAATAATCAATATTTTACTATATATTTTAATGGATAATAGGAAGAGTATGCAAAAGAGCTTAAAATTAAAGAACTACAAGAGAAACTCTTAGAGGCATCAAAGGAAATAATTCATTCCGCTAATGCAATTGATTTGTTGAGAAAAGAAAATAAGGATCTTAAATTGACAATTGAAGAAATTCCTGAATCGTTCTCAGAATTTAAAAATGAAAGTGATGATAGAAAAGAACGGATTATGATAAATAAATTAAGAAAGAAAAATAAGAGTTTAACAGTTTGTCTACAAGAAGCTGAAGAACTGTTGTCTGTTAGAGAAAATGAGGTAAGTGAATTATTTGACTTGCATATATATTATATGTATTTAGTTGTAAATTAATGGGGTATTACTAATTCATTTAAAATTAAGCTTGCAGAAATAACATCACAACTACAAACTGTTCAATCTAATGAAACCATTAAAAATTTACTACAAGAAATGAAAAATAAAAAACAGCAGTTGAAATTTAAAGACGATGGCATAAAATGTCTAGTGCAAGATGTTAATAGTATTAATCAATTAGTAGACAATTTGCAACTCGAAAATGAAGCATTGAGGTAAAGGTTCTTTGTATTTTTAATTTAGGATATTATTATTAAATTATGACTGTCTTTTTGCCTTTTTATCATATACCTGGAAAAGTATAATCAATTCTAGTTTAAATATGTTGTGGATACCCGTCAAACCAAGAAGACTTAAATTTTCGTAGTCTAAAAAAGTATTCACAATTAAATATACTGAAACATTAACTTTTAATATTTTCTGTCACTAGAACAGATTATATTATGGTACTCTAAAAATGTGTAGTAATAAATTATAATATAATTTTAGGGAAAAGTTAAATATTTCTAAGGATGAAAAAATTCCAGTAAAAGGAGTTTTAAAAAAATATCACAGAATGGAAGAAAATTACTATGAATTGGTGAAAGAATCTAAATATATGGAAAATAAACTTATTTCCTTTGAAATTGACAATCATAACTTGAAGTCAAAAATATGTAAATTAATGAAAGTATTGAATAATCTAGGATATGACGATGACAAAATTAATAATGTTTTTGAGGACGACAATATTGAAGCTATTCCTGATTCTAAGGCTAAAATTGTGTAAGTTGTTATTTATTTATAATATTATAAGTTTTATGCATTAAACAAAATGTATTTTCTTTAATGTTTTTAAATTATGTTTTAGGATACAAAAGAAAATATGCGATGAAAATATAAATATTAATAATCCCATAAATGAAGAAGAAATGCAGGCGATTGTTGAAGAAAATGAAGGTTTAAGAAAAGGCTTGCAGGATATTTTAATTTTTTTAAAAGATAATAGTAAGTAATCAGGCATAGTATTTTGATAATATCTTGTGATCTGTAAAAGTTTGTGACTTTGTAATATTTCGACAGGCACAACCACATCAGGCATTTTGAAATTAGAATGTCCCAGTCTAGATGCTTTATTACGGTCTATGGAAGCCCGACACACAGCAGGGTGGTTTGCACCACATATGTCAACAGTTATGGAGCTTAGAGCTGCTTTAGGTGGAAAAGACGCTTTACTTGCAGCCCTACATCAAGCCAGGTAAAAATTGTTATCTATTATCATTCTTAATCTTGGAATAATAAAATCCATCATCTCCATCAGTGTAAGTATAGCTTAATTAAATTTATAAGGTACTCCACCTTTTATAAGGCACTCCATCTTTATTAATTTTAAAAATATTTTTAAAACTTTATTACAAATATACATGTAAAAAGATATGTTTTAACTTTTATTATCTCACTGTTGGACAAAGGTCTATCCCATTTAAATAAAAATATTAATTTATAATTGTATATTATTTTTTAGCTACTTACATTTCTATCTTAATTTTAGAAAAGAAACTTACGATGTAATGGCTCAGTTAGAAAAAGAAACACAAAAAGCCATCAAACTTGAAGAAAAAATACAAGAAATTGAGTCTAACAAAGAAGTAGTCGGTGACTTTTACCATAAAAATAAATACAAAAAAGTTGATGTTCTAGATTTTGGATCTTGGATATCTGAAAATGAACAAATAAATATTGACCTGTATGATAAGAATCAGGTAGACACTTGTTTATCCAAGGGAAATATGGTATATGAAGACCAATTAAAAAAAGGATTAATTTATTTTCATAACAAGTTTAAAATTATTTTTGATAAAATGACATCTATTTCAATACAATTAAGCGATGATATAAATAAATGGACAATACAGGAAGAACAGTATAAAACACAAATAGAAAATTTAAGAGCACAGCTGTCACAAAAAGATGATGAAGATATTAGTGATGTTTCCCCTGGACTAATAGATTCCCCTAGTGTTAGCTATTTGCAAAGAAAATGTTCATATCTAGAAGAGTCATACAAACACATTAGAACCTTAAATGAAAACATGAATAATGAAATTTTAGAAAACAAGAAAGAGTTTATGATTGCATCATCGGATTTTGAATATCAGATTCAACGCCTTATACTCTCTGTTATTAAACTTATTGACAAACTTAGATATTCTATACCAGTGGAGTTATTTTGGCAGCAAAATGTTATCTTGAATGATATTACAATAAAATATCGAAGAGCAGTAGACAAAAGTGTTAGAGAAAATAATGAAACAGAAAATCTTTCCAAACGCTTAGAAAGTATTAGACATGAAGTTCTCAATACGTTCCGAGAGGAATTGCCCCGAAGTGCGTATTTGTATTTCATAGAAATATCTATATATTATAAATAACAATGAAATATATTACACATTATTTTACTACATTATTATTTTTAATATAATTATGTCTATTTTGTTACATTGTCATTTTTATTTTCAGTTAAAGACGAAAAAAATAAAGAACAACAACTTTTATCTCATATGGAACAATCAATTTTAGAAAAACAATTACATGAAATATGTAATGAAATAAAAAATAAAAACCTAATAATAGAACAACTTGAAGTCCAAAGTGCAACATTACAAGAATCACAGACAAAACTAATGTAAATATGCTAAAATATATACTTACTTTTCTTGGCTATCAATATGATCAGGCTAAATAATTATTTAATTGTCCTTTTAGAGATGACAATTTAAGTTCTATGACAAAAGAAGAAATAAATATTATGAGAGATCAATTACAAAAGGCATCTGATGATAACGTACATCTTAAGCAACAATACCAACATATTGGAAGTAAATTAGATGTCACAATATTACAGGTATAAGGTCTAACAAAATAAAATCGAAGTCTAAAAATGTTCAGTTAAGGCATCGAGTAGATACTGAGTAGGTTATTAATATGTATTTTATTATTTATTTTAAAATATAATTATCGTTATAAGTTTACTTATTCTCTTAAATTCTGCAATTGATGTCACATGAAATTCTATCCGTATACAATACATCACGAACTAATCGAATCCAAATAATGATACTAGCAGCATTTGAATATTCCCCTTTATGATGATTCTCGCCCTTGCTTGTGTGAAAAGACTTGATGTGCAAAGACTGTTAAAGAAAACCGTGAATGTTAAAGCAAACCAAAGCGTTTCATGTTACTATTTATGAATGTTATTAATAAAAGAAAGTAATTGGCTAATAACATGCTCACCGATTCCTTTTATTCATATTTCGTAAAATGAAATCATAAATATAATTTATAATTAGGCAAATAAATATATTGATATTGTATAATACTAACATATTTCTATGTTCATACAGAAACTCATTAACACCGTATTGCTACTTATGATACTCGTATAATTCGTATATTTTATAATACTAATTACCGTTGAACTTTAAACCGTTATTTTCATCAACATTTTTAGTTACAAGATATGCAGCATAAATATGTCGCCAAGGATACGGAAATTAATATGCTACGACATCAAATCCTCGATTTGCAATCCAGTGGAGACAACAAAGCGATCCTTGCCAGGTTTGTCGAAGTAAAAATACTCAAATATGTTTAATGTTCCTCTACTTTTTTCGTTAATATTTTATTTTTTAGGATGAGTGGAGAAGTCTTATTCGCACATTTACAAGCTCTGGAAAGTAACAAAAAAGTAGAAATATTAACTACAGCTTTAAACAAGGAAAAACAATTAAAGATTGAAGCTGAAGAAATGCTCACAGCACGTCAAAGGATTTACGATATTTACTCAACCAAACATGAAGCTAAATTTAGGTATTTTTTATACTATTTATCTTTTATCTTAATACATACTTTATAAATAACAACATAATGCTTACTTAAATCCAGATTATTTAAGGGGTTGGTAAAGCAAATAAATAACCAATGGCTCAAAAATTATCTATTTAACCACATAAGACATTGCATAAACTATACCTACGTATATAATTATAACTATATATATGTATATATTAAATATAAACCAACTATAATTTTAATAGCATAATTTGTAATAAGCTTTTCTTTATTGCTGTTTTGCAGGTACATGTACGACGTAATCCAAATTCTACGGCAGCAATATCAAGGAAGTATACCTTTAGCTTCTATAGAAAACTATCTTAATAATATGGAAGATTTATCTCATAAAACTTACGCTGTCAATGAGAAACTTTCCGAAGTCGAAGATCTTCAATTAAATTTAGTTGCTAAATATACGATATTTGATCAAATTCTGGACGTGTCTAAAAATAAATGTTTCGAACTACAAGACAGTTGTCCCCACAAATTAAGAATGATAGTATTGGTAATATTCCTACTGTAGTAATTCATTATTTTTACCCCGTTGTTTTGAAATGATGTATAGTAAATTTTAACAGAAATTTTATTTGTTTTTAGGAAGCGACCAAATCCCGTGAAATTGATCACCTAAATAAAAAAAATATAATACTGGAGCAATCTCGGGAAAAGTTATTTAAACGATGTAGTGATCTTGAAAAAACCCTTGTGCTTTTAAATCAAGGTTTTGAAAAATCGAATTTGTACGATTCTATATTAAAACAAAAACTTAACGAAAATGGCACCGTGTCTCATATAAAAGTAGAAGATATTCATTCTGGTGATGAAAATTCAAGAAGTAATAATATTATTAAATACTTAATTAATTAATATTATTAACTTGTTTTTTAGTATATTAGGTAGTCAATAACATGTGCGTTTATATTTCAGAAAGTCAAACTATTACATTACCTCAACCCAAGTTACTACAACCCTTAGAAGAAACTATTATTAAAAAAGATAACAACTCACAAGAATTTACCCCGAGTAATTTCAAAGATGCTTCTGTACCAACAAACAATCAAAAACCGGCAGTTGTTCATGTTTTTGTTCAAACTACTAGTATGGAAGTACATAATATAAGTAAATTAGTACAAACAGATGAAGATGAAGTACTAACTAACCTAAACTATCAAATAAATTGCCTTGAGAAAGATAAAGATAAAAAGAATAAGGAATTATCAAAAGCTCTCTCCTTAGCACATCAGAAAACAGAAGACTTACAAAAATTAAATAACCAAAATATAAATTTAGAATCTACAGTTAAAACTCTTAGAGAAACAAATTTTCAAAAAGACAAACAAATTCAAAAGTTACATGTTGCACTTGAAGATTTGCAGCAACAGTATAATAAAAACAAAAGTGTTAACAATGCTGAGATAAACAAAATTAAAGATATCGCTAATGAGGATAATAAATCACTTTTAGTTACTCTCAAACAATTAGAAAATGAAAAAAGTAATTTGATAGTGGAATATAAAGAATTGTTAAACAATGAAAGAGAAGAGTATTCTAAATCAATGAATGCTATGAATATAAGAATAATAGAATTACAATCGCAGTTAGACAGGTAAAAAAATGTAAATGTAATTAACAAGACGAAATTGTAAAAGTAGTAAAGTAATAACAAATTTTTACAAAGTTGCTTCCTTAATATTAATGAAAGTTAGTTATGAAAGCGAGTTAATGAATAATTTCTACTCCGGTCAGAGTTTACGATAATAATATCTATAAAACTAAAAGAAAAATTATGGCATATCTTATAAATTACGATACATACTTGTACAATAAAACGGTATATTCCATAAACCACAACGATATATAACCATATTATTTGTTGTTGAATATTTAGTTACCACAAAATTATTTTTAGATAGAACATACGAAATTGCATTATTGTATTTTCACTTAGGATAAGCAATTAATTGACTTATATAAACTGCCAGCTATACACATTGTATTGCGGATGCGGGGACGTGCCACCATCGATCATTCCTAACAGTTATGTAAATAATATTTTCCTATCTTACGTAGTCATACTGTGGCGGTACGTAGCAATCTCTGTTGTGTTCATTGCAGGAAAGCAAGTGACTCAAACGGTTCTAACACGGAAGCGCTCAAAGAAGTTGTAACAAAATATACATCAAAAATAAATGATCTAGAAGATAAGTGTTTTAAACTTCAGAGCGAACTGGATGGATGTACAGGAGAATTGTAAGTAATTGGTGAACATAACATACACCGTATTTTTATAATTAGTTTTTTTATTATTCATTTTTCATCATCATTGTTAATTCCAGATCTACTAATAATAGCGAACTGGATCGTTGGAAACAACTAGCTTCTGAACGGCTTATAAAAATGGAGCAACTCAACTCTCAATTAGAAAAGCGTCATTGTCATGAAGTTAGTACAGTTAACTGTTTTCTACTACGTAAACATCAACTGCAAAATATGAGTTCTCTGTATATTTATTAATGTGTAATAATATTAGTTTGATATCGTTTTTATCATATTTTGTCACTCAATATTTAATATTAATTAAACAACAATAATTATTGTTTGATCCCATTGTTAATTACGTACCTTACTATTAACGATGTACCTATTATAAAGAAAAAATACAATTAGTTAATTGCAATCATGCGACATAACAGTAAAGATATGTAATGATATTTTAGGTAGAATCATATAAAGCAGAAAATCAACATTGGCTAACACAACTTCATGAAATGCAACGAGAACACATGGAATTACGTACACGACTCACAGAACAGAAAGCGTTGCATATCAAACAATTAGCAGAGAAGGATTCGCAAATCGAACAATTGCGAAATGTTGTACATAATCTGAGAGTAGGTACAATTTTTCTTTTGTAATGTCATTGCATATTTGTCTTTGCCTACATATAACTAGCAGTGTCTATCTATTAGATACATTTAAATTTTTATATTAGATATCAGTTATATTTACAGTTTGTATAAAGTACCTACTTATGTATTACTTCCCTCTTCTTTTTGCCGAAATTTTTGCTTAGAATGTATAACTGTTTATTTTGTTTATTCTTATAGCCCTTTCAGGCAAACTTTAAAATTATTTGAAAGAAATGTTGAAGGTTATCTTTGTGTTGTGTAAATTTAAGTTTATCGACGTAATATGTGCATAATATACAAATATGATGATTATGAATATACTATGCTTACTTTTGATTAATATATTTTTATACTAAATTATTTTAGGAGTTATATAAATATATTCTCATATATTGTATTGATATCTAGTCACAGTTGTCAAATAATAAGTATTAAATTCTTTCTCACTGTCTCTCTTATTTGTAAGATTTCTATCATAAAACAGAAAATAATTTCATAGGCACAAATATTGAACATGCAGACTATGATTTCAATAAATGACCCAAGTTTCGATCTATCTGCGATTGTGGAAGCGGAAGAACCCAGTGACATCTTATCCCAACAGGGCTCCGATCGTTTGGAGATCAAATTTGATTCTACAGTAGACTTACATGATTTACAAGACGACATTGTGAGAATGCCTGCCACATCAACTGCTATTTGGTCAGTTATTAAATACTATAGTTCTTGTTACTTGCCTTTTCAGTTATAAAAGCCTAAACTCTAAATTAATGAATTAAATATAAATCATATATTTAGAGTTTATGGCGAAGCGAAGTTAACAGACTTTTTCAGCGAAATCATAATACCATTAAAAGTTAATTGATTATACAATAATATTTTTTATTATTGGTGTAGGCAAGAGCCATTAATAGACAGATTACGTCGAGAGAAACAATTAACGGGTAAACAAAATATAATACTTCGAAGACAAATCAAGGCTCTCGCGGCTCGAGAGAAGCGTGCACGGCTCGACGCACAGAACTTAAAGAGTCAAATTATGAGATTGTAAGTATTTAAATATAATACCCCTCTACTATTACTATAATAGAAACTTAACTTTTAGATTCTACCTAGTAATATAAATCGTGACTACCTACTTTCCGATTATAAAACTTCCTACTTCTACCATGAATTTTGTATCGTCAGTGGAATTTCTGATATTTCCTACATCTACATAAAAGCTTCAGAAATGACATTACCAAGAGGTACCAAGACTGAAAGTAGTTGCTATTATTTCAAGTTCGAAACTAAATATGGAAACATTTCATCGTTAGTTGCAGTATAAAAACCATTCATTTTACTTTAGCTGTGTTTGCGGTTTTACCCGCTCGAAGTTTAATTAATTCGAACCTACTCGTATGTGTTACTCTGATATATAACCTAGATACTGACTTAGAACTGCAATGTTTTTGCGTGAAAGAAAGAAACAAACATCCATCCATCCAATAATCCATCCATATTTGCAAACTTTCGCGTTTATCATATTAATAATTAGATTCAAAGAAAAATGAAAAAAATAGATATTCTATTGTTATATGAAGTTAATCATACTTAATATATCTACATACCTATATGAATTAAGTGATTTAAAACTTAATTAAATTTCCTGTTAAATGTCCAATACATCAGAAATAAATAATGACCTGTCGTTTCTCTTAACAGAAGTTCAACGGGTGGTAAAGCAGTTTCAGTTGAGACAGCAGCCCTACATAACAAAATAGCCGCTCTTCAAACACAGCTGACTAACGCTCGTAAAGACACGCATTCTTCCATCACCTTGTGGGATAAATGGAAAAGGTTACTTATATAACTTAAATACGTAATTTTTGAACTAATTCTGGTATCCTGTACTACTTATAATAAACAAGAATTTAAAGTACGGGAACTATGAATTATTATACAGTATATAGTCTCACATTTATCTTGTCAATAATAATTTTGATATTAAAATGTATTTATTTAAGCAATTGTATCTCTATATATCTATTGCTAGAGCGCAACAAGCAGCAGATCGTTGGCAATCTCGATACGAAGAAAAGTTTCAAGAAGCTAAAAAATTGGAATCCAATCTTAACATGGCAAAATCGATGGTGAACAGATTAGAAAGAGAGAAACGAGTAATTCTTACTAGATTATCGGAAGTTAAGAGTAAGTAATTGAACACAATGTGTAGACAATAAAGCCACCAATACATTTTAACAAAGAGGTTTTAATTTATCAGCGTCGTGTAACTGGAGATGAACAGAATATTCAGTAGAGTTACCCGTAAGGTAGCTTGTAATTTATCCTATTTTTATTTTGATCAATATATTTGATCTTATTAATTTCTTTTTATAGTAATAAAATAAAAAAGAGAAATACATACATATTATATATAGAAAACACCCAGAGTTCATACTCATGAATACAAATGTTTGTGCCGTGCGAACAACGGTCGAAAGAAAACCAGAAATACTAGACAACATACTTAGATAGGTTTGTGCAAATATGACCTAATTTTAAATTCTGGTAAATTTTATGATGACATAATAACACTTTGCAGATGAAAGCTTGCTAGCTATAGAGAAGCAAGATGCAGAAATGTTGGAGAAATCTATGAGATCAAGCCACGTCTGTACAGGTAGCGCAGAATCAGAAGCGGCTGAAGTAGATGGGGCAACTCCAAGTGTAACTGCCCTATTAGCACGCGTGCAATCTCAACAACGCAGGATTGTAGCACTCGAAGTCGCTGAAAAGGTCCTATCGACATAATCTATTATTTTGCTGTTTGAAATAGATGCAATTATCTAATCTTATTTTAATATTATATATGCGAAATTTTGTGAGTATGGATGCTTGTTACTCTTTCACGCAGTAACTACTGAACGGATTTTGTTGATACTTTACAGTGATATAACTTACACATCAGAATAACGCATAGGTTATAAATTTCAAACAGGTGAAACCTCGGGCACAGCTAGTATTTAATATATAATGAGAACCATATTAAAAAAAACTGTTTTTGTTAATTTAAAAAAAAATATTACAGTTGATATAATTTTATAGGGGAATGAGCTTCTTGTAGCTGAATATGAAAAGGCTTTAGCAGAAATAACATCACTCAAAGGGCAAGTTCTAAAATTGGAGTCGACCTTGCTAGAGTCGCAGATCCGTACTCCAATCAAGTCGGTGAATGATCCTCAACCAGAACTAGATTATTGGAAGAGGTATTTAAGAAAATACGTAACTCTGTAGTGATAGAATTGTTGTTGAAATGTGTAATTAAATGTAATTTATTGCTATTAAACAGTTACTGTGACATGCTGAAAGAGGAGAATGTGCAGTTGACATTGCGAGCGAATGCGCTCGAATCCACGCCGACCACTGCGAACCAAAACCGTGTCAGCGACCTTGAGCAGACTGTGTTGACGCTTAGAGGTAATATATCAAAATAGCTGTAGTTTCGAAATAAGGGGTGACTAGTGTTACCATATTACTAACGTGCTCTCTGGAAACCATCGGAATTCACCACGATGGGCTTCTGACCTGATTTTTTGCTCCTTCAATCTTTTACATACAGCATAGACTGTTAAACAAAGAATATATATTATAATGGAAAATAAATTTACTTCGTTGACATTTCATTATACAGGCTCTAGCTATCGAAAGACCTATGATTGTGTACTGAACAAATTATTTTAAGTCGTAACAAAGTATAAAATGCATCTCATGTTATGCATCTGCATATGGGTAAAAATATATCTATATAGGTAAGTAAACAACAAGCTACATGTTAGAACTGTTTGAGTATATAATAAATTATTTTCTTAATTCCAAAAGGTCTAGTAAGCAAACTACAAGCTGAGCAAAAGTCTTCCACCACCTACAGACGTGTGGACTCACGGCCGAGTAGCGTACGCAGTACTACAGATAAAGTAAGTTTTAATTTATTTACGATTTTTTTTATCGAATTGGAATATCAAACTAGCTGACTGGTTATCTGATGGTATATAGTAACTGGTGCCTATATTTACCTCAAAAACGGACAGCACTTTATCATATGACACCGCTCACTTACCAGGAAATAAAATGACATGCCTCTTATACTGAATTTCACTGCCTAATCTGCATCCTAAATCTTCATTCATAATACAAGACCTTTCCTTATAATTATATAATTAAGAATTGATATTAATATTGTTCTAGAGCCGCTCTCAATTGGACTCGCATCGCACTGAAATTGCAAATTTAAAACGCAGTATATTGGACAAAGATTTGCTGTTAGAAAGATCTAAAGAAATGCTAAAAATAGCGGCTGAAAGGGAAGACGAATTGCTAAGAGAGGTTTGTTATAATAGTTAAATGTGTAAATATGTAAACGTAACGTAAAAATATTATACTACATTACATTATACTACAAAACTAGGTATGTGAAATGTTTATTGTTATATGATTAATATCTTCTAATAATAATCTTCTCATATGTAGAAGAAAGTGACAAATAGATATATTTAAACGATATAAGAAGAAAATTAGAGAACTGACTGTTACCCGCGACTTTGATGCACAAGCTTTCACCTCATTTCACTTCCTTCTAGTTTTTTTTATGAGATAAAAACATTATCTTCATACAAAATTTTATTAAGATTCATTCAGCCATTTACTAAAACGATAATATACAGGTAGTATTTTTGCCTCATACTAGTATGGAGTATGTAATATTGATTTAGTAATATGTGAATTATTATATTACAGAATTCAATATTACGACGACAAATTGAAGAGCTTAGAAGACCTAAAGGAGGATTTTTATCAGCTTAATAAATATAAGGATATCTTTAAAAAGACTAATTTTTAAATATAAATAAACATTGTAGTCAATTTTGTATTTCTATATTTTTTATTGAGTACTTATTTCAACTTTATTACGTTATCATTGATATAATTACTTAATAAAAAGTCAATTTAATAAATAAATATTGCTACCAAATTAATAGACACTTCTTTTTATTCTATTACATTTTTATTGTATTTTAAATAGGCACAATCACACGCCCATATATAAACTCATTAGTATAAATAATTTCCTCGCTCGTTCATTCATTTAGTTATAATACATTGAATCAACACATTTTAGCTCTAAAATAGAAGAAAATAAATAAAAAGACGTAACTTACTCTAAAACACCGACTCCAATGCATTAATTAAGGATAAGTCAAAATCTACTGGTCAGATCTTGATCAAATTTATATGGGATCATATATAGAGGTTCCAGTTTTAAAATAAAAAAAACGAATTATTAAAATCGATATACGTAGAAAAAATCAGCGGTTATACATAAAAAATACAGTTCAACTGAGAAGCTCTACTTTGAACTCGATGAAAACATAAGTTATTGTTAGTTAACAGTTTTCGTATTCTGATTTTACAAGGACCCCAACGAAGATTGTTAATCTGGTTGTTTAAATCTAATACAATAGTGATTACACAGCATTTGTTATAGTTTTACACGTTCAAAATTTTCATATAAGATATCGTAGGTTATTTTATCACTCAACTAAAAATATCAAAAACTGTTATTACTATGTCATTTACATACAGATATATTAATTGTCCATTGGTAAAATTACCTCAAGTAGATATAAATTAAATAAGTATAATAGCCGAAAAATATATTTTGAGATACACATTTGGCTTATCATCATTTGGTAGCGTAATTACATTTAAGTATTACATACTAAAACGCAGTAATTATTTACTCAGCTGTAAGTACCTAAAATTATATGTAAATTATAATTAAAATACTTTTTAGTATAAAAAGTATTTTACATAGCTTTCAAAATACTGTTTCGTTACATACATAGCTTTCAAAATACAGTATTTTGAAAGCTAAATACTGTTTCGTTAAAAGAATATTACTTATAAAAATAATTTAAACATACATTCATGGTATATAAATGCTCTCAGTTTTAAACACTAAAGATAAATAGTCACCCGTTTATTATTTACATAAAAAGTTATATTATTATTGAACAATAAAAAATATTATTTATCATTATTATACTCGTATTGTAGTATCAAAGGAACATTTGATCCATACACATATTGTATATATTCTATATAAAAATTTATACAGTATTTGCCCCTATCACATGTGCCTATGTCTATGTACGAATATGTTATTTATACAATTACATTAAAAATTACATCAAGGTATACATATTTTAGATTAGGCTATTTTAGAAATATTCAATTTGCTTTCTTTTAAGTGGGTATACATACATACTCGTATAATATATTGCCTCTACTAAACTAAACTACTCGACCATTTCTCAAAATGAGATTTTGTTCACATAACTTTTGTCTTATAAATTAAACATTTGGCTATGCATGTTAATAATAGGCAGTTTCCGTAGCATTTTATTTAAAATAATATGTGTGCCATATACAAATTTGCTTTAAAATCAGTTTTCAGACATTAACTGTACTATGTGTACCTAATACGAATAAAATTCAATAGTTTCATATTGATATCACCTGCATTGTGCTAAAGTTTAAAGCAGTTGCTTGAAGTAGTATTTTATTTATAGTTCAACTTAACAGAATATATTCTACTACTACATAATTTTTCATATGAAATAAATTATGTAATGATCAATTCGCATGTTACACACGCAATAATTAAGTATCTACTAAGAATTAAATTCTTTCCCAACACTGAAATATCAGATTACAACTAACTATGTATATGCATTAAATACATTTTATTTTATTAAGGATCACTTTTTTATTAGAAAGTACACAAAACTATTATATAATAACTACTTAGATATTCTGTAGTATTAGTCTCGAATTCCGTCGCACTTCAGAAGTTCACACTGCGAAATAAATAAAAAATAATTTGTCAGTGGGTATTGACACTATAATATATGATATACAAATATCCATAATGTTTCAACCAAAGAGATAAATATGTTTGAATACATGTTTTCGCAAAAATATATAACATTTTGACGGCCACGGTGGGCTAACAGTGTAGTACATCGCATTACTGCCGATGGTTGTGTGTTCGATTCCTCGTGCAGTACAAACATTTGAAATAGTCTGGGTGTATTCTGTGTTTAGTATGCATGCATTTACAGAAATGAGTATTTTTGGCACTTTAGTAACCAATACAACACAAGCTTAGCTTGGGACTAGAAGCCGATGTGTTTTTATATATTTGTGGTTATTATTATATACGTACACTTATAGTACTCTCTCAGTACGGAATCATATAATCGTTTACAATAATAACTCAGAATAGACGGTAAATTTTTAAATTTGGAATGTTAAATTATTAATAATGAGCAAGAAAATAACTTGTTACTCTTTTCGAACAAAAGTAAATTTTATGATATTAAAAAAAAATCATAATGAAATTAAAATAAATAATAAATGAAATATTGTTATTATACGGGATTAGCACCACGTCTCTACCTTCACCTGTATGTACATTTTAAACCGTCGACACATGACACTAAAATCACTGCCTCGATCGCATCGTGTGTAGCGAAATCAGGATAATTTTTTCATAGTGTACCCACAGAATATAGAAGTCCAAAGAATATGATAAGAAATCACTTAGAAAACCAGTATCGTCTACACGCATACATTCTGATCGTGTTATAATTTTGAACGCATATAAACGAAAGCACAGAATCTTCGTACCATGCAACAGATTTCTTATTCTTTTCTATAAATTCTCTGTTCTGTTACTATCCCCCGCGCCGTGTCGATTTTGCGGTAATTCTATTACCGCTGCCACAATATTGCACCTGATTTTAGTGTTATGGGTAGGTTGCTTTAATAATTTTGACTTGCCGAAAAACCGATCCCATCACAGCTACAGTAAGCACGTTACCTAACACTTATAATATGCACACACAACACATAGGAAGCATATGACAATAAACACATGTCAAATCGTTAAGAAATAAATTATCAGAAATTGAGATAAAATACCTACGAGTACAACGTGGAATTTCAAATTTAATTTCAAGCAGATTTAGAATGGAATAACATAATGTACGCAATGAAATTAGCGCTTATTGGTTCTAATAATTACCTACTCCAATCTTTTTATTAGAATAGGATAGGGTTTCTAGACTAGACTTATTAAAATACCAAATGCAACAACCCATTTTAGCAATTGTTAATTAAGCTCATATTATATAAGTATAACGCATATTAATATTAGACTATGTCAATTTTAATGGTTTTATTTTTATGAGATGTACAATTTATTAGCAACAATCATTTGTATATTATTCTGTATTGATAATTAGTTATTTAACTTAACTATAACCTTAGAAACACTTTTGGAACTAAATTCGATACACCCACCTGAAATAACAGTGCACAATCTAGGTATAAACCAAGCCCGAAGCTAGGAATAGAATATATTTCGCTAAATGGAGTCCATCTAAAAAAATAAATATATGTAACTACGAATAATTATGTTACCAGAGAAATTTTGATAAAATATGATTTCTAATTTAAATAAGGAAGAGTGTTTTTACACAACCAGAATATCACCAACAGTAGCTTTTAAGCTGTTCTGCACAACGTTTGTCAAGAATGATTTTTAATAAGTAGGTATATTAGTAATAAAAATATATTTAGATATATATTTTTAAATAGATACTTTTACTGTATATTCCCTAATTATATTATCTAATAAAAAATTTAAATTTATTTAAACTTGCTTCTATCTTTTGTAGTTTAATAATACATAAATACTAAGTTTCATATAAATCACTGCAGCCTTCTAGAAGCAGATATAAAAGCAATGACGTAAAACATACTACATACACGTGCGTGCGACTATTACTCAGATGATCACCTCAGATGACCGCAGTAATTTCTCTAAAATCCATATATATAACAAATAAAATACAAATGTACTACATGTAAGACACAAAGAGCTACAATAATATATAATGCGAACGAATATGCGATTAAACATGCACGGCATGCATTAAAAATGTAGACAAGTAATTAACTATTTTATATTAACTGCTGTTATGAGATTACCTCTGGAGGTTAGTCCTCTTTAGTAAACCCTATAATAATATAACGATTCTCGTGGTCGAAATACGCGGCTTATAAATAATGAAGTTGTGCGACAGTGCGTGTTGTGTCGGGTGGACGCGCGTGTTAAACTAATAGCTGCCTTGCTGTCCTAATCAGCTTAAAAATATGTATTGTAGTTAAATCTAGACAAAGAATGAGAAATACTGCACAAGCTGCTGGCTCGTTCATCATTGAAAAATGGCGGAAATCTGACTGTAGAGCAAATATAGAAATCATAGAGCTATCGATAATTTGTAAATCTAAAACGTGTCTGGAAAACAAAAAGAATGGAATAATAATAATTTTTTAAAAGAAAGTAAAACGACTCGAAATAACACGCGTGAAATAGTGCATTTATGTTCAATGCAAGCACTCACGATTGCGCTCGCTGGTTTTCCCGCGCTAAATCGCGCACACTCGATCGCGCGTGAAAGAACGTGTCGTATAAAGGCAGTTAAAGAATGTATCGTGTAATGGCAGCTATTGATGTGTATATGTTTAATTCATATGGTTTGTGAACTTACCTGAACATCAGTTTTGTGTTGTGCGGCGGCCCTCAGACGCGCCGCGAGCGGCGGCGTGAAGAGCGCGGGGTCGGGGTGTTTGCGGCCCGCGCGCTCCCACGGCTGCTGCTGCCGCCACAGAGCAGACACCGCGCTGCCCACCACCAACACCCACACGAAACCCAACTGCAACACATTTCAATTTTATTTTTATCCATTTGCGACTACTCCATCTAGGACAACAGTCGTGACGATATGTTGATCTTGTAAATAAGGTGTATAATTACAAATTTATAAATAACGTACAATATTGACTACATTGTAATTTTTATGTCATCATGTATTTATGACGAACATCTAGAATTACATTAAAATTTTCATATTCATCGTTCATAACAAGTAGACATAATAACTTAATACCTAAACATATTAAGTTCATTTGAAAATATATTTTTTTGTCTATAACCAATTGAAATTAAAAAATAATAAATTCAAAATTACTTACCGGACTAGTCCACATATAAGAAATCCTATATAAATAAAAATAGTCATCTGGGTTATTTGGGGGGAATGATGTTATAGTCCCATTCAATCCACAGCCCTCCGTGCTAAGAGGTAGTTTAACGGGTGACGGCCGCGGACCCCCAAAACTCATCCAAAGTGTCATCATCATAGCGGAAATCAATCCAATCGAGACTCCCTGAGAAAACGTATAAAAGTACAGTTAATTTAAGCACATTTTTTTATGTGTTAGAATACTACAATCATGCATATTAATATATATGATCCGTTATATCTGTCACATGAAATATATGTAAAATGACGTGAGTGAGCACCGTATGAACTGTCTATAATTTAATTGTATGTTGTTTCATAAAGTTCCATATTACCGGAATAAATGCAGTATGAGTACTTACTTATGAGTTATTCCAGAGCATAGTCATCTAGCGGCTACTAACATCTTAGGTTGGTGGCTAGGAATATGCATGATTCAATAATGACTAATTATCCCAAAAAAGTTCGTATACAAAATAAGGTAAGTTTCATGTGTAATAATAATTTCCACTTTATATAGTTTATATGTATGTATGTAACCATGTAAACTACTTAAATATAGATACTATTATATAATTAAAATAGCAAACAAGCTGACGGCCCATCTAGGTGGTAAGTGGTAACCATCACCTATATACATAAAAATACCTCGGACATCACGTCACATAGGACTTCCATGGCTCCACTCATGCTTTGGATTCCGAATTTGTGTGTTATGCTTACATATCGTGTAATTTCACTGCCTTGCCTCTCCTTTAATCTAAATATATCACACTTATCATCTATGTACGCTTTTAATAAATTTCTTCTTCGAAAAAAGAAATTTTATTTCTGTTTATGCCTATACTATAATTGTAATAATTGATCTTAATTAATAATGTAGAGGTCGCAGTATCTACATATATATGTATATAGATACAGTAGGCGACTATATCTGCAGGTAATACTAATATTCTGAATGTGACACGTTATCGAAGGACATTTAAATACAATACTATGTAACAATATCTCATATTTACCTACATTTAAATAGCAGATATAACTGTACCATTACTCACAGCCGACTACATAAGACATTGAATTAGTCTCACTTATTCGTCTTAAAAAACATGTTCGAGATAACAGCTTACATAAATCATTTTTATCTAGTCAAAAATACGTATCTATAATAACACTTCAACAAGTGTTTTCATGGGGAGGTTATAAAAGATAAGGTCCCCATGTGGGTACTAAAGAAAGTAGATTATGAAGTTAAATATGACATTTTTTGTGGGTTGATTTAACAGTAGATAAATAGATACACAATACTTCAATATAAGATTATAATATAATAATATTGATTGTATATTTTTTATTTATTAACAAAATATAGAATACTTGATTGTAACTTATTCATTCGTAAAGTGAGTAGTACGTGACATAAATAAATTTCAAATGTTGACTTCTACTACTAACATAATTATGTATCTATCTCTAGCTGTGCCCGCGGTTTCATCCGCGTTAAATCTTACATATAAAATTCTCGTGTCACAGTTTTCGTTCCCATACTCCTCCGAAACGGCTTGACCGATTCTCATGAAATTTTGTGAGCGTATTGAGTAGCAGAGAGCCAACATCTATTTTTCATCCCCCTAAATGTTAGGGGTAGTCCACCCCTAAATTTTTATATTTATTTTTTAGTCAAAATATTTAGTTTTTATTTTTTTATGATACAACATACAAGAATACATACAATCCTAAATTTTCACCCTTCTATCATCAACCCCTATTTTTTTATAGCGTTATTAATTTATATGGCAAAACAACGTTTACCGGGACAGCTAGTTTCAATATAAAATATAGCCTATGTATCAAAATCCATTCAGTAGAATTTACGTGACAGAGTAACAAACATCCATACTTACAAACTTACGCGTTTATAATATTATTTATTATTAAGATTAAGATGAGTGCTTAGAAAAACAACACATACCTAATAGAAAAGAATTAACACTTACCCTTTCTGTTGCGAAGGTGGTAAACATGCCAAGTGTGAACATGCCCAACAATGGTCCACCGACTGCTCCAAAGATGGTAAAGGCAGCCTGCAGCACACCACCCATATGCTCGGCGAGGAAGGCCAATGCAAGGAACACCAATCCATACCCGCATGCCGCTAGTTTTGTTAACCATGGTAGGTACGACTCGCGGATGTTACACCACCTTCAATTATATATTAAAAAATATCTATTTATTAAAATTTTAATGCACAAATACACAAATAAAGATGTACATGGAATCATAGTGGAAACAGAGATTTATGTGGGTAGTGAATTTAAATAAATAAATATATATATATATATATAGACAAAATAAAATAACAATGTAAAAATAACAGTAACATCAAAATACAATAAATTAACTACACGCTTTAGTCCGCCGTTCGTTCGGTACCGTTAAATACTAATATAGCTAAAGTAATAAATAATCTTTAATATTGGGTAACTTAACAGAACATAAAAATTATACAAAGACTAACATAAATATAAAGAAATAAGGGAAGAAATTACCTTTTCGAATAAAAATTTATCAAAATCGATTCGGAACCAGCTTTCTCAATACAGAGATAATGCAAAACAAATGTAGTTAAACTGTTATAACTTTAACTACATTTGTTTTCCCCCATGTATGAAGTCAATATATAAATACTAAACTACTAACCTACCGACGTAGTCTGTGAGAGTTACAGCAGCGAGCGCGTTGCAAGCTGCCGATATTGTGGACAATGACGCACTGAAAATGCCTGCCACGAACAGACCAGCCAGTCCTGGCACTTTCCGCATTGCATCCACCACATAATAAGGCATTAGCTGGTCAATCTGAAATACAACAATATCACATTGTTGTTTTAATAATAATAATAGGTACCCTGGACAATTCACGACAACACTATCAATAATATTTTTGTTGTAAAGACATATCCGTGTACATGTAAATCATTATCTAACACAAACAATTATCTCATCGAAACAAATGTTTGTACCTACTGTGCGATGAATCGTACCCGCCACCATCGAAAAAAAAAGCGGTATACTAAGCATTTAGACCAGCGGGCTCGTCAATAATTTAATAATAATATACCTTCATGACCCATTTCAAATAGAATGAATAGAGACCGAGCGAATTATATGTCGCTGAGTATACATATTTAAATGGAACATGATTTTTTTAGTTTTGCTGTCAGTGCTTAGATATTTGAACTGTAGATCTTTGTGGTCTACAGGTGGGTCTTTGGAGTAATAAACCGCTAGGTCATTTTCAACTCAACACTTCACTCTAATTTCGTGTTTTTATTATACACAAATATATAGTTATTATATTTGTGCGGAAACTTACCGAAGCAATTTTTTTATTCATCAATGGATCACAGTCTTTATACACTGCATAAATCCCTATACTACCAATGCATGTCACAATACTTAGTAACGAGAGGACAGGCCAACTCCACCATAAGCACTTCTGTGATCTCTCCAAGGTGCTTACTGTTAGCAGACGTTGAACCTTAAAAATATAATTTATGTCTATATTAGCATACTGTAGATAGGTACGAAAAATATTCCATTATTAAAATTTACATTATGTTACAAATCTAATATAATCATATCAATATTGAATACATAATCTGCTACATACATAATTGACTATTCTGCAGTACAGAATGAAACAGATTAGATTTTTCTTAAGATAACAAGAAGATGATGATGAAGATGACTAACGGAATTTATATATCTAATCAAATTGTATATAATCGATATAGAGACGTATTTAATATAATAAAAAGTAGTAAATAAAAACGCTCAGAGTCATAGTGCATTCCAGATGGATAGGGTACTTGACATAATAATATATACAGAACAAACATTAACTTTTTATTTTCTATTAACACTACTATTTAAATGGTCGTAACTTTGAAACAATCAAAAAAGCGTAGACGATGAATTCATTAATGTCCGGCTAAAGTCCACCAACTGTACCTCTCTATTTATATAGATACAGTTATATTTGCCTTGATACAGTTATAAACGTGTGGCCTCGAACTTATATAGAAAATATCCTTCAGACTGTCGCGTGATTGTCTTTGATGAGTTTTTCCACGATAAATATGATGCGATAGGGATCTATTTATATATCTATGTTTTTTCGATAACTATCCCCGTCCCCGGTTTTTACTGTATATTCGTAATTAAGCATCAAATTTAATAAAATTTCTAATATAATTCCTTTTATGCAGCGATATTAAATCAATATTCATGATATCATACTTAATTGGAATTAATAATTAGATAAATAAATATATAACTCTACCTGTGTATGGTTAACTGCATATAGAGACATATAAGTGAATAGGCCACCAAACACGAGTGACCACCATGTATGTCGCTCAGTTGGATCTAAGCTGAAACTGAACACATAAATAGACGAAATTAAAAATAACTTCGAACAATAACTCTCCATTCTCATAAGATATACATCCAAGACACTTACTTACTAAAGTCTAAACGTCCACCCTCTTTGGCTTTTATAAATATTTGTTCAAATCCTCCAAGCTGCACCGCACTGAACACGACCACGCTGAATACAGCTCCAAACATCAGCAAAGACTGAAGCAAGTCAGTGAATAACACTGCTTTCATGCCTCCCAAAGTTGAGTAGAAAGTGCAAACTAAGCCTACAACTAATATCGATATCAATCTGTCCAGACCAGTCACAGATTCTAGAACTATAGCGGGGGCATATAACACTATACCATTATATAGCACCATTTGTAATGTGTACGTTAACGACGCGAGCATTCTAATTCGTGGGCCGAAGCGGAGCTCTAAATACTCATAAGTACTTGTCTTTTGAAGTCCAAAGAATACGGGAAGATAAAGTCTACTAATTATAGGTGTGGCTATACCATACGATATATTTATGACCACAAACTGCATTCCAAAGTAATAATTTTCTGCTGACAGTCCTAATAACGTAATTGCGGACATAAAAGAGGCCATCAAAGATACAGCAACGGGAAATATAGACATATTACGGTCAGCCATGAGGTATTCCTGTGAACAAATTAGTACGTTTAAAAATTAATATCATTTCTGAGAATATTAGAAAGTCTGTTATGTGATATGTAGGAAATATAAAGATTTGTGAACAAAAAATTTAGGAAAAATTTTAGTTAATGTAGAAATATTGCCTGCAGCGCACCTCATTCGTTTTCTGTTTGCCTCCGCTGAATCGAAAATAAACTCCAATGGCAACTGATGCAATCATTGTGGACACCATAATAATATAGTCCCATACTCCAAATATTGATTGCACCATCTTGACCTATAAATGAAACTAATTATAGTAAGTAGGTAATTTAAAATACATTCGTAGTTTAGAAAATTTCTAAATTTGAAAAATTAAAAGTTCTAGAAAGGAACCTACAAACTAGAAGCATTGAATATTTTTAAAGTACTTAAAATATATTTGTAAAAATAGTATAGATTTATAATTAAACTAATGTAATCTAAATATGTGATTAAATTATTCAACAACATAGCTACGAGGAAAGAACAAGGAATGAAAATTTATATCTGATATTTTAACTAAACTCGTACATTTGTTTGTAATATTGACAATACTAGATAAATAGTAATTATACAAGATACCAGTAATCATTAAGTATTTAATTTTATTGGCGTAACTTCGCGCAATAAACAGATCAATTATTTACTACACTTGAGGATTCCTATTCCACATTACCTTTAGATTTTTTTTACTAACTGGTCACATTATGCGTTTGTAGATTTTGCATTTAGCTGGTAAGCATTGTTTTAAGCTGGAATTGTATTTAGCAGAGTGCAGTTGTCAGTTTAACCTAGCCTGAGATGAGAATTATCTAATGAAATCTTTTGGCTACTAAAGTGTTTTGCAACACGGAACAAATTCGAGAATGAAGAAAAAATATAGGTTAAAAGTTTCCTTACGGTGAAGCAACATTGAAAAAAAATGAGTTGTATCCATGTTGCAGTGCCTAAAAGGTGTATATTATATGTGTGAATTAATTCATTGATACCATAATTGTGTAACCCAAGGTGATTATTAAATTTAATGAATTTGGACTTATTAGTAGAATAGGCTTCTACTAATAGGTCCAAATGTCAAAATTTGTCATTATGTTACGTAATTTACAAATGTAGAAAAAAAAAATTTAAACTAATTTACCTTTTTTGATATTAAGTAGTTGAATAGTAGAATTAGTATTCTACTAACTAAACACAGTTGTCACAGACATTTACATGCATACTTAAATCACTTTTTTTTATTCTAATTTATACGAATTTACCTACAACTGCATGTAATTGTCTAAGAAAAATTACCTCCAGGTCTAATAGAGAAACGAAACTATTGCACTTTAATTACACAATCAATACTATTCAAAAGCAGATTTTTAATAACGTATTTTTTTACGTTATTAATTATAAATTAGTAGATAATTATAATCCTACATATTGATGGCCCAAGACATTAAAATCAATGAATAGCACTTTTCTCTGCTGATGTCCTTACCTCGATGTAGATACAACGCAAGGACAGTAGAAACATTAATCGAAAGCAACGAACTCAATTAATTTTAATTTACCGAGATAACTAGGTAGTCTATTGATACCAATTTTAATTAAGAGACAATTCGCTTATTAGTGGGCCGTAGTCAATAATAGTGTTTATTTGCGTATTAATAGAAGATCTACATGAAAGCACGCTGGAAAGACTGTATTTGAATAACAATGTTATCCAAGTACAATTTGTTATCTAAAGATGTGTTTGTTTCAAAAAATATAAATAAAAACAGGTCAAGAGTGAATTGGATATTGAAAGTTAGTATACTGTTATCTTTTATTTTTATAATGCAGACAAAATGTTACTCTCTCAGGGTAACATTTCCTAAATTCGGAGATATATTTAAGAAAAAGAAGGAAGAAACCCTGGTCCGTAAATATTTAAACTGGGAGGTAATAACTCATTTGTAAATAATTAAAGTCAATACTTAAAGTAAATATTGGATCCCTTCATCCTTTGGTCTTAATTTAAATGTAATAGTGCAATAGTTATATCTTCAGGAACTAATTTATTACGCTGATTTTAATATCCAAACATTATAATATATCTAAGGCATAATATTCTAAACAGTGTGAAATCAAACGTCGTTAAAGTTAGTAACAAAACTAATATAAGTATAAACACAAATTAAAATTATATACCTATTTATAAATAATTTACTTAGTTTAGGTAGACATCGTTCTGACTTTTTTAATTTTCCCGCCAACAGCTGACTGAAACGTCAAAGTAAAATGACGTCAGTATGGTTTTGATTAATAATAACATTTCATAAATAGATACGTTTTATACAAGTATTTCAACTACAATAAGTATTTTTAATGAAATAAATAATGTAAATCATTCATTGATATATGTACATTTAAAAATTATTTAAACAAAAATTTATACTCACCGTAGTAAATCACAAACAAACTTGCACTATGATCAAGCAGTGGTTACTCGTTCAGTAACTATAATATTATACAATATTCGATAGTGGATACATCACTACAACAATTATTATTGTGAACACTAGCAACGACCAACGATACTATTTAACCTTGGTAACCCTAAATATATTCACGCACGCTACGCTAGGAAAAATATGAAGGAAAGTTAAATCACAGTGCTAAACGTCCATACTGAACACGTAATACTTATGAAGTAAAGTTTAAAAAGCAGTGTTCGTTCAAAGTTCTAACAAATTTATAACCGGTTTTTTCACTGTATATAGTTTGCATGTTTTTTACTTATTTCACAACCTACTGTTTCAGAGGTTATGTTTTGACAGAGCACCTCAGCAGACTCAGCGCACGATAAGCGACACGGTGTTCTCTAAATCGCTTTAAGCGCTTTATTTTGATGTCAACGTGACATTGGTAAAGCAAAATATGCTTATCGAATAACATTCGTTATTATTCGTACAATCGTTGGTGAACTTGATTTATTATTTCTAGAGACCTCATTTCATTGTCCAGAGGTCAGTGGTATCTACTATATATAGAGAATTTACTCATAGCCAAAATCTTTAAAATGTCGGAAAAGAAATATAAACTAGGTTCTATAATTATTAATTATATTTATTAATTGTTTGAATAATGTAATTTGGCAGGTAATTAGGTAATAAAAATAGGTTTCTATGTAAGCTACTGTACAAATATGATCGCAGGTAAGCTAACAGTGGTTGGGTTAACCTTGAAAACTTTATTTGCAATTTTTTTTATACAAAAAGGCTAACACCAAATATGTTAAAGGTCCATTTGATAATAATACAATAAACTTATAGAATCTAACTTACTAAAAAAAGGTGTAATTCCACGAAGAGAAAAGTGCTTCAGCGCTGATATTACATGCGCGCGCAGTTATTTTCTTTATTACCTACACAAGATATAGCTGCTAATAAGAAAATTTAGTTAATCACAAAGTATATTTTCATTTAGTAAATTTTATCACTAAAATTGTATGAATGGCATATCAAGCTATTTTTAATAATCGAAGGTCTATTATTTTGATACGAACCACAAACTATTTTCACACATTGAAATTGAAAATGTTGAGGTGTCTTCACATTGATTTTTATTATTTCTTATTTAAGAAAATAAAGGATAAGTAGATACTGACACCTCGATAATTTAAATTAATTACACACTGTTTAGAGTCAAGTGGTGAAATATTATATAGTTGTATAATTACGAGTCTGTGTACATTAAATACAAGCTATTTTATATATAGATTATACGAAAATAACAACGCTCACATTTTTAAGCAACTGTTTATTTAAATAATCTTGGTTAATTATTTATCTTATAATATGTCTATAAAATAAAGGTACATTTTTATTTACTTTTATAGAAGGAAGACTTACAATTTTTGGAAGCGCATTTTGTAATTTAATATTATGATTGAAAAATATATAATTATCTCTTATGCTTAAGATTTCTTTGTATTCGAGTGCTTGATTGGCTCTTATTTAGAAAGCATGCAGACAAGCTCATTGATATGAGATTATGTTGGTTCCATAGTTGCTTTTTTAAGTTTTTGAGTCAATCCCATATTATCTTATAGGTTCTTAGGTACTAATTTTATTTGTATAAGTAACAAAATTTCTTCAACTGTATTTTTGAGCCTCTTTTTTGTAGCCTAATAAATAATATTGCTACATATTGACAAATAATACATTTTAATGTAGACTATGTGCTGGTATCGTATAGTTTTCATAATAACAAATAGGTAATATTTTACGTCCATTACACTCCTACAAGTTATATGCTAGTAGCTAGCTGCTACATAATTAACAAATAATAACTAATTATAAAAATACAGTAAATTGATAACAATATGGTATTTGAACAATTTCTTAGATAATCTATAAATTATGCTTTTGATTGTTTTGTGAACATCATGAATTTTTATAATTAACAACTATAATTGTAGACTGTTATAAGAGATAGGATGGAAAAAAAGATTTCTAGGATACACATCCTTTATCTTTTACGTTCAGAAATGTTATGTAATACAATATTTTAACGTGGTGAACAAAACCATTATATTGTTATTATACAAAACAAATTGAGATAAATAAAACATGATGTAATGTTTTTATATAAATCGATTATTGAGAACATATCCGTATATAGATTAACTGTACAAAGTTTCTGATTGTATGTATACATAAGTAAATAAGATAGTAAGTTATAGTACACATTGTAAATTCAGGGGGCCTGTACAGTTGGCAAGCGAATCGCAGTTTCTTTTTTTTTAAATATTCTAATGCTGTTGGAATAACTTTACAGCTAAATTCTCGAAAATTGGGGCTTGTCCAAGGCAAGGGGCGAGACAAGGCACTCAAAACCCGTGGAAGTATTTATGGAACGGCTGAAGTCCAATCCATGCCTATCGGATTCGGCTTTAGTGTATGGGCTTGGGAGGTTTTGAATCTTGGCTCAGGCCCGTTCAAATGGGATAAGCAATCTATAGGACCAATAATCTGTGGTACTATTGTTAATGTATCTAACGCTATGAAACGAACGAGGAAAACTAACGTGCTGGGCGTTGGTGTCTCATTTAAACTCATGCGGGCAGCTATCGAATTTTTAACTTCGTTTGCTAAATGTCTAAGCCATCGACTTATTTACTAATTAGTCACTAAAACATGTAGCACGTCATTTGCTCTGTTTTGAATTAACTATTCGAGTTCTTGAAAATGACTGGAGTTGTGATTTTAAAGATCTTTGCTAAGGAAAATGTATGCGAATCACGTCTTCTATTGTAAGACATTTTTATGTTTACAAATATAAATTTAGAACAGCGTTGCGACATATTCACCTCGCAAGCATGTGCATAGTTGTCGACAGACTAATGAAATTAAAGTAATGTTTTATACTAACTTCTACGTCACATTTTAATAGAAATGGAAATCAATAAATACCTAATAAATAAACTGCTGAAACTGCACATAAGTATTATTATGCTACACTAATACTGATACACTGGTATACAATCTGTTTTCACATTATACAGTGCCAGGTGTTACCTATAGGAAGCATCTTATCGATATAATGCATTAACTGAACCCAACTATATACACAGCTGTGTTGAGAATATAATAAATAGTAATTTAAAAATCTCGATTGACACGATCAACACATTTCATTTTTATTTTGGCGGAAGGAATTTCTCTCTTTGGTCACAAAGAGAGAAGTGCTATTCATCATCTCTTCTTTTATGTTTTCTGAGAGGAATGAAATGAGATCCATATATTTATATAACTGTCATTATATATTTACAACAATATTTTGTCGTGAATACCATCCATTAGCTACTAAAGGATACTAATAAAAGAAGTACATAGTCGTATATCGCAAACTATAAACTATTAATGTATGTCGATGTAAATTTGATAGAAATATACATGTATTGATACATTAAAACATACTGTAAAATATACATATCAACACAACTGTAATACCAGATAGCATAGTCAGAGGCATCTAATTGTCGCGGTAAACGCAACATTTGACACCTACTTTAATACACAGTAATTCATTAACAAAAAAATATACATTATATTTAAAATATATATAGTTGACAGTACATAATTTTATTTTGTACTTAAATATTACTCTTATACAGATTAATAACAGGCAATTGTCTTATACCTAGTAATGTTCTAACAAAGTTATGTTTTATTATAAGTACATAACTGGGTAATTTCTATATCTATTACATTTCAATATACTATATTTATTGAAATGCATTTGAGGTAAACAGTAAGTTAATACTAATAAATCTATTGGTTTACATAGTCACAGCACCGATGCCTAATACACCAACTAAAGTTCGTTTACATTTAATTTATATTGTCATAATCACAATACTAGTAGGTACTTACTTGACCCGTGCATTTTTTGGGTTTATTTCTTGGTCATGGTTATTTATCTCCATTATACGTTAGAAGTTCAGACTGTAAAATAAAAATATAAACATATTTTAGGTGCAGACAAAATATATAGCCTTTATGATGACGCTCTTAAGGTAACCAAAATTAAAAGCAACTTGTTAGTAAACCTTTTATTACCATAAACTAATTTCGTTAGTATTTTACAAATTACAGTATTTTGATTAATTGTAATTTTCATTGGTAAGTTTCATAACTAAAAATATAATAACATTTGACCCACCTGGTGTAAGTACCAATTTTACATGCTATCTAGAAAGCAAACCCGAAGAATAAAGATGCATTTAGGTGGAATCCATCTAAAAATAAATTCAAATCCCAATAGTTGTTAATGTCACACATGCCATTCAATGTTTTTTACAATGATTATATTATTTTTATATATGTACACGTACATGATAATAAATATTTAATAACTAAAAAGCGTAAAATTAAAATATAATATTTTGATAATGCACTCTTCTATAAAAAGCTAATTATATTATGTAAAATATAAATTTGCCCAATATGGAAAAAGAAGGATAAAAGATAGAACACATCTTACAATGGATATGATTATGTATGTTTAATAAAATTTTAGCTTATAGTACTTTATGAAATTAATAATAATCAAAAGAATAACAAATTATTCCCAACCTTCACTGAAGTGAACTTTTTCAGCTCTTTGTTTCTTTTATTTCATATGTCAAATTCAGTAATTTAATGCTTATTATATATTTTTAATTTAATATACGTAGGCATACAATGCCGAACATGCCGACTAAAAAGCAAATTGCCTAAAATGAATCATGCAACTACTGCCATAATATCTAAAATGCTAATTAAATTAGAAACAAATCGGCTACAAAATATCGTGACTATATTATTTACACGACACATTCTTTCATGCGAGACCAAAAGCGCGCGAGATTTAGCGCGGGAACGAAAGAAAGCCAGCGCGCGCTGTGATGTATGATTGCATTTTACTAATTTTTGTTATAGCGCGTATGTTTCAAGTCATTTCACTTTTTTATATTATTTTTTATTCCATAGATTATATATTCCTATGTCTTTGCTCTATAGTCAGATACTTTCCATTTTGCAATGATAAACTTCATTATAAAAAAGCCGCTAAAGCACTCACGAATGAAAAACGCGGGAATGCGCGAGCTGTTAGCGTGCATGGACTTTCGTTCTCTTTGTCTACATTTACATACACATTCTTTCCTACATGGAACTCGATTACCGCGTGAGAGAGCGTACGTATAGAGGCAACAATTGTATTTGCCAATAATGAAACAGTTGTAATGTACCTGAACATCAGTTTTGTGTTGTGCGGCGGCCCTCAGACGCGCCGCGAGCGGCGGCGTGAAGAGCGCGGGGTCCGGGTGTTTGCGGCCCGCGCGCTCCCACGGCTGCTGCTGCCGCCACAGAGCAGACACCGCGCTGCCCACCACCAACACCCACACGAAACCCAACTGCAATAGTTTAGTTTAATTATTCATTAATGCACATTTAAAAAATCTTTATACATATTCATTATGACATGTGACGTAAGATACACATGTAAATTTATAAAATACTTATTTGGAAATGTGTTTACCTCATGACATATGATACATAGATTAGATGTTGGATGATGGACATTAGACGATGTTAACCCTCCATAGTGAAATATATTTGCTATGGAGAAATTAATAAAGACATTAAAACTTTTTGTTGTAATGTAACTAAAAGAACCTATATTACAAAAAATATCTTCTTTAAAATTTCGTCTCCTATTTACCTTCTTTTATACTTCCTACTAACATAATAAATCTTCACGTCGATAGATTTAACCGTTTAGTCATAAGAATGTAAAAAATAGATTGATAGACACACTTTCGTATGTATAGGTGTGCTTTTTTTTAATTAAACGACAGTATGTTCTCGTGACACAAACAAATCTTCTCGTTACATTTCATTTAGTCGTGATAAAGTAACAGACATTGACACTTTCCTATTTATAATATTTGTATGGATAAAACAAAAATATTCAAATTACTCACCGGACTAGTCCACATGTATGACACCCGGTAAAGATAGAAGTAGTCATCAGGATCACTTTCTGGGAACACATTTAGGGTTCCATTATACGCACAACCCTCCGTGCTGAGAGGGAGCTTAGTAAGAGGAGGTCGCGGCCCCCCAAAACTCATCCACAGAGTCATCATCATGCCGGTAATCAGGCCTATCGATGCACCCTGTAACAAGAAACAAACAAATTTAGCTTAAAATAGCACCAATTTGACAGCTCTAGAACACTTCTCTGCGTGTTATCAGTTATCATGGATATTTCTTCTTAGAGAGAAATAAATATGCACCGGAGTAGCAGACAGGTTTCTGGACTCGAAGTTACTATAGTATATTAACTATTGTATGCATTTGTTATGTTTTATTTATGCTTTTACTTATATTAACACTAGATATAACAAAATTGAACTAATACTATGGATAATAATCTGCATTAGTCGACGTTATTGGTAAACGCAACAAATGTCATGTCCACATTTCACTGAGATATAGACGTGGCAGCCGTACCTACTCTGCCACGTTTATACCCTACTGCAGTTTCTCGGATTAATTTGGCTTTATTATCAGTGTTTCCATTAAGGAGGTGAGCTAAGAATGTAAATTAACGCACAAAGTTTTTTTTTTAGTCTCTATATTCGAATTTTAGAGCTTTGGGTCTAAGTCATTTTATTGTAATATATAATACCATATTATTTAACATTTTATAGGATTTATTTAATTTAATATTTAGCATTGATTATATATATGGCAATTGTATAAAATATATCTATATAAAAATATAAAAAATTGGCAAATGTATGTAAGCGCATTATTTCAGTAGGTAGATTTGGCTATTTTTTACCTGTATTTATAATTGACAAAGTTTGTTTGGAAGAAAATATTTCTATATAAAGAAATAATAGAATGGAAATACGCACGAAAAAGTAAAATAATTGGTAATAATGGAACTACAAAAAACATCAGTTCAAATTTTTTGTTAAATTACACCGCGTGCACGCGGCGTCTTGTAAAAATATATTTCAGTTAATTATCGGCGTCACTTCACAAGTGAAGCAATTCAAAGTATGTCAGCACATTTATAGCTCGTTCACACAGTCACTATGTTGATTGACCGTAGAGACTGATGCATTAAAATAGTTGATCAAATAAGTTACATAGATAGGTACTAGATGCAATACTTGTAGATAGACTGATTAAGTGATATCGCTGTTTCAGTCAAATATCAGACGAACGCAGGGTGACATAGAGTACTTATACCAGGAAAAAAGTATTATCCTGTATTTTTGTGCATTAATACGGCGTAATATCTTTACTAAAAACGAACATATTCCATGATTCTTCTTGACAGCGAAGAAAGTGGTACAATCGTGTTCTTATATAAATTTTGTCGAAATTGGTAGTCATTAGTAAATATATTTGTCTAGACTTATATTATATACACTAATGACGCATCGTAAAAATCTATTTTGCTAACTAACATAAAAATAATAAATACGTAGTTGATTTTGCTTCCAAATAATAGGCACTTACTTATATAGATTGTAAACTGGAATTTGTTGAATTAAATTTGATATTGTAATGATAAATTAACGTAGGTAACGTAATTCAATATCATCAGCTATGTATAGTATGGTATACATTCCCATATTTAGACGATACTTACTTACAAACACGCTTTTTCTTAGATTTGCCCAGCTAGTATTAATTAGCAAAAGTAATTCGAACCTGTATAAAAAGCGTGCATAAGTACTTAGATACTAAATTGGAGCAGACATTCGGCGAATCACTGCAATATTCTGCAAGTGTTTTAGTTTATTCGGAATTACGAATAATTATACAAAATTTCTGCCATTCGCGATGCAAGTAGCTAACAATGGGCATCATTGTCTACCTATAGCTTCCCAAGGTACATTATATAGTCAACCATAGGCAAGCTACTAAAGGATAATTTGAATGATACATTATTTAAAAACAAAAATGCATATATATACCAAACAAAATATATACCTAGGTACTGTATATTTGTTTCTACCACTATTTTGTAAAGTTGAAATAATTTTAATAAATATTCGATGAACATTATTGATCTTCAGAAATCTACTACAAATATGTAGTAGATTTCTCTTCTCTTGTCTATTTAGATTTTTTTACGTATGTTTAAAAAAACTCACCATTTCCGTAGCATATGTTGTGAACATTCCTAATGTAAAAACTCCTAATAAGGGTCCGCCGACTGCACCGAAAATCGTTAAGGCGGCCTGCAACACACCTCCGAGGTACTCGGCGAGGAATGCCAAAGCCAAGAAAATCAGTCCAAACGCGCATGCCGCCAATTTTGTCAGCCACATCACATAAGATGGCCGTATGGTACACCACCTTATGAATACACAAAATTATATCATTTAGGTACCACGTAATTAATCTAATAGGTACATAAATCATATACTAAAATCGAGACGATATAGGAGCAGTGGTGTCTGCAATTTCATGGGCGACTACACATTCAGGTGGATGTCAACAAACAATATACCTACTCGTAGTTAAAATAAAGCCGATAATAACAGGTATTTAACTAGTCATTTAGTTACTATCTCCATCAACTGGTACTCCGCTTGAGTATACTGTTATCTCATGTGGGAGTAGGTACTATTCCATCAATAATCATTAAAAAACTAGTCATTTAGTATTTTCAATAATAAGAATGAAAATATTAGCAAGAAAGAAACGTTCATCCGGCTTTGTTGCTATTTATTAACCCTTCAGTCAAGTTCTGTCGGTTGCTGTTTATAATATTTACATAAGTGTAAATATTTTATATATTCAACTACTCATGTTAGTACCATGTGTATAGAACTATATAGGTACTTACTAATATCACTTAAAACATGAAATTCATTTTTCAGATCACATATCACTTACGAATCTTCATGACAGTATGATAAGATGAGAAACATAATTTTGCGTCACAATCCACAATAAGATAATATTTAAATACCTACCAATGTCACTAAGTCTTTACCAAATAACTAAATCCATGAGATAAAATCTGTCTCTTGCTGATAAGAATGCAATAAATAAATTATACTTAACAAATAATGTTGTATACTAAATGTTACAGTATTATTTTATTTACATTTTAGGTAGGTACTGGTTACAATGTAAGTAATAATAATATATTGTATATATGGACAATAAAATTAAACATCATAATATGGTGCAATTTATAATCTATGGTGCAATAAATTTTAGGATAATCGCTCCAATTTGGTCTTTTAATCAAGTTACCTAATCTTTGGACAATGGTGGCATTATTGCCCCCAGCAACGTACGTGCATATTACTGCTATTTTGAATATAATTAACATAATCAAATAAGGAAAGTAGGTATGTTACATATATGCATGTTCGTTTTTCTTTAATTGCATTAGTAATTGTCATTTAGCTATTATTTTAGTAGGTATGATGTGTATTATATTTTTAGTTGAATTAATGAAATTGAATGAAAATCGAATGATAAACCGGCCTATACTAATTATATATATTACAACACATAGACTAATACAATGATACTCATGAATACAAATGTTTGTACTATGCGAGGAATGGAGATCGCGACTATCGGAAGTAAGGCAGTGTGCTAAACCGCTAGACCACTGAGATCGTCAAATGTGTGAAAAGTATAGGTTACCGGGAAAGACAGTCTATCGTCTTGTTCATGTATATAAGCGACGATCGCCACTTACCATCAGGTGGATAGTCAACATGTTTGCCATTCCAATTATATAAAAAAAATACAAACATACGGACTCATGACTTTGAATGATTGAATGACTGATTGTTATTGAATAAGATATGGTCCATGATTTTAATCGCTATTGATTTGCCTTTTACGAGTATGATTATATCATGTCGTCAGACATAGACGATAACGTATAAATTAGTTAACTACATGACGAAATATGTAATATTATAAAACACAACAACAAACTTTAATGATTTTTAGGTATATCTCCTACAAATCGTAATACATATTTAAATATGCAATTTATTTAATGCAATTGTTACTGATTAAAATTTTGCCCGTGACAACTTTGAAATTTGTCACAATTTAATTAAACAACAGAACGAATAACATTTATGTATAGTTACAGTAATATTTTGATTTTCTCTGATATGGTCATTTTATTCAACTGAACTGACCTTATTTTACCAACAGATTTTTTCAATTATACTTTATTCTTTGTGTATGTTAAACGGTCGCAACCTTGGCCAATACCCACCGGATTTCGAATTCTTTTTGCAATAGCAAAAAATGTTAACTTCGAAGTCTTTTTAATTTTTTTCTTATCAATAGGGACAAGAAAAATTAGTACACAAAATAAAACGCAGATTTGGAAAAGATATTGTATAGTGAAGTTTCACCTGTAAGAATCAGCTTTTGTAAAGCAATAATTTACTCACCTACTAACATAGTCTGTGAGGGTGACAGCAGCGAGTGCGTTACAAGCTGCCGATATTGTGGACAATGAGGCACTGAAGATGCCAGCCACGAACAGACCAGCCAAGCCAGACACGTCACGCATCGCATCCACCACGTAATACGGCATTAGTTGGTCTATCTATTAACAGAGAATAAATTACAAATTATTTATTACAGGGGTCCGGTTATAGCTGTTAATTATATTATTTTGTTTCAGTAACATTAATTTAATAGCATCTGCTGGTGGTCACTGTGTTATATCTAAACATAATTTATTACTATAATCATGTAAGTCCAATCATATTTAAGAGCTAGACTCGAGTTTCTTGTCAATTCTTCTGAATTCAAACTATTTATATCCTGAAGTAACGGTATATCTGACTTATCATTACATAGTATATAACAAATTCGCTGTCACTGTCTGTCCGTCCCTAATATAGTAATGTTTAAATCTTTAAAAGTACGCAACGGATTTTGAAGCGGATTTTTTGCGAAGCCGCGGTAATTAATAATGTAAGTAATTAATATCTACAATATATCTACTTGATTAGATTTTTTTTTAATATTAGCAATAGAAAATATATATACCTACAGATATATATTTTTTTTACTTACTGAACTGATTTTATTGTCCATTAAAGGATCACAATATCTATATACTGCATACATGCCAAGACCGCTGGTGCAAGTAGTAACCCCAAGTGTAAAGAGGATTGGCCAACTCCACCAGAGACAATTCTGAGATCTTTTTAATGTGCTAACAGTCATTAGTCGTTGAACCTGAAATGTACTCAATGTCTAATCACTCCGTATGACAACAGTCTTCCCTTATCTTAAAACAGTGGCTTAACGTAGGGGTGTAGAGAGGGCCCAAGCACCGCGATTTTATTATAGTAAAAAAATCATGTGATAGTACATTAATGATAAAATATTGAAATACATAAATTTAGCAATGAATAATAAAAAAATAAAGAGGATCCGAAATTCAAGTTGGTGGGAAAAAACGTCCACCACGTACACCACTGTCTCGTAAATAGTATATTATCAATAACGTCAGATTGGAACATATAGTAAAAGTAATATCATAGAACTATGTGCAAAATTATCATATGTATAGAATAATCGTTTAAATTTTGTTAGTCATAGAATTACTACTTACTACGTACTTTCTCATATATTATTTTCTGGGTTCTGGTAGAGTTTCTGTAGCTATGTCTAGCACATCCAATATTGTACCATCGATAGTTATGCTATATTCTAGGTAATTAGATTTTAGTGAAATGTAATATTATATATAGATACGAGTATATACAAGTAAATTTATTGATTACTTAAAGCACCAATGCATATGTTGCTATATTTTTGTTGAAAATAAAATATGGAATTGTATTTTTACATTTACATGTTTTTGAGGCGAAGGTCGGTAATTTACATCAAGTGGGCCGTCAACCAGTCATATTTAACAGAATAAAAAAGAAGTAAAATATAAATATGAAAACTAAAAAACACTTTATATATCCATTAGATAAATAAAAAAATGCGATTTCCTGGTTCTTCGATTGTCAATTTTTATATTTAGAATTGAAATTAATATAAATGAGTGAAAAAAGACCAACCTATAATGTCAAGATAGTTATTTACCGACCTGTGTGTGGTTAACTGCATATAAAGATAAATAAGTAATAGCACCGCCAATCATGAGGGACCACCACGTGTGTCTTTCGGTTGGATCCAAGCTGAAACTGAAGAACATTGTTATGTAACTAGGCCAGCTCGAAATCCTATTCCATAAATTTCATTGTTTCTTCTCAAATAAAACTTACTTATTGAAGTCTAATCGTCCGCCCTCATTCGCTATTATAAAAATCTTATCAAATCCACCTAATTGTATTGAACTAAATATAACTATTGTGAACACAGCTCCAAACATCAGTAAAGACTGGAGCAAGTCAGTGAATAACACTGCTTTCATGCCTCCCAAAGTTGAGTAGAAAGTGCAAACTAAGCCTACAACTAATATCGATATCAGTCTGTCCAGACCAGTCACAGATTCTAGAACTATAGCGGGGGCATATAACACTATACCATTATATAGCACCATTTGTAATGTGTACGTTAACGACGCGAGCATTCTAATTCGTGGGCCGAAGCGGAGCTCTAAATACTCATAAGTACTTGTCTTTTGTAGTTTAAAAAATACGGGGAGATATAAGTAGCAGGCTATAGGTGTAGCTAATAGATGTGATACGTTGATAACAACAAATTGCATTCCGTAATAATAATTTTCCGATGATACACCGAGCAATGTAATTGCTGACATAAATGATGCCATCAGGGATACGGCCACGGGCAATATCGACTGGTTGCGGTCTGCCAGAAGGTATTCCTGTTGAGAATATTATTGTTAATATTATTCCAGGCCTAGCTCTGACGGTCTATAAATAAAATAATATTCTATTAGCAATGTCGACAATTGGAATAGTCAAACATAATATGGGATTGCTGTGTTCTTACAACAACAGCATGACAAAATGACATATCTACATAAAATCACGACTATGTTATATCTAAATAATAGTTGCAGGAATTCAATGAACGCGAGACTTTTCCTAATGGAGAACAGGCTATAAATCACAATGGAATGTAAATAGCTAATATAATTATTATTAAGTAATCAGTCGAATGTAATTTAAATTGAAAACTATAGATACACGTACAACGATCCAATACTTTCATTAAAGACTATTGTGGCAATTAAAAATATCAGTTAAAAGGAATAGTGACATTGGTAAAATTTACATGACATTGTTAATAAAATATTATTTTAGGTAGATACGTAAGATTCAGATTCATTATTGATTACATGCTACATACATTACAATATCAATAAATAATAAAAATAAGCGTTAAACTGTGAGAAAGTAATTAGTCCAATTGATTGATGTTCAAGCTAAACATACTCATTTCAGATTTTTACTAATAATTTGTTCCACTTTTAATACAATTAACACTTATCTACTGTTAATATTTTTAATTGCTGTAGATAATTATCATTTGTTCTTATGGATATAGTATACAGATAAATTAAATAACATTTTAAATGCGTAGCAACCATATTTATAAAGTAGATAAGTAACATATAGAATACCTATTTCAGTTTCTAGCAACTTGCTTTGAAAACTATATTTAAATTAGAAGAAATGGAGGAATTACTATGTTATTAACCCGAAATAACGTCATGCCCACAGTGAAATAACTTATTTAGGTATTATTTATTTACAACTAACTTGGTACATTAAAAATACAAGTTATCATCAGTGATCATTTATTTTTAGATAGGTAGATATTCTCTACCAACTCTAACGTAATTGTAGTACAACACACCAAACATATTCGATTTGTATTAAACAACTACGATATACATACTCACGTTGATTTATATATGTTATATATTTATATATAGTAATAGTGAAAATATCTGGCAATAATGTTTATACGCAAATGGTAGAGTTTGTACCGTTGTAAATTGTAGAATACTACCCTTTCTTTGGTATAAAAAATAAATTAGTAATACCTATACAAATTAATAATACACAATATATAAACTATTCACAAATAGGTACGCTGCTACAATAAATGTTTGAGATAATATTAAAATACATTGTGTAATTAAGAAAAAAATCTAAGAATAAAACAAAAATAGAGAAGTATTATCAATCTGCAAATGCACGCGTCAGACGGATGCTGATGGATTTTGATGAAACTTGTCCCGACTGTAATTGTCGTATGATATCAGTTTAATTTTAACACACAAGCGTGGTTATTTAGTTTCGTTGTTCGTTTATGTCTTATATTAAATATTTCTCTTTTATGCGGTGCATTAGTGATTTAACCCTTTTACGTCGTAGATATGAATAAAAATGTTAGGTAATACATTATATATCTTGCTTCGATCATACTAAAAAAAAGTTTACCTCATTTGTTTTCTGTTTGCCTCCACTAAATCGAAAATAAACGCCGATGACTATTGACGCTACCATGGTGAGACCCATGATCACATAATCCCATACGCCAAACACATTGGACGCCATATTGAGCTAAAAAATATATTCAATACAATTTATACACTTAAGTATAATTTAAATGTCGCCAGAGGTACGGCCTGAGACTCTATTGATACAGTATGAGACAAGTCTATGGCATAATCAGGAGATTGAAATCCTATATATTCCTAAGTCAACCAGAAGTCAACTAAGAAGTGGTATTTACTAGTTTTATGTGTTACTCTGGAATAATTAATTAATTATACACGCCTAATTTGTAGAAAGAAAGACCTTCCTTTTGTGTCTGTTGTCCTCTAAAAATAAGTATTAGACGTAAATCATATATTAATATAATACTTAAAGACCATTAACTTATCTTTTAGGTAGTAATTTATTTCAATGAAAAAATTATATACTGTCTCTACAAAGCCACATTACTGGATAAATATGTGGATATCAACGTTTATGACATTATTGCATCTATTTTATGACTTTGCTTCCTCGTTGGTCTAGCAATTTAGCATACCACCTTACTTCCGATGGTGGTGGGTTCGATTTATTCGGTTCGGTACAAAGATTTGTTTTCACAAGTATGATTATATTAATCTGGGTATTTTCTGTGTACATTATATCTAGATTTAAAAATGTAATGAAGTATTTACATGTTATATAAGGTATATATCATTATTATTTGTATTTTTTGTATTATATACTACCTATATGTATAACTACATACTGCGAAAAATCGATCGCTGATAGCAATCGTCTGTTATAGAATAAATAATTATTATAACACTACAATTATGTAAAATAATAAGATATTAAGTTTTGATATAAACAATATTTATATTTTAGTTGTCCGTGGCCCATATATTATCATCCCGAGATAACTATAAATGCCTAATGAAATTATAAATTCTTATTCGTTGCGGATGTAGTTGTTCTTTCGTAAACTTCACTTCTAAAAAGATACAAAGTGGACTTATAGTCGTCAGACCACGGTACCTGTTAGAGGTGTTAGTCACGAGAACTGTTATAATGAGAAATAATATTCTCATTACTAACAATGTACTGGATAATATAAGATTGCTCTCTATAGAGTCGCCTATCATTTTGATTTTTTTTTCTATACTTTCTGACAACATAAGCGGGATGACCATAATATGATAATCCCAAAGTATAACCACCTACTGCAACGATGAGAAAAAAAATGACACGCATTACAGCTTTATTCACATAGCGATAAAGTTTGAAGTATATTTAAAAGCCCTTATTCCACAGTGATATCAGAGCTAATATTATAACGAGAGCGTAATAAAAGTGCTGAAAGGGAATTAAAAAAATTCGACATAACGATAGATGTATCACAAGAACAGACATTCTATACTTTTTATCTCATAATCAGCTGGCGAAGTAGTGGGAAACAGCGAGTCTTTCATAGAAACATATATACATATCCAGACAAGGTGACGAGAAAATTGTGAAAACTTACAAATACCGACGTCCGAAAATACGAATCCGTCAGGGCCAATTACATACGACGAAAAATAATTAGATCCACTTGTTTATAGAGTTGCACCAATTAATTACTACAATAAAACTTCGTCTTTTTCTGATACATGTGTCTTCAAAAAAATCGTTTCTACTTGATCGTAATATTTTATCAATGAAAACCTAAATTCTAATAAGAATAGATATTTCTAAACTACGTACAAAAAAATATTTGAAAATTGTTTAGATATTTTACAACAGCGCCCTTTAGTTGTTTTTTATTAGATGTTATTTCTCTGTATCGTCAATCTGAAATATGTAAAATCTGAATCTACAAGGTTTCATGCTTGATTACACATAAGTACTTCTTTACTTAACTGATTCCGAGTTCTGTTATATATGTAGGTAATTAAGGGCTATGCAAGACCATATATTTTTAAATATACAATACTATATACAATCAAATCAGTAGATGCCGAAGCTGGCTCTTACAACTTTACAACGGATATGGCAAAAATAACTTGCGGAAGTGTTATGCACTGGCTGAAGATCAACTGTCTGATGAACATTAAATTCTTAGTGGTGCTCTTGGATTAACCGAGAGCACCACTAAGAATTTAATCAGGCCTTCTTAATTTCGAGGTCCGTTCAAATAGGACAGCAGATCTATGGCCATTGAAGTTGAACGGATTTTGATGAAACTTTACAGTAATATAGCTTATACATCAAAATAACTTATAGGCTATAAATTTCACGCAGTTGAAACCGGGGTCACAACTAATATATCCACACTCTATAAATTGCCGTGTACCTAAACCTTAACAGGAAATAAAAATATGGTGTAGAGTTTACTGTAGGTACTATAAATAAATTGTGAAGATAAAGATTTAAAAAATCATATCGAGAAAAATATGAGGAAGAAATATAACATACTACCGGTATCGGCAATACTGATTTTATTAATTCAGTTATGCCATTATGCCTATTGCGTGAGACTGAGGTAAATAATATCGCGCAACTAAGCTAATTAATATAATATTTTGTAAAAGATTACTTACAGTTTGTTATTCTATCCTATTATTTCAATCCAATGGGCAAAGATTTCTTCGTGGTTGTATTGTAAATTATCTTAATTTTCTTTTAATAAGTTGCACCATATAAATTTTCTAAATATTATAAATATACGTTAAAACTTTACTTGAGTATGTCAAAGTTATGCATGTCTATTATTTACTGTAAATAAAAAAAACAAGTATGTTTTGTAATCTGAATGAAATCATTAAAAATTACTCGTTACATTAAAATATTTTAATAAATAAAAATCGTCTCCACCAACGATTTACACTTACAATTTACTAACTAGCGTAAACTAACGGCACTAACGCTGCCTACTGTCACTAAAACTACTATGATACTCAGTCAGCTACATTACTATCGAAACACCCGGCAACTTGTATTGTGTTTTTAAGGTTATAATATCACAGATTATACAAGTATTTCAATACTAAAAAACAAAGTATAATTGCACCTTGAATTAACATTAAAGCCAACAAAAATAGGCATTTTATTGTACATTGTATTTCATTTCACCCCAATTCGGAATCAAAAAAAGTTACGCAATTGTGAGTTGTCTTCTATCTCGCTTACATTCAGCTATAACACTTCAAGGTCAAATTTATTGGCAAGAATAAAATTATCCGTTGCCTAGTATTTTTATTTTAAGATTATTTGTTAGTTACCAAGACGATTAAAATTAATTTGGGAACACCAGACATCCGAAACTTTACCACCAAAACGTACATAAATGGTTTGGTTACGAGTATGACCCCGATCAATACTTACCACAATGAAAGGTTAAACAGATAATAAATTATTCGTTCTCATGCGAAATCATCACAGAAATGGAATAATGTAGCATTATTTTATATTCTAGAATATTAGATAATAGAGCCTGTAGCGAATAGAATAAAAAAAGATTTCATAAAAGTCTATCTTTGTAACTTTTTTTTCTAATGGCATGTTTGCAGCAATATAGCGCTCATGTGAACAAGGGCTTATTCTAGATACTGGTGTAGAAAAAAAGAAATAAAAGAGTGCAGAGAGCAATCGTTGAGAATTTATATTTGTATTTGAATATATGATAATTTATTTCTTTAAGTTTAGATTATTTTATTGATATTACTTCTTTAGAACATTACACTTACATTAGCATTACACTTTTAGTATATTTTTTTATTACACAAATTCTATCTAGGTCTTAATTAAATATATTTTCATTGTCTATAAAATTCTAAGGCATATTGATTTAAAACATTTTAAATAAATTAAAATTGCAATAATAATGTCTTATTAGTATAAGCAAACTAACTAAAAAAAACTTATTTATAAGTGGATACTTATCCTTATAACGGTTTCGCGAACCATTTTGTTATCTATAATGTTACGTAATACAAACTATGTCTTGCGTAATTTCAATCACACAAGTGACATTTCAAAAGAGCGGCAATATTTAAACTTTCGCATAAAAGTTAATCCTCACAAAGTCATAGATTTTAATACGACATATTCAACTCTACACTAAATAAATTAAATTAATAACTACAGACGTTTCTTTACGGGATAATATCTATTTAATTTATATTTTCAATATTCTTGCTACATGATTGATAGAGAAAAAAAATATTCAGAGAACATTTTTCTGACTAAAAAAATTTTTCTTTTAGTGTTCTTATTAAGTTCTCCTTATACATTCATATTTTATGTGATATGCAAATACATTTTACAGTTACACAAATTCTTCTCAAAAATTATCATTATTTAGCTTACCCCATTTGCAGTTAGACGAGTTATCCACATCTGCCTTCTCCCTCTGTCAGCACCTATTTTTTTATTCCTGTTTTCTCACCCCTCATACTTAATTTATTATTGTATGTACATCGATGCAGCATTACAATACACCTTTATCGCCGATGTAATTCTGTACTTAAAATGTAATAATAATGACTCTGAGTACCAAACTAATAAGCTAAGCATATTAGTTTGGTACTCAGATTTAGCTTAACTTTGAGTACTAAAAAGCTAATATAAATTCGTAAGTGCTTATTTTTGATAGTACATATATAATAACATACTTATGAATACAAATATTCGTACTGCGCAAGAATCGAAACCGCGACTATTGTAAGTAAGGCGATGTACGCCACCATACTACTCAGGCCTTTATTACACATATTATTAACTATATATATATGTTGTGACTGTATATTCGTATGCCATGATTTCTAGTTGGTTAACTTATTCAGCACCCCAATACCTGATTTAAAAAATTGTATACATCTCAAGATATTTACTATTCTTTATATAGTTTTGTATATTATAGTTTTGCACATGGCATATTAGTTAAATTATGATAACCTTTTATATTTTGCTATATAACGTATATTTAATTATAACAAATCCGACTGTAAAATATATTTTAAAGCAAACGGAGTCACGGTATACCTAGATTAAAATAATTACAAGTTATTTTCTGATCTAAGCAATTTACGCCTTTCACTGTCCAAAGTAAAGACCAATAATTACGTGGCGTTGATTACACTGTTTAGTTAAGACCTGTAATAAAACGACCTGTAAATTATTAAGTCAAATGTCAGGGTGTCCATAAATTATTATTAATTTGTGCATTGGCAATCGTAATTTGTTAGGAGTGTCAAAAAAAAATACAATAATAATAATTTTGGACCATTTACACAATATTATCTAATTTCAAGCTCAACAGAGCTAGTGTTGTGGGTACTAAACAACTGATATAAATGATATACTCATTAATATAAATATTTTGCACTTTGCGAGGAATCAAACCGGCCACCATAGAAAGTGAAGTGGTGTGCTAGACCACCGAGGCAATTCCTGGTGAATTTTCCACGATGGGCTTACTAACCTGACCTCGTGCTCATTTTATCATCTTGCACTGGTGCCTCGCCAGCGTAAACCGTTAGCGCACCCGCCGGCGCTATTTGCTTTATCTCCCATTAAAAAAAAAGTAGTTTTCAATTTCATGTCTATAATATTAATTGCAGTAGATACAAATTAATAAACATAGAAATGGTTACATAATTTCATGAGTGCACAGCGACATTTTAACAACTCTACTACTACTACTGTAGTAAAAATGTGATTTAACGTAATGTGTGCGGTATTTTTCATTATGAGTAGGTATACAAGTTCTAACTGCTGGTTAACTGGCTGAAGATCGACCAACAACGTGATAACACGCGACGCTTGATTACACACCCTATCTGTGAATTAAAACTGGTCAAGTGCAAGTTTTATTGAGATGACGAGATTTCCACACAATAATTTTGTTGCTTGATTTCTCATAAATCATGAGAGATAAAAATATGTTTACCAATTGAGATATTAATTTAACTTCTTACATTTTCTACTACAAACCACAGTTACACCAAAGAAAACAACGCGACATGAAAACAATGCCGGTTTTGGAAAGTGCAAATTCACCACCACTTTTTTACCTATCGCTACCTAAAGTATACTTTTTTCACCATAACTGGTTTGACAATATGTAAAATTATCCACCATTAAATAATAGTACCTAATAATAAAATTTCTGAATGATATCTCGTGACAGACAAACGCAACACAATAGTAATAGCTTGTCTAAGATTTAATACGTAAAGTTTCATAGTGATTTGTATTAGAAATCTATATCTATATAAACTATGTTTATATTTTTCATTATATATATTATCATAAATTTACCTATGTAGTCGTACGATGATCACGTTTTGTATGCATGCAAATGGCATGCATATGAAACATAAAATAAACAAAAGCCTATTATTATTATGGAACGACTAGCTGTTATTATAGATTAATTTTTAAAATACGTAATACATCCCAAGTACACAATGCTTTTTTTATATTTATGTATATATAAAATATAAAAAAATATATCAACTACAAATAGTGAAATAATTTTTAGTTTAGTTCGTATTGTTTTAGAGCAGAGTTTCTCGTGTATTCGTGGTTAATAGGGAGCGTACCTACCTAATATAATGCATGGATACAGATATTCTTTACTGTAACTCACCTCAAAACCAGACTTTTGGATATAGATTTACTATTTCAATACATACCAAAATTGAAAAACATATTTTATTTAATATGTTGCAGCCCTATTGTAATAGGCGGGCACGATTAGTTTTTATTATTAATTCTGTATTATCTATGCCATTTAACATTAACAGGTTAATTTCATAGTCCGTTTTAGTATTTCATCTATTATAACATTATTATATAATCAACTTTACATTTTATTATTTTACTTGTAACCACGTAAAGATGATGTCAAATACTGCTCCCGTCGATCGTCCAAGACGTTATTTTTATTTTCATTTTGTTCTCTTAAGATTTTTAGGCTTGGGATGGTGGCATCAACCAGATGAAGAAGACACAAGAAACTTTCCAAATTGGTACATATACTACTCCATTCTTACACAGCTAGTATGGGTAGCTGGATTCGTGGGCCTCGAGACTATTGATCCTTTCTTTGGCGAAAAAGATTTAGATAGATTCATGTTCAGTTTATCTTTCGTGATCACACACGACCTGACATTAATCAAACTATATATATTTTTCTTCAAAAACAACGAAATCCAAGACATTGTACGTACTTTGGAAATAGATCTATATCAATATTATCAAAATAATAAGAAAAATCATGCGACGATTAGAACGACAAAAATAATGTCTAGCGCATTTATTTTCTTTGGATGGCTAACTATTGGAAATACGAACGTGTATGGAACAATACAAGATTTAAGATGGAAAGCAGAAGTTGCAGAATTAAATGATACTTCAGTTAAACCATTAAGAACATTACCTCAACCCATTTATATACCGTGGAACTACCAGACAGACTCAGCATATATTTCCACATTCGTTCTCGAAACCGTAGGTCTGCTATGGACTGGCCACATTGTTATGTCAATAGATACTTTTATCGGCTCAGTTATTCTCCATATGAGTTCACAGTTTTCGATATTAAGTGAAGCTGTAATGACGGCATATAATAGGACAATGCTTCAATTATATGATGGAGTACGTCAGGACGTATCAGAAATTTCAGTTGTTCCTGAAGTTGTATTCGGCGACATAAAAACAGCAGATGATGTCGAAAGATTTGTCCGAAGGCGATATTCAGAAAAGGATGTGGAACTAGCATTACAAAATACGATTAGAAACTGTTTTAAGCAGCATCAGCTACTTATAAGGTGTGTAAATCGTTTAATTTAAATTTCACATAAATTTGAACATAAAATATAAATCATCGTTGTTTGTGCACCTAGCTTCTCCCATTTAGCGTTAAATTTTAATTAGTACTCGAGCACTGAATTACGGCGCAAATAACAATCGTAAATTTACGTACCTATAAACGCATTTTAAAAATTGCTTTAGGTACTTGCAGAAGCTAAATATCACTTCTGAAACGTTGTTTAATACTTTCAAATCCGTGTGTGTATTGTATATATGATCGTGAATCTTTGATTATTTCTTTATATATTGACCGAATTCAGATATCGACGAATAAAATAGGATACTTAACCTCGACCTTGGCAATTTAAAATAATAGATGCATTATCAGATGTATAACTGACACCATCATCCTACCTATTTAGAATATTTAGAAAAGTAGCATTAGAAGCTAAAAAGTTAAGGTGAAGAAAACATAGCATAGGTAATATCTATTTTTATTTGTATAGAAACTTATACACTTATAATTCAATTAGGTGCGATGAAAAACTGTTTCGATTGTTTAGGAGTTTCAGTCAACGTATTATTACAATATATACAATTGTTTTGTCGTTGAGATATTCACCGTTCCATTCTATATATTTTTTGAAACGTTACATGTATATAAAACATTAATTGCCGTGACATATAAACAGACCCGACAAACAAACAATACAAAGAACACTTTGGCTACAGAGTCCTAAAACAAGATACGTACTTAACTCATATTATATTCAAACACAAACATTTTGCTGTTGCATCATTTACTGACTTTTTCGTATGTATAAAAGTATCGTAGTAAAGACTCATATGAGATGACTTTCGTTTTAAAATTCTTTTCTCGACAGAGTAAGTAGGACACGAAATGGAAGTGGCACGACGCCGGTATATACATAAATCAAAACCAGTACTTACACTATTCTGTATTCTACACGGAGCTATGAGACAGTACGAATATTTGAAATATTTCAGAGGACATCGCGAACGCGCAAGTGACTCGTTGCAAATGTTACAAACCTATGTTTCTACATACTTAATATATATTTATATTTAACATTAGATGCAACATAACAATTATTTTTATCTCTATACAAATTTCGCGTTATGATGGTGGTGATGAACTTCGAAACAACTTAACCAATTTTTATGACTATAACTTGGTCTAACTTATGTAGAAGATACAATAGCTTTTATTGAAGAACTACTGAGCGCCACAACGCGTGGCAGAGACAATTAGTACAATATGAAAATAACACCTATCCAGGTCTCAAAACTTAATACTAGTAGAGATAACATAATTGATACTAGCAACAACCGCTAGCTATTACTCGCGATTTCGTCTTATTGTGATAAAGATGTGTACCTCATTTCCGTCCTTGTGAAACAATCTACCTTCACTTCCAATCAGTTGTTTAGTTCTGAAAAGATATCAAGTATACAGACACATTTCTGAATTTACTATGTTCATATGGACACTATAATTATTTTAGTTTTAGTATAATTATTTTACAAAAATAAACTTTAGTGTTATAGTATATATAATATACGTATAGTGGTAAATTGTATATATATTATTTTTGTAAGTATTAGATATATAATTTTAAGAAATATTTATTTCCGTCACATAGGAAACTTTTATATTTCTGTTGGTAAATTGTAGCCAAATACATTAAACTCTTTGGCAAGCAAGCGACTGTAGGACCAATTGAGACTGCTAAACTGCCATAAAGTGCAATGAAAATTAACTGGGGGGATAGTCGGCGCTGTGCTGAGCCAAATATTGCTATGCGTAAACAGTTTGCAATTGACCGTAAAAATTACCGAACTAACCCTTGCTACTGTACTCGGAAGTCTATCTTAATTTCAATCGAAATTAATATCTTTACGAATATAGAGATGAAGTCATCATGCCAATCACTGCGACAACCAATAGAATCCCAATTCTAGCCTAACGCCACGACTGTTAATCATAAAATAAATCTGGATATACTTATGTGAAAAAGAACGGGATAATTTCCCGTTCTTTTTCACATAAGTATATCCAGATTTGAAATGGTGGGTCGGGTAATGTCGGCCACATTACCCTTCCTTTTAAATTAAAGGATAGTTGAAACTATATATTTATATTGTATGATTCAGACTACAGCGTTCATCTTGCAATATTAAAAAAAACATTTGTAAATAAATATATTTAGTCAAACTTCTTTGCTAATTTTGTACTTTGTACACATTATATTAACGAGATATTTATTTATGATAATATTATTTATGAGCTCCCTAAATTTCAACATTGTTCACAACGTTTAATATAATGTTCCCGAGCCTGTAGTTGGAACCTTATTATAATGTGTACAATTGTAAAAAAACCATGACATAAATTTTAATATAATTTCTTGTTCTTTGGTCAAGAGTCACCTTTAAAATAATATTAGGTACCCCGCTGTCAAAGGAATCTATTTGCAGTTTATGTGAAAGTAATATGAGAAGGGAGTCGATGCTCTCTATGAATATAGCAAACTGTAATATTCCGGGATTACCGCCCCAATAACATCACTTGAATACTTTTTTCTTACCCTTATATCAACATTGTTTGACATTTAATATTTACTCATATTTCTACACCAAACATTGAAAAATTATTTTATAGATAGATAAATACAAACACATAGATACACAAATAGATACTTTCATCCAGAATCTACCCGTTGTTGGTAACAATTTAGAGAGAAATCACAACCAGCATTCTTGGCACCACTCCCATTGATCGAAATGTCCTCATCCTCTGAAACAGTCCAAGTAATTTTATAATTATTATATGCATATAAATTTTTGTTTGCTTTCTTTATTTCCATAAAATGTTTCTATGTATTATTGATATATACATATATAGTTACTAATAATTATTAAACTAATATTACGGAAAAATTTTTACACTTTTTACAACCAATTATTAATGATATTTTAAATTCGTTTACCTATATGAAGCTAAAACCAGAGAGGTATCTTTACCATATTTATTATATATTATTCGTCTGAAGTCCTGAACATTGGTTTGTATTGTGCAATGCTCTGGCGAGTCAGTACTTATTCGTTATATTAATAATACTTATTATATTATGTCCATTTACAGCTGCGTAGAGAAATTCCGCCAAACTTACTCGTACGGATTCATGACGCAACTTCTCTCCAGCATGGCAGCGATTTGCGTCGTAATGGTTCAAGTTTCGGTGAGCTCTATTAAAATTTTGAAGCAATTCTTTTACTTTAATTAATATTGTTGCAAATGAAACTCCTTTTACATTTCTCTCACTGTCTCAGTCAACTATTTCAGGCTAACTGTATAAATAGAATGGAATACGAAACAATACCTAAATTTATTAAATGTACCTACTTCATCATCGCCACAACTTCAATTAGTAATTGATTTGTTGGTCATTGATTTTAATAAGCCTATGCATACTCGTGTTTACAGTCATCTGGAAGAACCTATTAATAAAGTACGGACATTTCGTTTATGTCTGTAACATCTGTCTGTGTATTAATGTCCACTTAAACACATAGTCCATAACTTATCAACTAAATAATCAAACTAATTACATAAAATTACATTTCAGCAAGATGCGTCTAGTTTTAAATCCATCAGACTTGCGACCTCTTTAGCTTTTTTTGTCGCTATGATAATACAACTGGCCATTCAGTGCTTTACTGGAAATGAACTTACGTTGCAAGTGAGTTAATTTAATTTTTATTTAACTGGAAAGCTCATCAGCTTTCCAGTGCCATATCTCACGCTACAACTAAAATATTCATAACAAAGCCAGCTTCCTGGTGACTAAAATAAATTTCATAATATACAATAATACCACATGGCCTAAAAAAGTAATTCCTTTTTTACGCCTATATTAGGTATTAATACTGTATTTTGTAAAAAAAAAATTACTAAACCTAGTTATGAACTTTTTTAAACAAAAATGATCGAACATTTAGAAAAACTTTCATCTTTCTATGCTTATTTACATTCGTACTTACAAAATATTATCAAGACGATAACAGTTGCACAGTAACAGTAAAAATGGTTAAAGTGTCATATTTATACATGATACATGTGATAGATACAGGTATTTCAGGTAAGACCTATAATCTCTTACCTGAAGTGATGAAATCTCTCTATAAATTGCAATTATGCATAACAGGCAGCTAAAGTAGCTGATGCAGTGATGCAAAGCAAGTGGGAGCGAATGCCACCCCGTCTGCGACGCCATCTTATCCTGATGATGATGCGAGCTCATCGGCCTCTCAGACTTACAGCTGCTGGTTTTGCCTACATGAATAACGACTGTTTTCTTGCTGTAAGTATTGTATTTTAAGTATGATGTATTTAGGCAAGTTATCTGAATTCACATAGCACAATGTTCTTTGCAGCAGACAAGAAAACTTATTCAGTAATCCTTATTGCATGCCTGTAATCAAAGTCTATTTGCCATAGACTTTATCTCTGACTCCATTGTTGAATCTTTAGATCAGTTCTAATGCATAATTTCCTGCCATCAAATATTATTTAAGTTATATGATATGTATAGAACACTTTTACGGTTGTTGTATTAGCATACAAATACAAAATACAACAACACTAAAAAGACCCTACAGGAACAGTAATAACAAATAAACATTTACCGCTACAACTGCTTAGTTTACTTAGCGACAAGCGTTTAGTGACCATGGTGAAATGTAAATATAAATAAGTAAAATATATTCTACTAATATAATACATATGAAAGTGTCTATGTGTTACCTTTTCACGACTAAACTTCTGAACCTAATAAATTTGATATAGAGATAGAGTGCATCACTTGGTTGTCCACAGGCTATATTCCATCGCGGGTAAAACTTAAGTAATTACAAAACCTTAATTAAGGTTATGTTTGTTTACAGATTATGAAAGCAGCGTACTCATATTATGCAGTCTTGAGTCAGAAACAAGTCTAAACTAAGACTACCTCCAGACTAGTCTAGTTGGACAACTGTAGATGTATTTAAAAGTCTGTTCATTCATTATAGTTTATTTTAAACTAACACCACTGTAGTTTAAATTAGATTAGTTGATCGTTGATTCGCAAGTACAATCTAAACTATCACAGATGTTCTGTACGTATAAAATTATATAAATATAATAAATAAACTATACTACCTATACCTATATTTTACATATGAATTTTACATCGTATCCAATCAGCAGTTACTATCCTTGAAATAATTATCTACAATCTAGAATACTCTAATATTTCATAGTTCCAGAAGTGGAGGCTTAGGCGTTACCGAACGAGCCCTGTCTGGAGTCCTCGTATTGAGAACTGTCATCTCTTCAGATCTGGAAATAAAAATAATAATAATGAATGCATAATATTGTTTGCCAGTAACAACAACATTCATTAGTGACAGTAAGTTGATAATTAAAATAAACCCAAACTTAATGCAATATATCTACATCGGTAAACTCTGTCAAGTGTAATATATTGGATATAAATATGCTCGACAATTGACAATAATAAAATGTTATGGGTTACCCATACAACAACTGATAAAAATACTTAAATGAAATAATCATACTCATGCATAACGCATACAAATGCGTGTATAGGGCGAAGAATCGAATCTGCGACCATCAGAACTAAGACATTGTACGAAACCAAAAACAACCAAGGACACAATGTCTATTGATTTAATTTATTTAGTTTAATACTATATCATACAAAGAAATATCTGATAAGGAAAAAGGATATACGTACATTGTTATTGGCTTGTTTTAGTATTATTAAACTTAAATAATTCAGGTATAACCTTTCCTCTACGGAGTTTCCTGCATTGTAGAACACGTCTGGTAACGGTGAGTCATGCTGACTCAGAAGTGAACTGCCAGCCCTCGGCGAATGTGGTCCGTGGGTTGCATAAGGTGAAAAGGGTACTGCAGCACGAAGAGCTGCTAGAACTAACAGCATTCCACCTATAATAATAACAGTTTATATGTAATTATGTCATACAATATTGAGTGATAAAATATGTGATTGTTGTAAATTAAATATTTGTATGAAAACCCTTTCACTAATGTCAATCATCATACACAAATGCGTCATCTGTTGTTACTTGTTATTCACTTTCTTAAAATTAATGCAATGTCTTGTTCGAGAAATTGTACAACGAAAGCTTTTTCTTTACTATGTTACCAATTAACGATAGTTTTAATTTCTTAAAGAAATTCAAATTCAGGCAGGTGTAAAAGTATAAGTCGAACTCTATGGATTCTAATCGACATATTACAGTTTCTTAAGATATATGTATGATATCAATGATCTAAAGGTATGGCTTTATGTAGCTGGTTGTTGTATAATTTGTCATACCTTACCTGCTACAGTTGCAAGTAGCGTAAGATTTGCGAATAAAATGGCTGTTGCTGCGCAAGCATAGAACGGTGCCCGTGCTCGGCCACAGGACCAGCGCATAAAGTCCCAGCATCTCAATGATAGAGTGTACTCGCCCCTTCTGCAGAGTAGGTCCACAAACAGAGCGGCCACCCACATCGTCTCGAGAATAAGCACTGATGCTGCACCGGCACTAGACAATCAAAAGACACTTCTTACATATACATACAAAAAATATGAAATGTAAATTACGTTAATTTAAGTTATTAAGATATTTAGTTATTAAGGTTATTACTGCAAAGTAGGTATTTTAAAATAAATTGCCTATTTTCCTGAGCTCCTACGAGAAATCCTAAGGAAATTCTTTATATAACTGCATTTCATTAAATGTACAGTACAAGAAACGTTACGTTCTCATATGACGATTATTTACGCTCTTGCATTAGGTACCATAATCAAGGTCTTAGGTACTTCGAGTTTATTCTAGTAAATAGTATTCTATTCTATTCTATTGTATTCTATTTTGTGTATTATGAAAGTGTTCGACTTTTTCGACTTTTTAAAATGACAACATTCTAAGCCCGATAGATTTATTTTTGAAATAGGCAGATATAGCGGAGGAACAGCAGCAGGTAAGACAAGAAGGTTTCCAAAGAAGTTTTATTTGGTTAGTGATTATTCTTATCTCTTATCTTCATAGCTTGCTGATATAGTTATAATAGATTTCTTTCTTAACAGTGTTATCGGTCTTAAACTTCATATAATCGAGATCAATCTAGTTTATTAATTTCGTACTTAAAAAAATCTTAAAAAACCCGCAAATCAAAGTTTACAGGGCATAAAAGTACTACTTCTCATTTAAAACTACCCAATTGCAAAAGAATGCCGAATGAAGTTCGCATCTACATGACGCTACTTTTGTAGTTTGTAGCATTATGTTTCTGGGTAAGATTGCCAAATCTCAGTAGTAGAAAATTTACTATCGCAATAATACATATCTGCTGAAACTTTAATGCACAAATATGAACATAAAAGTTGTTTAAGATTATTTCATCATTATCATTATACCAGTTTTATTTTATCATATGGCGCTGAGTCATATTTCTGTCCTACTTATTTACCTGTTTAACTAAATAATATTTTAGTGCTAAAGTAGGTTAAATATAACTTTTGTATAACAATTTCAATGACCTAAAAATGAAAAGTTGATATAACATAGGTATAACTCCGTAATATTCTCCGTATGATGTAAAATTATGTATTAAGTACTTTTTTTTATCTCAGACAGGATGTATTAATACAGCCTTAGAGTTTTAAATGTAGAACTAGTAACGTCAGTAAGTTAAACATTTTTCACCTTGTTTTTATGCTGTAGTTATATTTTCACCTTGACTTTATTTATGTATTTAGTACCAAAGTACTTAATTATGTACTATAGACAAACAGCCATTATCATATAAATATCCTATTATAATAAAGTATACCTGGTACCAAAAGAATATAAAGATCTTTATTATTCTCATGCAGCTACATTGGAATATATTGAAATGAACTGTTGGCCCTTTAGTTTCGTCGACAATTTAGGTTATATCACTGAACTCATAAAAGTGCACACATTGTATTTCAACTGTAATTGTGTTTTGTTATTCAGATACTAGTGCGATATTTACAATAAGTATGTAGTGGATCTAGCGACAACATTTTTATTAATTACTTATATTTGGCTGAATGTTTTCATTTTTTAACTAACTGGTTTAGATACCTACTTCTATTGGTATGATATCGCTAGGGTAGCTAGTATTGTATATAAATTTGTTTCTAATAAATATAATTATTTATTAGAAACAAACTTAAACATTTTTTTATACAGTAATCTGTATAAAAAAATGTTTAAGAAAGATATTACTGTACATAAATATAGCTATAAAAAGACACAGGTATAGAGGCCGCTAATAATCATTATCATTAGAAATGTTTTGAGAAGTATCCATTACTGTGCCAGTACTTTTTTACTTCTTTAATTCATCATTATTTACTGAAATATAGGACACTAACAAATAAATGCACGAAGGGCTTACTTATAAACGATTAAAGTTGTTTTCTTATAGGCGTAGGTACCTACATCTTATAGACAAATTACAATCCGTTTTCTAAATATTAATCTAATCATGTAAGTAGTTTTCTAGTATAAAAATAAAAAAATAATCTTATACAAATATAGAACATATGATGGCTATGTATATGTAAGGCTTTTAAGGAATAGCCAGATAAAAAGTTTCTATATAGGATAAGCCGCAAGGCGAAAGAACTCGTGAAACTTTTCTTACTTGATTTGTTACTTAGTAAGCATTAGAAGTATTTATTCCTAATTTTTACTAATAATCGCTATAATTGTTCAGGCTGTAAGTAAGGTTTTTGATATGAGAAAGATATATTTAGGGGTTTACTGTATTTTTTTAATATATTTGCTGCATGGTGAAACAATTCCATCCTAAAATTATATTATTTTATTTAGATCGAAAAATATTATCTTCTAACAGAACTTAATGTGAACCAAATATACATATCTATAATTATGCATTTAAAAACATCTTCAAATCGATACGGAACTAAATCGTGTGTAATTATATGAATAGCTTTATGGATAAAATTTATTAATTTAAATACAAAAGGTATATGAATATAAACGATATGTTTCCATGTCTACGTAGATAAAGAATGTTCACGCAAATATGAATTAAACAAAATTCGTTCAACCGTGAAACGTGAAATCATTCCAAACAAACCAATATCGTTAGTCTGGCACTATTCAAAGTAAACATGCACATTTTCGGTTTGTTAACTCTGACAATTTATCAGACTCATAATGCACTTTAAAAGTTACACACGATATACTTCAAAAGGGAAGATCGGTGCTATCATTTTGAAAGAAATTCAAGAATAATATTATGCAAGTGTTATGTATAATACTTATAATGAAATGTTTGACGAAAGTGTACTAATTTTGGGTAAGAACAAAAGTGCTTAGAAAATCTGATTTATGTACTAGTATAGCATAATATAAATTATACGAGTAGGTATACAATAATGTAAGCAATCACTGAAAATGCCTACTTAGCTTGTTTAAAATACCTACTGAATTTATATCTAGTAATATGGGTATAAGTACTTTGAATTTATTTATAATTTGTATCTTTTTATACTGCGGTTAACTCCCCGAAAAGAGGATAATATATTCGTTGCTGTAAGTATTTGGAATATCTTTCTTTAAGTGTGTACTTTGATCACTTCTTCAAGTCATATAACTATGGCTAGATGAATGTCAGATGAATGTCATCATCATCTTTGTGATAACACAAAGAGTTAAATTAAATTACCCTAAAAAATTAGTTTTTTTTGCTATTTAGGTACTAAATATTTTACTCAGTTATAATTAAATACTTTTGGTGAAAATGTATCTCATATATATGTAAACGTAATAAACCTACTTACAGCATACCAGGCGCCACTTCATATCCTAAGACGAGGAGTTGGGCACCGGCACCACTCATTACTGTAAAACAAAAAATATATATTTCTACATGTCTATAACTGTAAAATACATGGATACTTAGTTATTGTTCTATAAGGCATACACAGAATATAAAAATCTAACACTCGAATCACGTACGAATTGACATCATTGGCAACCGATTTTAAAAATAACAATCTTTTAATTTTAATTACCTATATGTTTTTATTCAAAAAGTATTCGAATTCGAATTACATTTTCTTTACAACTAACACATAGGACTTTATACACAAGCTTATTTGTAGGTATATGTATTCTTACAAGCAACACTACGGGCAAAAGTAATAATCAGTCAAAATATACATTAAACTATACTAAATTATTAATTGGTTAGTGTATCTCAGTCTATACCGACTTCCTACAACAATGTTATGGACAAACAAAAACAAATTAATAAAAATTTAATGTTAAATGATGATTGACCAGTCATTTATTGAGATGCTATAATAATAATGACTAATGTGAGAATTTCTATGAAAGGTTAACTTATATGTGTATCTACCAGCGAATTTATACGAGTGGGCGGAATATTTTTATTTACGATTAACCGAGATAAGAAATAAACCGATTTTTTTTTCAAAGTATGCCTAATACTACTATTAGGCATACTATACACATTTATTCCTACTTATTATTTAGTAGAAACCCTAGTATTGTAAGAAAATAATGATGTCGTCTACTAGGAGTTCACGATAAACAACTTGAATGAAACCACGAATAATGAAGCGTAGGTACTACGCACTTTTCTACGTCTACTATACATACCTACGAATACACACTGCATACGTCACATGTTTGTTTTTCCTTACAAGTTATTTGAAGCTGCTTATAATTATACTAGTAAAGTATAGTATAATATTATGATGATCAACACTTCATTTCGTAATAGCAAAGAGAGAATACCACTGTATTCGTATACATTCGTACTAACATCATGAATGTGAAAGTGCATCTGTCTATCTGTTACTTTTTTACGACTAAACGGCTGAAGGGTTCTTAATGAAATTTGAAACAGGGATAGTGTACGTTTCTAAGAATATAGGCTATATTTAATCTCAAACTAATAATGTAGAAGGGGTTGGAGTAGAGGATGAAAGTTTGTGAAATCACTGGAAACTGCTTGTTAACTGTAAGAAGAAACTAAACCAAAAAATAAAATTGATACTTTAAATCTATTGATATCAGTCTCATAAAGAATATAGTTTACTTTATGTTGCGAAGCAACAACTTGAAAAGGGCCGAAATAGAAGATGGCAATTGTATGGTGCATCAATAATTTCTCAAGTGAGAAATAAAAATTCTACATAGTCGAGTTTTCAGGAATCAGATATTTAGGTAAAAAAGTTTCGAGTGTATTAAACCTAATATCATAAGTAATTACTTTAGGGAAATGGTTTATTTATCGACAGGAAATTATTTTAAAAATTTGAAACTAGTACAAATAGACTTCAAAAAAGAACAAATCGATAGCTTAGCTAGACTTGTATTAGATGGTACTATAATGATATTAGTTTATACTTATAATCTAGTATTTTTTCTAATAGTAAACCCCATTAAGCAATTAACGTATATTATTAAAAAAATATACTTTTCTACCAATTTTAAGATCATCTACCCACTGATTCCTATACTGTATATCTTATTCTAGAATATTTTCATAACTACGTGTAGTGATAAAAATATTCTAGACTAAAAATCTGCTCTAATATAAGAGCATATATATATTCTACTCACATAGTCTAACCTCTAATAGGTTAGATTATGTGTTCTATTTCGTACAAATTTTCGTATTTATACTTTACGAAAATTAGTATCTGTTCACTTTAAAATTTTAATATAATAATGTTTTTTTCTATTACGAAGGAGTACAATAGGTAATACAAATACAATGGGTGATTGTTTTCGCCCAGAACTGAATGTTTTTATTCTACACATTGAACTGACGTGAAAAAGTAGTATACATATTATTGTCCGCCTATAAACCAGCAGTATATGCAGAAAATATACAGTGCCGCTCACAATAACAAAAATATTTAATTAAACCTTTCTAACTCTATATATCTTACAGTCGACTTTATAGCGATTTTATAAGAGCCATTGGCCTATAATGGAATGTCGGTTTGTTTTAAAAATAGTCTAAATGTAGTTATAGCGACAAAGTCTAAAGTTTTACTTATATTTTTTAAAGATTAGGGGAAGTCAGTCATCCTATTATTGTCAACAAATAAAGAAAAATAAGTACGTGACATGCACGTATGCATGCATTCATCTGAAAAGTTTTAGAAAGAAATATATATTAGAAAACTAGTTGTTTACCATGATTTTGTCATCCCGATTTCTAAAAATACTTCCTTAGTGGATACACGTTTAGTAAAAGGTGTCAATCCAGTCTCGAACCTGTTCGAGTATATAATGAACGTTGTCAGTTCAATAAGGACACACTTTTTTTTATGTAATGATAGTACTTAAGTTTACTATCTAAGTATATCACTATTTAAAATTGGAGCAATTAATTTTTTACTAAAATATTTCAGTTTACTTTTATTGGCTATTTGCAAAAAAAAATATTTATAGTGATATTATTCTGATAGTGGCATATTATTCTGATAACTATGTGTAGGTAGTATGTATATATTATATATTACTTTCATATCACTGCTAAAATATTTATTTAATTGAAAATCGATGACTCACCTACTGCTGTAACGAGGCCCCAAAGCCTAGCAAGTGGTTGTAGTAAGTCCCATAGCTTAGAAGCTATAGATTTCTTAGGAGGACCTAACGTTCTCCTAATTGGACTCCGTGTAATGTTAGGGGTTTGAAGGCTGGATGCACAGTCCGATTTTGAAACTTCCATTCTTATACACAGCGCATCGTCATATATAAAAACACGTGAAAATATTTGATGTCAAGTCAATTGTATACGCACTTATTTAAATTATTCATATTGACTTAGGCGAGCAAACAATTAAGGTGAAACTGTGAACTTCAGGTACACTCCATCACTGTATTTAATTAAAGAACACTAAGAACAATAAAGCAAACCGTTTCATTTATTTACAAATTAAAACATTGCACTGTAGCTGATATCGTTCGCAATATCAAAAACAGCCTGGCATTATGCCCAGGTACGAAAATATCGCTCGGACCCACTTCAAAATAACACTCTCTGTTTTGAATTTATTTATTAAATTATATATGGAATTAAGTTGCTTTATTATTAATCGAAGTCACGCCTAATATCTAGACAAAAGAGTCCTAGTCGAGTGGACAAATGAGAACATTTTCGGAGACTAAGTTCACGCGTAACAATTTCCGAGTGAAGTAGCGACCGCGTCTCGACGCAACGTGTGTGTAGCTCTGTTAGTTGCAGAACACTGAGAGGCAAACACCAAAACCTTCAGTTGATGATACTGATGTACGGCATCTTTTTATTTATGCACAATGCGTCAAGAAAACCACGTCGCACATCAATCTCTCGCTCTTGAAAGATTGCCGGTGATTATGGGGGTGAGTTTTAAAGGGAGGACGATGAAGTTCTTACTTCGAGAATTTAATGTCAATAGTTTGTATCTATAATTATTAATCCTCCATTAATACTAATATTTTTATTCAAAACCATGGGTTCACGTAGCTATTGTAATACTATTGACGTAAAAAGTAAATGGTTTAATCAAATTACACACTCATATTTATATTTAAAATACTAAACATACCTAATTAATTAGGTATACACTACACATATACCTAATTAATATTATATGTACCATAAATATATACTATTATGTTTATCCTAGATAGTCCCTACTAAATGCTACTTTTTAATGCGAAAAAGTATATTAAAGGGTTTAAAGAAGAGATGAAGGGTTGCATATAGGTACGTTACTTCCAAATCGTATTTTTTAAAGCTTAGAAGCTTAAAAATGTTAAACTGTGTAAGCTGTTGATAAAAATTAAATAAATTTAACATTCAAAAATTGTAATATTAAGAAGACATAATAAAATAGAGGATGAAAGTTTGTATGGTAATTCATTATGTTTGAAGCTAGAACGATGAAACTTTTTCTTTGGCTTAAAAAAGCCAAAGGTTAGATTTTTAATTTTTTTTTTTATTTGGTTGTCCAAAAAATATAGGAACGCTCGCGGACGATTTATTATATATTATTATTAGTCACGGGCCAGGCTAGTATACTGTATTTATATTTTTTTTTAATAAAAAACAAGCATATTAGGACAAAGGACCTCCAAGGGGTTCTCTCTGAAAACCATCACGTAAAATTCCTGGTGTATTTGCCACGATAGTCTAACTGACCGGACCTCATTATCATCTTATCATTCTCCACTGGTGCCCCGCCACCGTATACCGTTAGCGAAGGCGAGTGCACGATTCCATTATAATCCCTTCGTAACAAGCTGACACCATACAAGACTTGCATCCGTTCCGTTCCATTCTTACATATCATTATTAGTATTTGCCCATGTGGCTCCCTGCTAAATTTACTAAACTACTACTAACTTCTTGAAATCCTTCAAAGTAAGTTCTAACACTAAGGCAGTGGCGCGCCATATTTCGTTCGCAACGAGGATCTCCACTGCGTTCTCAATCTGCCCACAATGCGAGACCATATGCGAGAATGCCGCCCGAGGGACGTTCATATTGATCTAGACAACCACCAAAATGGCAGAAAACCAACGTTTCCGTCCCTACCTCGTTATCACACAAATATGTACACGACACCAACCTTGTCGGCGAAGACGACTACCTAAACCACACCATCCAGTACAATGAAACGGGCGTCTTTGCACGCCTAGACGCTTGACACCGGTGCTCCCATCTACGCTTCCGATCGACCCCTAATTGATTTCATACAGGGATCGAAATTATGACTATTATTTATTAAAAATTATTTTATGATCACGCATAGACAAGGCTGGCAGCTGTTTTATGGGAATATGACGGTATTATTGGAGCAATATGTATATAATATAAGTTCCAATTGACAGTTATACCATACAGTTACAGTAGGAGTTTTAAGATAACTAATAGGAAATTGTATCTGATTCAATGTAGCGATTGTGGCAATAAGATATACCTATATATAATTAAACTACTACTATAATACTGGTATTAGCCGCATTTATAGATATCATGTCCACATTGGAGGGTAGGTTAGAGGAATTTACGTGTTTTATTTTTTACATACTTATCTACTATATTCTAGTACACGTATTACACGTCGTGTGTGGAACATGTGTGGAAGCGATCTTAAAGCCAACATTTGGTATTGCTAAAATGTAAATCATGATGCATGATAATTAAACTATTGTTGACGATATACTATTTGAAAAAATATTTCTAATAATAATATTAATAGGTATAGGATGTCTTTCTCGTAATTAGAATGATCCATCATCCAATCCATTTTCATCTTTGTAAATTACAAAAAATATGTAGATATTAGATATGTACAAATACTTTATTAGGTATTCTTTATCTAAAATATTGCATACGTTGTACATTTCATGTAGATCAAAACTACTCTTAGCAGCTTTCATTAAAATGGCTATCTTAGAAGTTAAGTTGACGGGCAAATGAAATTCTTCCTCCACCCGAATCACTACACTCTCTCTTATGGCAGAGCATGAAAAATCAATATACGTTCATGAAAAACCTGCTGTAAATATTGTATACGATATCCTTGTATACAATATTTACAGCAGGTTTTTATAGTACCTATACCTAATCATATTATTAATCGCTCTACATTGTCCTATATTAGAGTGCAGTAGTGTGCCCCCGTGCAAAGCTGGGGAGGGTCGATAATGTAATTATTAATCGACAAATAATTCAGATATTGCATTACTTAGACATTCAACATAAAAACTTATAGGTTTATATAACTCTTTATATATTTTATTAAATAATTTTAGTTAAACTTCACTCCGTATATACATTTCTTCTCATCCTTTTATTGACTGATTATTATAAACACGTACGGAAGTTATGGTGCATATATCTACCCAGTCCCACAATAGTTTCCAAAGAGTAAAGTAAATGTACCAAAAGGGTAGCTTCTGTGCTTGTAAAGAGAGAATGGTTATATTATACTGCGTACACGGTTATCCAAATATAATTCTCTATGGTTTCAGAAGGCGTACATATTAGTGTTACTATAAGTATGTAATATTATATTATCTGTGCTACAAGCTTTCTTATTATTGAAACTAGTACAAAAATTAATGTTTAATTATAAATTTTATGTTATTCAGAAAATTAACGTAAAATCAAATCATTCATCTTCATCCATGAAGATAAATGATTTGATTTTAAAATGACTATTAGTTAACATCATTAAGAACATGAAGTAGTTTTTTTTAAATAGGAAAATTGCACATGGATATGTTTTGTTAGATTAATAGCATGCTAAAAATATGTTAGTAACTGCCAATATTTATTAATTCTAATAATAGATTTTCACATCGTTTCCAAATTAAGATCGATCGGGTATTTCATAATAGTCACACTGATCGTTTACACCACTTCGGTTCCGGTCATAGACATTCTGATCTATATTTCCGGTAGCCAAGCTATCCTATAGACTATAGGCGTCAATGTGTTCTGTGTAGTATTGTCTATTTGTGTTATTTTCCAAGTAAATTTTAGTTTATAACTATTTTATTGATTCTATTTTATGCTCTATAATATTAATTTAAAATTTAATTTAGAACTAATACCGACAAATAGTGTATTTAAGTATGCAAAGCGGTAGCGGCACAAAAAACCCACCATGGGCGCGTTCAAACGTAAATACAAACATAACCGGTATTAATCCACAAATTATGGATCCAAATACGATGATGACTCAACAAGGCATGATGCCATTCCAGCAAACACAGGCAGTGTTCAATCCAAGTATTATGCAGGCACAAAGTGGAATGGCAATGCCGATGGCTGGACAAATGCAAATGAACCAAATGGCTCAAGGACAAATGTATCCCGGTAATGTTGTGGCGTATCCTACACCACGTGCTATGAATCCTGGTATCTACCAAAACGCCCAATCAAATACAACTCAATCTAATGCTGAACAACGTGTTTTTACTGGTATTATTACAAAGACTCATAATGACTTCGGCTTTGTTGACCATGATGTTTTCTATCAAACTTCTGTTTGTGCTAAAGGTATTATACCGAAAGTTAATGACAGAGTTCTTGTTGAAGCTACGTATAACCCTAATATGCCCTTTAAATGGAATGCAACTCGTGTCCAAGTATTGCCAAGTGTGCCTAGTGGGCCCAGCAACCCGAAAAGTAATCCACCCAAGTCAAACACTTACAATGCTGTACCACCACCTGCTAAGAAATCTTCTCTACCTAGACGAGATGATAGACCTTCACGAAGGGATGATAGGGTATGTTGTAATTTTTTTAATTTGTTTCATTTTCTATAATCTTAATGTCTACATAAAGTAATGATGCACTAAGTAGTATTTTCATCACAATGTTATTATAACTGTACATGGAATGGAGTATACAATATCTTTAATTTTGAATACATTTTGATGTTTTTTGTATCAAGATAATTTATTTTAGTGTGTGTTCCATATTAAATGCTAAAGATTATTGGTTTGTTGTATGTTGATTTTTTTTGTTCAACAAGATCTGTTTATTTTGTCTACATTTTAATTTTTATAGACTTTCTGCTATTGAAAGATACAGTTATTAAGATATGAAAAACAAACAATCATTATTTTTTAATTCAGAAACGTTCAAGGACAAGAAGTAGATCACGATCTAGAGGAAGACGTGATAGTCGTAGTCGCAGAGATTCTCCACCCAGAAAGAGGCCTGTAGTTCACCAGCCATCTCCTATCAAATATGTTGTTCGAGTGCCACGGATGCCACTAGATATGTTCGTGTCTCATTTTTTAATTAAAAATGCTGAATACTTTAACAATACTACTAAAAATAGTGCCTTTTTTAAATGCTTTAAATCTTTAAATGCTATTCCTATTGTAGTTAATTGAAATCTATACAAATAAGTATATTTCAAATGTTTGTTTGTGGTTTCAAATTAACAGCTTTTACTAAATGTATGTCAGACTGTCTGTTTGTTCTTGTTCTCTCTAAAATATCTATACTGATTTTGATGGAATTTCTACTCTAGTTGCAGATAACACATAATGAGTAATGTGGTACTAGTTACATACATATAACAAAAGAAAAGAAAAAATAAAAAACGATTATTAATAATTCAATATATTTATACATTTACAGACAAAAAATGGATGTGCCTGCTTTAGGTCAACGCTATACAAATTTATATATACCATCAGATCTCTTTAACACCCATGTAAAATGGGGAGAAACATTTCCACCACAGACACCATTTTCGATAAACAATCCATGTTCATATCACATAATGAGTAGGGAGACTGATACTCCTCTTCCAAATGATGCTGTGTTGGAACCACCAGATGCTGATTATAAATTTTCTGCAAAGGTAAGAACAATGATGATTTAACAATAAATTTGTACAATTTGTCAAATTCAATTACATATTCAAATTTATCACATACAGGATATCAAGTTAATAAAAATTTGATCACACTATAATTGATGTGGTGTACAACTTTCATATATTGAATTATTATTAACCATTTCATTTATTATATCTAAACAATCCATTTTTGTCATTCAGTATAAAAAAAATATGATTAGCTATTACTATTAATTTTCAATTCTTATTACAAGCTTTTGGTTATATGAGATGTAATTTTTTTAAGGTCATGTTAATTAGCATGCCTACACTGGAATCTCTGTATCAAAAATGTGGACTTACTAAGGATGAAAAAGACAAGCGAACCATTAAAACTCATATTCATCCAACGAGGTTAATCAAATTTCTAGTGGGTCAAAAAGGAAAAGGAGGTGAAAACTTTGCCATTGGTGGACCATGGAGCCCTTCATTAGATGGTGAAAATCCTCAAAGTGACCCTAGAGTTCTTGTTAAAACTGCAATTCGCACTTGTAAAGCCCTCACTGGCATAGACCTCTCCTCATGTACACAGTGGTAAGTATTATTTTGTGTTGATTGGCGAACATCCTGACCCTGACTGGAGTTGTGTATTTCTGACATAAATCAAAAGTTTCTTGTTCATATTAAATCATTACATAATAATGTATATTTTTTGGAAACTTTTGCTTTTTGTTGTTTGTAATGGTCATGGTACAGCACACATTCATGATGTGAGAGTATAGAGGCGACTGTACATCGTCTAAGGCGCAATCGTTTAGCAGCAGCATTGATGTACCAGTCTTCCAATAGAGCTGTCTATTGACTCTCGTACCGGATGTGTCGTGTCCATGTAAGCAGTTGGGCGGCCCGCGCGAACAAGTGCGCTAGTGAGTATATCCCATTATATCTGTATTACCCGCGCAGGTACCGAATGGTGGAGTTTTACTACTGGCGCGAGGGCAGCGGCGGCAACAAGTCACGGCTCGAGTGTGTGGTGTTGTTCCTGCCAGATGTGTGGTCTGCGCAGCCATCGCGTATCGAGTGGACCAACGTTCAGGACCAGTATAAAACAGCCTACGAGAACGCTCTGAGAAAACTCGACGGCAAGGAACCAGAGCCTGTCGACAAGGAACCAGCCCAACAGTCTGCAGAGGCGGAAACCGGCGACGCGGCGAACAAATCCCAAATTGTTTGTTCCCAGTTTTCTTTCGTTAAGTTTCCAGCTGCGTGTGCTACTAAATAGATGAAGATCACCGCGACTGCGCTGCTTTGACTGGTCCCAGAGGATGTCTTGCAGACATCTGTTGAAACTATTTTAATTTAATAATATCTAATTATATAATGTTTTCTGTTCAATTCCCAATGAGTTCGTTTAAAAGTTTTTAGTCAGGTAGTTTAATTGGTAGAATTTCATTAATTATTAATATATCTGGCCCATCATGAATACATTTTTGCAGATATATGATAATACTAATAAAGACGAAATGTATTTTACAGGAAAATACAGATGGCAATGTTAGTACAATAACAATAGACGAAAATGATGATGAAGAAGAAAAACCGGAACCATCACATTATTCTAAAATTGATCTAAGAACAATAAAAGTTGATCAACTGAGACAAGAGCTTAGGGCTCGAAACGTCAGCTGCAAAGGTAATATATATATTTTTCTTCATAGTAGTTATTCTTTGATTGATAGACCAACAACCGATAAAATTTGTTCTCTGAACAAAAGAAGTGGTTATTTTGGGATTTATATTTGTTAAATGGATTGTATTTACTATTGAAATTACTAATTAAATATTACGTTTAGGTTTACGTGCACAACTTGTGTCTCGTTTATCAAAACTCATAAAAGCAGAAGAAGAAAAAGAATCCAAAAATGAAGATGTTATGGTGTTGGAAGATGATGAGCAAGTTCAAGATGTTGAAGTTCAAGAAGAAAAAATTGAAATTAATGATGATGATAAAAATGTATCAACAGTAGATGCTAATGAGGAAGCTAATGATCCCATTATCATTGAAGATAAAGTAGAAGAGAAAAATGAAGACAAGATATCAGAAAAGGAAGAAAAAAAGGTAGAAAAAGAAGAAAAGATCGAGAAAGAAGAGAAGAAATCAGAAAAGGAGCTTGAAGAAGAAAAACGAAAAGTATGAATATTTTCTGGTTTAATCTGTTTCCAATATGTTTTTCAAATTATATTACATAATCATTGTACTTTTTTATAGCATATTATTATTAAAACTCTCAACATTTCGCCTTACATATAGGAACTATATTTGAACATTTAAAAGTTTGTTATGGAAGAATGATTGACTACTGACCTATATGTGTTTTTTTCAGGTGGATAGAGAAAAACAACTCTTAAAAAGTCGTTACGAAATGCCATCTGTACCACACATAATGGTACATCCTTCGGCGACTGCAAAGGGTGGCAAATTTAATTGTAATGTTGCTACACTTTCATTATTACTTGACTATCGAGTCACTGATAACAAGGAGCATAGTTTTGAGGTAAAGGCAATTTTAAAAATATCTAAATAGAAAATATTTTTTTTACTGTAATTTCCTTGCTTAATGTACCTGTACTTGGAATCAGTATATGTCAGTCCTTTTTCATTTCATCTTCAATCCCATTGAAGTGTCATAATTTTGAGGGTACTTCAAACTTCAGCAAGTGCTGTAATAAACATCATGTATATGTGGCAGATCATCATATTGACATCTATAAATCAAAATGCGATCAGTGTGGATACCCTGCAGCCAAGTAGCAGTCTCATCATTAGTCAGTGAAAGCCAAATGTAGGAAGGCCACATGTGTCACTTATTATTATTATAGTTTCAAAATCACATCATTGAATCAATTCTATCTAAAAGTTCATTATGATATTTACATTTTTAATGTATCTACATTATATTAAATAAGTGAATATAAAAATGAACTTTTAACCTGAAAATATTGTTATTTATTTACAGTTATTTGTGTTTGCTGAGCTTTTTAATGAAATGCTTATGCGTGATTTTGGATTCTACATATATAAAACCTTATACACATTACCTGAAAAAACTGAAGATATCAAGGAAGGTAGTGAAAAATCAGTTGACAAGAAAGAAGATAAGAAATCGGACAGTGACAAAAAGGAGGAGAAAAAGGACGACAAAAAAGATGATAAACGAGATGAACGACGGGATTCACGAAGGCGTGATAGACGTGTAAGTAATTATTCTGATTTGTACCAAACTATTACAGTTTTAACACCGCTTTGACTTGAAATAGATCAGTGTGAGTTGATTATTAATATTAAAAACTATAATACAGATGTATAGATGACAGACATATGTAAGATGGATTAGAGGTTGTTTGAATATTTAGTATATTTCACCCACAAAGTATGGGCTCATTTCACATTTATTATACAGATCATATCCCATCTTAATATATATAATAAATGTTACTAAAACTGACGCGGGCAGCGTCGGAGAATAGATCTAGTTTTAAATAATATACATTTAGACAATATAATGAAATATTGTGGATAACTATTGCACTATTATTTCCTTTAAAGTGAATCGTGATAATGTTGTCACAGGACTCGCGCAGTGATGATGAACGTAGTACGTCGCCGAGGCGGCGCGGACGCGGCGTTGAATTACCACCCGATCCTTACTTACTTCTCTCTCTCGTGTACTTCGACACTGGTCGTGGTGGAATCATCTCCAAGAAAGATCTCCAGAGTCTGTTTATGAGTCTCGGTTTGGCACTGTCTAGGTCTCAAATACGCTCCTTGCTGGATAAAGTGTGCATCAAAGACGTATTCAGCTATAAGTGAGTAAGATGGTTTTAATTTTCTTTCAAATAATTTTAAATGTATGTATTTTTTATGATTAGCAAGTTTTGAACGTTTTGATTACCTTTTTACAATCAATAGTGTTTACTATCAGAGTAATGTCATCATGTCTTAAGTTTAGAGCTTAATATATCAAATAAATGTCTTGCCAAATATCTCATATAATATTTTCATTTATTTTTCTACAAAATTGATACTGTACGCTTTTTGCTCAAACATGTTTATTAATTAGTTCCTGTTTTTATTGTACAGACACAATAAAAACGGCGAAACTAATAATAAATAAATCTGCATAGTAATTTATTTATTTTACATTTACAGAAATCTTGTCCAAGCAATCAAAGATATATCATCTGGCACCACCGATGGTATTCAGGACTTGCCACTTGATGGTTCTGTAACTACCGCCGAGGTTCCGCCTCAAGTAAGCATATTCATTTATTGTGTACATTAACTTAAATTTATATATATATAACAATTAAATTATACAATATTTTTTTATAAATAATTTTTACAGGTTACAGAATTAGAAGCTGCCATAGCAGCAGGCAATCGAGACCTATTGCCCATATTAAACAGACCTGATGAAAATGGAACAACAACTAGTGAAACAAAAGATATTAGCGATACAGGTACAACCAATAATATTTAATATCTTTTGACTTTAATATAAAGTATTTCATTTCATGTAAGCTTTGATATTCCAATAATTATTTGTGTACTATTGGAATATTATTGAATATAAAATACAATTAGGACTAGAACACATTATATATCTTTTATCTTATCTATCTGTAATAGAAGTGGCAAAACGACTCTATTCATAACAAGTTGATCTTTGCCGTAGATATATATCAGGAGTAGCAAAGTAGTAATGTATACATTATTTTCGTATTTAGAGACGCGGAATATCGCATATCGTTCATTAGTTTCTTTTACACGTACGCTCTTTCACGCAAAAAAGAATGTGTATGTAATAATTAAATAATATTACAAAATAAATAAGGAAAATAAAATTAAAAACAAACTGACATGACTTGAAGCACTCGCGGAAGAATTATCACAACAAATACTAAAATCGTATCACACGATTGCGCGTGCAAGCTTTGCCACGCGCTCCTGATCGCGCTTGAAAATGTCATGTGAAGGCAGCACAATAGCAATTGTATCCGCTCGAGAACCCCTGTCTCCCGCCAGGCGTGGTGGTGCACAAGTCGCGTCACAAAAAAATAGTAAAATACAATCACATAATATTGCGCTTTCCCGCGCTAAATGACGCGTGAAAGAATGTGTCGTGCGAAGGCAGCATAATAGCAGTCGTTCTGTCCGCCAGGCGTGGTGGTGTACAAGTCGCGCGTGGTGGACGTGGGCGCGCTGGTGGCGGCGGAGGCGCGCGGGGCGGCGCAGCGCGCGCGGCTCGAGGCGGCGCTGGAGGGCGCGCGCGCCGCGCTGCGGGCCGCCCGCGCCGCCGCCGCGCACACGCAGCAGGCCGAGCGCGGCGCGCAGACGCAGCTCTCGGACCTCACCGCCAGCCTCGCCGCCGCGCGCGCGCGCATCGCCTCGCTCACGGTCAGTACCCACGACCGCTTCGACTCGATTGTTACGAGTTACTCTAGACCAGTATTTCTCAACCTTTTTTTAATTCGATCGCTCACTTGAGGAACTTAAATGATAGGTTTTAGGAACGAATTTCTGGGAAATCGTTAGCGAAACAGTAAGTAAATTTTTAAAATATATGAATAACAGAATTTCAAGGTCCAAATTATTTTTAATAAAGATTTTTCTATTATCATTTATTATTTTAATTTAATAAGATACTTGCTATTTATGCTTGCTGCACAGATATTTTGTAGTAGTCTCCAATTTAGTGAGCTTCAGTCTCAAGTCTCCATATTGTGTTGTATCCAGCCAATCTCTTTTTTTTACCATATGAAGCGAAATTGTACCTAATAATTGTTTACCGTAATTATTTAAGAATTTTTTTATTAATTTAGGCACCGATATCGTTGTGTCGAGTTCGTTTTCGAAATGCCCCTCTCAACAATCAAATTGAACTCCTGACGTACTGGGACAGACATTTCTACAGTCTGTCTCGGTTACGTGTGTATTGCATGCAACCACGTGCCTAAATATCATCATCAATGTCCGTTTGCTTGTGGATCATCTACCGCTGATCCACAAGCAAACGGACATTTATATGTTGCTTAACTAGGCGTATATAGGCTCTCGTTCAAATCCTTCAAAGTCGAGATTTCGCTCATTAGCAGCACACAATGGCTTTCTGTATGAAACAATACGAGATCTTACAGATGATAAAGCGGACGCGATATTACAGACAGATACATTATTAAATGCATTCCTTGTACAGGAACATTACACTCCAAGATGAGAAACTGATTTTGTCATATCATAATGTTGATTGTCTCATTTTCTTCTACAGGCGAGCTCAAAAATATTTCACTCTGCATTGAAGAGTATTCAGACGAAAGTGGAAGCAGTTGTCAACATCAAATATGAAGATGATGATGTTATCGAGATTGTGAATGGACCAGTAAAGTAAGTTTTATTTTTAATATCATTGTATTAAACCAAAATGACTGAATATGGGATGACATCAGACAATGATCATTTACACAAGAAGAGACTACTGTCAACAAGAGTACCAAGTTTTGTTTGGCACATTATGGAATCTTATCTATATGTACTAATATTTCAGTGTGTATTCAATATTATATTATTATCATTGACTTCGACATTGTAAATAGTTGTAGTAGACCACAATTCTTATTAAAAAGTTTTCTTTATAGAGAAAAAGAAGCAAAGAAAGATGTAACAGAGGAGAAGGAAAATCCTGCAGGTAATGATGAAGATGCAAACATTGAAGGTAATGAGAAAATAGACTGTTCTGAGACCAAGAAGGTAAATGATGATTCACAAGAAGTAAAAGAGAGTAAAGAAAATGATAACACAGCAGCGGAAATGGACATAGATGATAAAGAATAAAACTTAAAATATTACATGCTAAATATGTATGTAATGTGATAATTTGTAGTATAAGTTGATATATTTGAGTGATTGAGACCACACAATTAGTTTTATTATATTCACAAAACTACTTTAGTATAAGTTTTACTAGTTTTGGTAAAGTTTATAATTACCTGTGTACAATTTGTACACATAATTGATACACACACTTCTAATACAACTTAGTGTACAATAGATACAAGTTGCTAAAAAATTTTTATGGGGATAAGGAATTGATTGGTCTACAAATATGAGACTTTGTAAACAAGGGACAAATTGCATTACATAACACATGATTCATTAAGACCCAAGAACAGTTAGGTTATGTGGACAAATTGTTTCTTGATTGCGCAATCCTTAATGTATTTTGTCAATTTTTTAACTATCTTTTGTATAATTGTTGTATGAATTATTCAAGATCAATAAATGAATGAGAGGAAGGTGATGTCCTAGTGGTTTAAGTTAAAGTTCTGTAATAGCATGTTAATGCAATAAAAACAGACAAAAATACTAATACGTCGTTTTATTTAAAAACCAGTCGATATATAGCTAAAATACATGTGAAGCTTACATTGGAACTATATAAATAATAATGTAAACTTACTGCCTATTTTAAATTTATAGGTTAACAAAGATAATAAGTTCGTAAAGGATATAGTTTTCGTAATAAATTTTATTCCCTACAAATAATTATATTAACGGAATACATCTAATGATATAAATGCATATAAAATAGTAAACTTGGATAAAATAGCAATATTATAATAAAATCTATAATCCACCGGATGTGACAGGATAAACATGGCACAAGTTTTAGTTATTATGTGTTCAATGACTGAACACTTGACAAAAAGGCCAATCATACCTATAATTTTCAATTCAAAAATTTACATTATCATGCACCATATGATATCATCATATGGTGCATGATAATGTAAAACTGTCAAACCAAAGAGACTATATTTATTGTATATTTTATTAAAAAATAATAATCAATAAAAAATAACATACAATATCGTCTTATGAACAAGCATATATGTAATAAATAACCGTGTATTAGGTATTATAATATTTTTATAATGGAATTTAGATCTGATCTGATAATCATGATCATCTGATGTTTCTCTAAATAACATCTTGGAACAATAATTATGATTATTATTTTTTCCTTACTGGCCGTCAAATGAATTGACGTTGCTAAGAAACTGCATTTAGAGATGGCCATTATTATTATTAAAATATCTGCTTCCTTAACTTAAAATAGATTTATATGAATATTATTACTAGTATGTCTAATGTGGAGAAATAATATCTACTATTTTCGTTTTATCATACTTATATCCTACATTTTTAAATATAGTAATAACAAATGCTGTTTACACGGACATTGAAATTTCCACAGAACATTAAAAAATCCAATATACAATGGCTACTTCTTAATAAGGGATTAACAAGTAAACTGTCTTTTCATAGTTTTGTTCGCTTTTTACAGCATGGAATACATAAAAATGTCTTAATATAAAGTATAATAGTACTTAATAATTCCAGATCTGCAATAATATTCTGTTATTAACTGTATAGAACATCACATCTAAATTCTACATGAAAACTGTAATGTATATTTTGTACAAAGTCATTTATTCAAGCTGTCTAGAATAGCAATCTTTGTAAGCTGTGTTTCCGTTTATAGTGAAGTTACGCAGTGGAATTATAAGGTATGATCTTAGTTATCCATGGTACTCTTCATGTCTTGCTAACACATATCACTGTAAAAGCAAGGAAGGTGACGGCCCACCTGACAGTATGTATACTAGTAACCGTAGTCTATAGACATGAAGAGCACTACGCGAATCACATTTTCATGACGCCTAATGCTGTCTTTCCGGAGAACTATAATTTATGCTGGAGGCTACTATAATTTAACCTCCCTTTTCTTCACTCTTGAAGCGAAACACAATTTACAAAGCGAGCTGGTTGACAGCTGTAATAGGTGACACTATTATTGATAGGTATTTATGCAAACAATTTTTAATAAAGCCTACTACGGTAAAATTATTATAAGCAATGATTGCCACTATTAGATGGGTCATCAGTTACATTAACACCACCATTGTCAAAATTTCGAAACAAATGCCGCCAAATTTAGACGTTACTTTAACAAAACAGCATAGCAGATCCAGCATTTCAATTTCTACAGTTGTCATCCGCATCATTATCGTGTTGTATTACACGCAAGGTTCAACGTAGTTTCCTGGAAACAGACCAGTGACGCCATCCATAACTCCTTCCCACCAGCCATCATCATTCTTCTTGAGCACATATATAACTGCGCTCTCTTGGAACGACAACTCGTCTTCCTTGTCGGCATAGTAGTCGTATATGGCAACCACTAGAAACGATTTCATAGAATATTAAAATTTATGTATTTAGTTATTATGCTGTCAGACAAATTTACACATTTGTACATTGTACTATTACATAATACACTCAGAGAACTAGTATTGAGAACAATAAACGGCTATAATATTTATGTTTGTAAACCGATTGAAATGAAACAAACATTAAATGTACGCGAAACTGATCCATCTGGGAAAAACACATTTAAATTAAGAAAGCTGAACCTGAAATTTGCGTGCACTAATTCATAAATAAACAAATATTCTATAAACTTCAGTCATCTCTAATATAACTGATGAGATGTGTACAAATAGATTTTAAAATAAGAGACAATAATTTGTTCTAACAAAATACAACTTAAATTTAAAATAATTATTCAATATTTCATAATAAATAATCAAAAACCGTCAGCTACGCAATTCTATGGCTTGGTTCAAATTGTTTACGAAAAATTATAGTTTTTTCATTACATCTTGCACATATATTTGCTATAGTAATCTATTCTAGAAAAGTTGAATAATATGAGTACAGAGACTAAGATTATGAGTTGTTTATTATATTATACCTTTCTCGATGTAGTTCTTTGGCACCCAACCAGGCAAGTCCTCTTCATCCGGCACAATCGCAGGCACAGCACTAGTATACTGTACACCCATTTTATTCTGGATTCAATAACATTATAATATCTAAGCTAACACTAAAACATACAGGATAGGAATAGATGAATAGTTATATATACAATAATACTTAATAAAAAAAAACAACTATCATCGCTTCCTCATTAATCAAGATACCACCACAACCTATGATTAAGAACAGAACATACACAAAACCTACATTATCGGCAAAATCACAATTACAAATGTATTGTTCATAATTTTGTGTGATAATATCATTTTGGGTTGTTGTAACAATTACATAAAAGTTAATTAACAACGATTGTGTAACTTTAGAATTTATAGTATTCTACAAGTATGGTACTTCTATAAGTTAATGTAAATATTTCTTTTAAGTATAAAAAATCTCTAGTTTAGATCTTAGACTATAAGTTAGTTTTAGGAACCAAGAGGTTATCCCTCCAGTTACTCGAGGGTTGAAGCCATTGGACCGGGGCAAAGAGGCTCGCCGCGATACCTCAACTATCACCCACTCTAGAGGGACTAGTCAGGCCAGTGTCAGTAAGATCAGAACTTTAGAAGTTTATATTTAGACTACATACATTGAGATGATGCGGCCGACCGAATGCGTCGTGAGTGAGTTCGTCATCCATGGGGGGAGGTGGTAGCGGCGGCGACACTGAACCACCCCGTGCCGACCCTCCACCGGCAGATGACGAAGATCCACGCTGAACAAATATTATTATTTTAGTTAGGTACAGAATGTTATACCGGCCAAGCAACGGCACATATTACTCGTATGATCGACTGCTAGCGACATTTGCGTTCTTATGTATCCGACATTTTAAAAATCAAATAAATATGATTTTTAGCTAACAGTCTAGATTAAATGGGCAGAGATGAACAGGCTGCACAACTGCAGGGATCGGGCAATTTAAGATTCTCTCGACTTAATAGATGTGCCATACAGGGACTAGCGGATAGATTCGCAGCACCTGAGAGCAGACTCATTGCAGCTGCATTATGAATTTAAAGGAATGCAAACAATTTAAGAAAAAGTACCATCAGATTGGACTATTGTATAAAAAAAATCAGACTGCCTTATTCAAAAACAGAATTAGCAGTATTCAAAAACAAAAAAAATGCTTTCTTAAATATAGTCCGCCATATACTCTATTTTTGTGTATTGAAGTTAAATAAATAAATGATCCATAAACGCGGAACTTCCTAGTAAAATTACAGGTTATATGAGTAATAAGAGTAAATGATATGAATATATAATTATACCTGTCCAGGTAGACTCATCGAATGTTGGCTGTGTTCACCATCCGACCCGATCAGGGGTGACGGGGGAGCTGAAAGATTCATCACAATGAGGAATATAATAATTCATCAAAATCAATACATATGTATATATGTTGATTATGATGAATTATTATATATATATGACATTATATAATATTATTATATATGTCAATCTATAAAGTTATCCCATTTTCAGGTATTATAATAATACTAGCTGACCCACGGTTCTTCGTCGGCATCACACTTGCTTGACTTTTATTATATTTTCCCCAATTTATATAATATTATTTTAAAATTATAGCCTGTGTTATTCTGATGTATAAGCTATATTACTGTAATTTCACCAAAATCCATTCAGTAGTTATTGCATGTAATAGTAGTAAGATTTTTATTTAACTATATACATACGTGGCATACTGGAATGCATATCCTGTTGAGAGTAGCTTGGGGATTGATGCTGATTAGGATGCACCATGCCCACCTAAAATTACAAAAATATTATACAACCAATTATAATAAATGAAGGTACATTTATTTTACAGTCAAATCACTATTGTTCTAATTGTAGTTAAGGCAATCTTATAATTTTGTATCGATATTATAAACAAGGTGAATCGATTTTTTTTAGATTAAAATATAAACAATATGTGATATAGCATGCTGACCTGTGGTTGTGTGACTGGCAGCGTGGAGTATCCCGGGGGGCGACGCGGATAGTTCGGCGCGTAGTGAGAGGGTACCTGTGGCGGAGCTACCGCCGGCGGCGTACGGTACTCACGCGATGACTTCCCTGCAACACATTGTGTTAATTTAAAATTGAAATATAATGCTCTAAAATAAAAGTTACATATTTTGGTATGAAAATTATATCAACTTTATACAAGTTTACTTGCAAAGGGATATCAATTCTATTTTTATCTAAAATGGACACATTTAGTCTTTCATTTGGGCCATTTTCTGTTAGTATAACCCTTCCTACAGACCCTGAATACTTAGTAGTATCATGGTTATATAAATGTAGTATAATGGTAGTGTTATGAGTTTTCGCCACAAGTGTGCACCATGGGGTGTGGTGTATATAGTCTTATGAAAAAGTCTGGAGTTACAAATTACAAATATATCAACATTGGACTGGATAACTGAGAGGCTGGGAAATGCAGTAGGTATGCAATGTGATGCAATATGGTTGTTCTTATACTGTGTATATGTGCATAGCACACCTACACCAGAAATTTTTAATACTGCATATTATGTTAGACTCACCCCTTGTATTGTTGATATACATATATACATATTATACTTGCATTATATATATTATAGTTGACATACATATTACAGAATATATATATTTACATAAATGTGGTATAATCAATGTATAAGGTTTTGATTACCAAGAGTTCCACGCCCAAGAGTCCCAGTGTTGGCACCAGATGAAGATCTGACTGCTGCAGGTGGAGTTGGGGGTTTTGTGGTTGGTGCTGGTAGAGGTGCAGGGCCTGGAGCAGAAACCGAACGGCGTCCACGGGGTGTACCCGTGATTCCACTACTCCAACGGGCCCCATGCCCAATGTCATCAAGTGCTGGAATGATTATTAATATCTTATTATTTATATTCCGTGAAAAGATATTATAATATAAATAAGAACTCATGTGTTAATATACTAAAATGATGCTTAAATAATACTAATATTTCAATGTAGAAGTAAATCATTAGTGATTGATGAGAATGATTGCCTCATATTTAATTCAACATCTTCCAGTACTGCATCAGCAATATATATACTATTTTACATCACTATACATAACAAAAGCTGTCTTTTCATTGTATAAGGGAAATGTATAACAATAATACAAATTCAATAGGTAGTCAAATAATAATGTCAAATTAGACATTTATATTATACTAGCTACTCGCCCTGGCATCAAGTAGGTGTATATCTACTATACAAATAAACCTCTTGAATCACTGCTAAAAACTGCATTTATATCTTATCGGATTTCAATGTAGTTTTTATATACAGTTTTATAATGTAATAATAATGCAGACAACAAAAGAGGCTTCATTTTGTACTATGTAAAGACAAGAAATTTAAAGACATACCTGTATAATCAATAGCTTTTCTGATATATTTAATTGGTTTTTCAGGATTAGCTGGTGCAATAATTTTGTACTGTCTATTTGTTACTTTATTAGCAGTCAGAACACCTATCTCCCTCCGTGCCACTTTCTCTTTGTGAATAGAAACCGTTTGAGCGATGTGATTCATTTGACCTTCCATTTCTGCTAATTGCATGGTTTGAAACTCTAGTAATTGTAAGAAATTGTATGCCAGTGTGTTTATCTGGTAAGCAACACTAGCCAGAGACTGGGTTGTGTAATTTTTTGTGCTTTCTAAAGCCAATCTCTTATTGTCAACCTGGAAATAATTAGCTTCACAGTATTCTGCAACCCGTTCCAGATTTGCATGGCTATCTGTGAGATGATTGCGCCCTTCCGGGATATCTGTCTGTAGTAATGCTGCTAACTCAGCCATTATAATACTGAAATGAAAATAAAGACAAGTGTAATGCACTTTTGTAAGAAACAAATTTGATGCTGCATCCTTATAAAGTCAATAATAATTTTTCTGAAGAGCACAACTGCTCAATTATGTAAAATAGTTTTAGATTAACTTTTAATTTAATTATTTCTATGACAAACCCATAAAATGCTTATTTATAAAAAAAAGTGTTAAATATTTTAATCATATAAGTAAATATGTTTACCAGGATGTTAGGGACCTCCATACCCATAACCGAAATTATCGGATATACTCGTAACCATAACCGAATCCGAAATAAAAGTTTCAGATAATATCGAATATAGGCGGAGCCTAATAAAGACACGTTATGTAGCCATTTTATTAGCTATTTGTATTATACTTTTGAAATTCCTTAAAAAGTTAAAATCCATAACCGAAATTATCCGAAACTAACGGATAATCCGAAATAATTTCATATCCGCATCCGTATCCGGTATAATAATAATTTCCATATCCGAAACCTATCCGTATCAGAAATTTCATATCCATAACATCCTTGGTGTTTACTGTTTAACGTTGTTCAAAAAAGTCATAACTTGTAAGTTATATTACATTTATTAAACGGATTAAAACAGATCACCAGAAAAAATAAATTAATACTTAATATATTGATAAGTATATGCTGTGCTGATATAGAGAAAAAAATAAAATGTGCAAAGATCTTTACCTTGTATTTTAGCACAGGAACACCCTTTATGATTCACGGGAGTTTTAATAGTAGAGTATGAGTTATGGGTTTTGTGCTTGGCGGTAATTCAATTATAATAATGTACAAGACGATTTTGCAAGTAATAAATCCTAATTGTTACAGTATATATTAATGAGAGATGAACGATCCAAATTAAAATTATTATTTCAATTGAGGATTGAATAGCTACAAAATAACAATGATATTTTGACTTCATTCAGAAAAATGGTTCAATTCGCCGTCATTCAATTTTCCTCCGAATGTCATTTTTGGCATTAAATGTCATTGTGAGCTCAGAGCAGATCGTAATTTATCGACCTATAGATTATTCTGTACAGTAATCCTGGTTATTGTCATTATTGAATTGTATGAATTGTCAATCTTTTATATTTCTCCAGTAATTGTTTATCAAATTTTTAAAACATTGAAGTCTAAGTTATCCCGAAATGTGAAAATTTTCCTGCATGTTAGATAAAACTCAATACGACACCATGGGAACCAACGGCAATGGTCGACGAGGGGGCCCAAAGTTACCCGACGTTCGCCGCCCCATGGAAGAAGGTGATTGTGTCAACGACATGGAGAGCCCCGAGTTAGACTTCATTTATGACGATTGCGACACACAAGCAAACGAAATAGCAGAATTATACAGTTACACAGAACATCCAGAGTTTCAGCTCAATGTGAAGGCTTTCGAAGATATTATGGAAGAGTTTAATTATCCACCCAGTTGGCAAAGACTTTCTAATAAACAACAACGAACTGTTATAATGAAATTATTGGAGCATCTCGACGTTGCCGTAAGTGAAATACGGATGCGTGCGACACGATGTATCTTTTATCTGGCCCAAGGTTGCTGGGCAGAAATGCAGTCCGACACAGAACAGGCACACTGGGCGCGTGTCAATATCATGACACTGTATGACATGGGTACTTTTGCCGCCTTTGTTGAATTGCTCAACCTTGAAATTGTTCGCAGTAGCACGGCTATAGCTTCAAGGAAATTAGCAGAATCTTTAGCGGACTCAACTAACTTGCGAGTTATTTTGTCAGTTTTATATTTAATAACTGAATATATGAGAACTGAAAAAGAGAATCCTGACTCTGAATATGTTAACTTAGTGCAGAATTTCAAAGAAGAACTTGGTACTCTCTTTGGTGAGGAGCTGCTGCCTGTAAAACTTCTTGCAATGGTGACACATCTCTGTGCTGGAACTACTCCACACTTTCCAATGAAAAAGGTATTACTCTTGCTGTGGAAAGTGCTGCTTGTTTACTTAGGTGGTTCTACAGAGCTTAAAGAAAGGAAAGCAAAACTGAGAGAAAAGAATGGATTACCACCTTTGACTGAGGATACTATTGAAATTATAAAAGGTATGAGAGCTAGTTCCCCACCACCTAGTGCTGCTGATATGCTAGAAAATCAAAATCCAGGACAGAGAAAACTAAAAGAGAATGAAAGAGCACTTCGCAGACAGACTTTTATGAAACAAACTTCACTTGATGAGTCTGATGAACAAATTTTTGTTGATAAAGAAGAAACTGGTAATGGATCAGAAGATTATTCTATGGAGTTTCAGTCCATGCCATCGGAAAGTGGAAGAAGTGACATCAATCAACATTTTCCATATTATATGTACTTCAAACAGTTTGATAGCCCACCCCCTCCACCCCCTTTGCCAAGAAGTTTACCTTGGGAGTCTAAAGTTAGACAAAGAGATATTGACATGTTCCTTGATAATGTCAGAATTAAATTTGTGGGGTATTCTCTTCCTGGTGATAGACAAACTATTGCAGGCCTTCCACAGCCTATTCATGAAGGTATTGATATTTTAAGGAAGCATATGTATACTAGTTTGTCTGAACTTCAAACAGAGAGAGAAATTGAAATAGCCCGAAGTCCCCTTACTAAAGGTGAAAAAGAAGTTGAAGAAACAGAAGCTGAGGTTTTGTATAAAGCCATGCTTCCCAATCTACCCCAGTATATGATAGCCCTACTGAAAATACTTTTAGCAGCCGCACCTACATCTACTGCAAAAACATACTCAATAAATATAATGGCTGATTTACTGCCAGAGGAAATGCCAATGACAGTATTACAGTCACTAAAACTAGGCATTGATGTAAATCGGCACAAGGAAATTATTGTCAAAGCTGTCACTGCCATTTTATTGTTGCTTTTGAAACACTTCAAACTAAATCATGTTTACCAATTTGAATTCATGTCTCAACATTTGGTATATGCCAACTGCATGCCACTAGTATTGAAGTTTTTTAATCAAAACATTTTATCATATGTTGGAGCTAAGAACACAATACCCATATTTGATTTCCCTGCCTGTGTTATTGGAGAACAACCTGAGTTGACAAAGGAATGTTTGGATATTGGGGATTCATCAGTTCCATATTCATGGAGGAATGTTTTCTCCTGTATAAACTTGTTGAGAATTCTTAATAAATTAACTAAGTGGAAGAATGCAAGAATAATGATGCTTGTGGTATTCAAAAGTGCACCTATATTAAAGCGCACTCTTAAAGTGAGACATGCATTAATGCAATTTTATGTTTTGAAATTATTAAAAATGCAAACTAAATATTTGGGACGACAATGGAGGAAAACAAATATGAAGACTATCAGCGCTATTTATTCCAAAGTACGACACAGATTGAATGACGACTGGGCATTTGGAAATGATGTTGATGCTAGACCTTGGGATTTCCAAGATGAAGAATGCGCCCTAAGAGTCAGTGTTGATAGATTTAACCATAGAAGATATGGGTCGGGAGGTGACCAGGAAATAGATCTGACGCCACTTGAAACTGATATAAATAGCGTACTTGAGGGTAATATCGAACTTGATGAAGAGTTTAAAGAAAATTATGAATTATGGCTTGAACAGGAAGTATATAATAATGAGATTAACTGGGATATATTGTTAACAACATGAAATTTATAAATCATGTAAAAACAGTTTATGATTGTATTAAGTTATTTAATACTTATGCCGTGCAATAATATTAGAAAATACCATTTGTCACCTTGCTCAGACTCAGATGTCAAGTTTTAACATTTTCGTGTTACTCTGATTTATATAATTGCATAATTGACAACCTACTCTAAAATTAACTGAATCTATTTGTATGACTTTTACAATCAATAGGGTCTGGTTTCAATTTTCACAGGATATGAAATTTATCTCTTTGTTTTTGGAATAATATCTTGTTTGTTGTACTTACACAATTTAATATATAATCTATTGTAATAAGTTTAGAACAACTGTATTATTTCAATTTATTTATATGCATGTTTTTGATAAATTTATGGTTACACAAATTTATATGTTAAATAATAAAAACATAAATTGTATCTTTAGATTCAATGTATTGAGTGACCTGTAGAAATTTAATAAGTAATTTACATAATAATGAAATGATCATGTTTTTACTTGTATCTAAAAATATAATACTCGATCGAATTGTATAATAAGCATGTCAGGTAAGAAACGAAATTATCTTCGTTTTCTCTTAAACTATTTTAAATCGACGTATTAATAAAGTTATGAAATGTAATTGATTGTTTGGTATTGTAATTTAACAATAAAAGCATATATTTCAAATTAATTTCATATCAGTGTTAATCATACTACATGTACAGGCCGCACTCATAGAGGAGAACTGCTTATAATATTTTGTCTAAATATCAAAGAACATATGTCTATAGTTTTCATAGAGATTTTGATGAACATTAAAGTACACCGAAGTTTGTTGATCTAAAAACTATCGTTTTAATGAATACTGAGACCTTTACAAAATGATTACGTAAAAAGTATTACAATAACTACAACTATATCCTTTTATTGTGGATTCAGTCCGAGAAATAAGTTACTGAACTGACAACTGACATCTTATTTAATTATCTAACTGAATCCACTAGAAATAGGGTTTCGTGTTTGTGTATTATTTACCGTCTTGATATACATAGGTACATACATATTTACAAGTTTATGTCAGTGTGTATAATTATTGTTGGTTGGTTGGTTTTTGTATCAACATTGATTCAAAAATCAACCAACCAACGAAAAAACTAAAAATATTGGCTATAGTGAGACACTTAGATAATAAGTAGGTATTAATGATAGGTAGGCATAGTACATAATCTATTGATTGATTATAGTATTGTTAAAGAAACAAATTTAGATTATTTAATTTTATTAGAATTCAATAAAACTTTGTGCTATTAATTATCAATTTATAAATAATGTTTTATAGAGGTGTGCGAGCAATATGGTCTGTTCCCACGTCAAACGTCTCGCAGATGACATCCGAACATTTGTAATACAACAATGGATCCTTTTACCGATCCAAGTGGGGCACTTAAGAGCTGCGGGGGGCGAATGGACTGCTTTGCAACTGGGGAAAATTTCATTTCTCCTTATTAACATAAGGTTACGAAAATATTTTCTCAAAATATCATGTTTTTACAGACATAAAAATATATAGATATTCAATAAGTAGGTAGGTATATGGGATACCAGTACTTTTTTACTTTTTTTGTAATACAAAAACAACACTTTACAAAACATCATGAATTAATTCTCTTGTACCTACATATGTATCAACCATAATGTTCGTAAATAATTGGATCATTATTAAAACTCGTCAGAACTAAGTAACAATATTCTAAAATACTAAGTATAAAATAATAAGTAATATATATATATTTAAATATTAAAGAGCAAATAATGGACATTAAGATCAGATAAATCTTACCTTACCTTATATTTGTATAATAGTGCCAAATAACAAAATGATTCAACAAATGTACCTAGGTATATATATAATTAAAATAACATTTCCTATTCTTGAACATCAATATTTATCTACCATAAATAGTATTAATCAACAGCTTCGTTTTCTTAATAAACTATATTATAATTACAATAATTGTAAATTGTAAGAGGGAAGTAGTACTTAAAATATTAGTTTCTACTAAGTTTAGTTTAGTTTTTAGGTACCAGCAAACAATAGAAATGTGATAAATTTAATAAATAAAGACTATTTTACGTTCTTAATCTCTTAGGTGCGTTGCAAAACCTACTTATATTTATTATAAAAAATAAAAAATAATTTTCGAGAAGTAAATTAAACATTAAAATAAGTAGGTACCTACTGTGCCTAAATATGTAGATATTTATCAAGAAAACTGCATCTATCATAAGAATAATAGCTAAAGCTTCATTTATTACTATATTAGGGAGCTGATTATTAGTAATAGGGTCTAGTGGGCCCATTATTACAAAGAATTAACCACAATGGTTTCCAAGAGGTACCGCGCGAAGGTGAATCTTTCGTGGTATCACCATGATAGCCCAATTGATCTGCCTATCATCGCCTACTGGTGCCCCACCGGCGTACATCGTTACAGCAGTGACGTGCCATTCTATCATCATTTATTCAAACATCAAAAATTGAATCAATAACACTACATAATTTGCACTGAGTAGTATCTAAGTAAACACGGTAAGTATTTTAACATTCAGCGACTCTATGAACAGTTAGACTTAAGTGCCTTCATGATAAAATCGCAGTGCAGAAGAATTTTCCGCTCTGTAACCCGTGTAATACATCGTTGGTAGGTACCTACTATTGTTGTAAATATCACATTCTGCTCTCAGTAAACTTACAGTTGACACTTCGAGATGTTTTTACCAGTGAATGAGAATAATTTATTCTTTATAGTAATTTTGATTACTAGTATTTTAGGCTCGGAAATATTGGACAATGAGTTGAATATTAATGACATCCTGCGGAATGATTTGATGCCTACATTCTTCATGACTAGCGGAGATAATCAAGATCTAAATCGTAATATTAGTGAAACCAAATTACAAGACGCAGCTGTAAATGGATCAATAGATGCTGCGCTATCAACGCTCTCTTTTCACAGGTACCGAATTTTATCTTATTATATATATAAGCTAGGTGTAGCACACGGCGATGTTTCCGTGTGTTTACAGTAAAAAGTATCCTAGGTGATAATTTAGGATATGGTCTACATATCTGTGTCTCAACTTATATTCAAGTAATATCAGTAGTCTTTATGTATAAGAATAATAAACATCAATTTCTCATCCTTACAAACTTTTACATGTAGATACAATTATGATTAACAAAACCTAAAAATAACCGTTAATATTTGTAGGATTACTTGTAGAGCATTATGTTTTTCTTTATTTATGGGGATAGTAGAAAGTGCTACTTATATCTAAGTGGTTTTTAGGAAACATTCAATGTTTCCTTGATTTTAATGAGAAAACCAATGTTTGTAAACTTACATACATTAAAACCTATATAAAATCTACAAGAAATAACGTAAGTATAATAATATATAATACTATTTATCTAGACTATTGTTGTCATTGCCATTTTAATAAGGTGGAAGATCGGACAAAATTAGATAGTCTTATAGGATCTCTGGTTCGAGGTCTAAGTACAGAAGTAATTTAATGTTTATTACATAACTAACTGTGCCCGCGGTTTCACCCGCGTTTAATTTCAATGAGAAATATAGCCTATACTTTATTCCGATACATAAGTTATATTACTGTAAATTTTCATCTTTGAATGATAGAGTTTTGGGCCATTTACCTGTGTAAGCAATTAAGTTCTTACATAGGATCTACCTAGCTAATCATCCAAAAAATATAATACATATACGAGTAAAAATATATATACGAGTAGTATAAAAAAAGTTGCAAATTTCAAATGGACATAGGCTATAATTATAACATAATACTACACTACTATATTATATAGACTGTATATCAAGGACGAAAATAGTCATCCTTTTCCATAACGCAAGAAAACGACGTAGAATACTACAGGTAACCAGTACAAATATTATATTATATAGATCTTATTTCAGTTTTTATTTTCTAGACAAATGATGAACGAGTATCACTGCCGTAATTATGTTGCTGAGCAGATATTGGAAGAGATGGGCAAAAACGTGTTACAGAGTCGACTTGGTAAACCTTTCGCTACAGATATAAAAGACACCGCATCAATAATTAAACACTCTCAAGATCTCAGAAATAACTTAATATATGACATTGGTTCAGCTAACTATCAGGAATGGTTAACCAAGTAAGCCACTTCATAAATCTCTCTCCTAGAATAGTAAAATATCAGAATATCTAACACAGTCCTATAAGCATGAGAAAAACTGAGAGTAGACATGAGAAAAGCAAAAAATAACGAACTTACTAGACAATCTAGGGTTTGTAAAGTCGTCTACGTTGGTCTTACCTATTACTTCATACACCAATCAGCCTTGTGATTCGGCTGTAGGATGAGATTAGGCAGTGGCAGAGACATAACATCATAGCCCGTCGGAATGGCACCGCATGAGTGTTATCACGGGCTTTCTATGATAATGTGATGACAGTGGGGTTGTCCATGTACATATATGTATAGCGATTACTGTTTACCATCAGGCGGAATATCAGATTGCGTACCATTCCAATTACAGAATTGACAAACTTACACTTATTTTTAGTTATTTACTAAATACACACATAATATACCTACATATGCATAAGAACAATGTTTCTATCATGAGAGGAATCGAACCCATGACCATCGGAAGTAAGGCAGTGTGCTAAATCGCTAGAATACCGAGGCCGTGAGAACAGAAAACTTGTTTTAATTATTAAGTCAATTCACGCCCAATACACTAATTTCTGATATTTTGATACTTATTTATAGAGTAGCAGCTTTGAATAATGAATATCGTCATAATAATACAATAATGTCCCATAACTCATTTGGGAACAATTCAGAACTGTTGTCCACATTCTCAAATCCTCAACTTTATAATTCCCAATCTCGGGAGGGTTATGAAGTATTTGAAGCTAGTGAAGGAACAACTTATATTGATCCAGCAGAGACACCACTTCATGAAGTATCCAAATATAGTAAGTCTAAATAGTAGTAGTAAGCCTTTCGATGTAATTTTACGGCATAATAAAGGCAGTTCACTCATATTGAGCACCGAAATTAACAGTGTTTAACATATTTAAGTTATAGAGCACGTTGTATGGTTATGCAGAGCAAAAGGGCCAGCTCGAACCGGGAAATACTACACTCCTTCAGAATACTAGCTTTAAGTGTCACCGCATTTCGCATGATGAGCTAAGGTTCCAGATGCCCATCTTCCTCCCTCCTATCCTTAAGAAATTAGGAATTCCTTCCTCTACCAATCCTTCTAAAAAGGCTGGCAACACATTCCCCTGGTACTGCGGGCGCTCATGGGCAGCGGTAATCACTTACTATCAGGTGAGCTGCAAGCTCGTTTACTCAAAATGTATGAAAATACGTATACATTATCCGTACTTTTAGGTTATTTTATATTTAAGATGCTATAATATAAGCTAACTTTATTTGTTATTTTTAAAGCTAAAAAAGATGAATAGAAGAAAGTTATACCGTACCGATAATTAGTCTTGATTTAGACTGCAATGTCTATTGACATATTATTTTTATTACTTTTTTATATTATTTTTACGTATTTAGGTGGTGGCTACGAATACTCTATGCCTCCTCCACCACCGCCCATCTATCACCACCCGCCTTCTCAAGTACACGTAGAGGAAGTAAGTGAAGAACGACAAAAACACGGGCTTGGAATATCTGATCTCTTTGATATTGCATTAACTGGAATTGCATTCTTATCTTTCGCAATGTTCGTACTTCAAGTGCTTATGTGTATTACTATGGTAAGTGGTAACTACTAGAATAGTATAGAATTTAGTATTACGATTAACTATTTACAACGCTCTGACGACAGTGACATTGTTAAAAAGTTGAGTTTTTAATGATATCGTTGTCGTCAGAGCATCGTGGCCTAGTGCTTTGCTAAGCTGCCCTCTCTCACGTTAGTTTCAAATGTACACAGTGAAATATGTCTAGCGTTCACCACAGTGTAGATATTTTTGACTATCCCACCTCACTATTACCTCTATACACGAATATATATGAAGGTGTATTTTTTATTATATATTTTTATTTTTTGTATTCTATTCGTCATACGTATTTGGTGCGATATATTTTATTTTTAAAACTCAATTATAAAGTAAATATCCTACACATATGTTATCGTTATTCATGATTAACATCATTAGCACATTCTGCTAATATAGGTACTTACTCAAAACCTGCTAATATAGGTACTTACTCATTTTCAGAATCCAGAACAACCACAAATTATGCAGATGGTGGACAATAGCGGGGATTCTTTAAACATGGAAGAAATCTTCCGATTCAAACGTGACAGTGATACTAATGAGAATCCTAGACAGAATAATGTATCTGCTGTAAACTCTTTAGCCCGATATGCACTTCTAGTTCTCAGGCCTCGATCAACGCCGTGTCTTTACAGAGCTTTGTGTTTGGGAAACAAGCGGGCAAGAGATCTTCGAGACAATAGCCGATACTGGCTACCTGTTTGGTAGTATGTATTATTTTTTATAAAACAACTACATATTTTCTCTTCAGTTCTAAGACAGGGGGTTTGTATGTATGTATACTTTTGTATTAGTCATGTTGCAAAGAAAGTGATTGTCCTCCTTAGGAAATGTGGTAAGAAGTTGCGTACCTCTTATACCGGGTAAATTTATTATCTTTGTTTTAATTGGAATATTTTACACTTTGTACAAAGTGTGCGTGTGCTATTTGTTTTGTAACATGTGTTTCGATTGAAGTGTACAATAACAGGGTACGTAGGCATGACATCTTAGTCCTCTTGCGGAATAGTAACAGAGAAATAATACAACAGTTTCCGTTACATGATGTCCATGGTGTTTACTATTTCATGTATATAGGCGACGGTTATTACTTACCATCTGGTGACTGCTCTTCAGATTATTTGCCATTTTGATTGCGGAAAAAAACCCTTATGAACACAAACAAATAAACGAGTGCAGAGTAAACTTCACGACATATGTTATTCATGTCTATAGGTAATCCTTAACATCTCTTCCATCGGGGATGACGAAAATATAACAAATTTAAATTATTTCTTATAAAATAAATATCTTCAAATACCTGCAAAATATTTTTTTAACTCAATTGTAGTTTTATTATTCTGGGTTCTCGTATTCTAGTCTTATTAATTGGTAGTACATAGTCCATAGTGATAATTACCGTAAATTCTATGTTTTACGTACTAATATTATAAATGCAAAAATTTACATACTGTCTGTATGTTATCTTTTCACGACAAAACGACTGAACGGATCTTAATTAAATCCAATCAAAGTCCCGGGTAATAGCTAGTAATAAATAATTTAACAGTGCCGGTGTGGCGTGGATTCGAGGTGGGGCGCTGGGTGCACTTCGAGCCTCTGTGTTGGGGTTGGGCGGTGCTGAATGCGATGCGATTTATCCGGTTGCACACTGCCAGTAATCTACTATAAACATAATATATATTTCCAGATAAATCAACAACAAATTAACAAATCTACCACAAGATTAATTAATTATAATGCTGATCGCACACTATCAGTAATCTGCATTATATCCATTAATACATTATTATATATCACACTAGATTAATTGTAAGTCATTGATCAATTATAACATAATGTGTATAAGGTTTATTTTTATAGATACCTACCATAATTTGTGTGTGTTTTTATGATATGTATTTTGGTAAAAAATAATTATACAACAAATATTATTCTTTCTATCTTTCTATATCTATATCTCCAGATGAGATGATTTGAGATTTCCGTCATTATGTTTACATTTATAAAAGTAGAATGACTTGTAATTAGAATCGATTCAATAAATTATTTATCTGTATAAGAAGTTCTGTAAAATAATTTTATTTTTTAACGCATATTTTTTTCGAAAATTGTCTTTCATAGAAGGCAAATTAACAATAACATATTATTAGAATAAGTGAATTTTATTACACGACAATTACAAACAAGTCAAACAAGTTAACAGTTAAGAAAATTTTTTATACTTAATAAATTATTTTCTTATTGTTTATTCTTTGCTTAATATTTTCTCATGTTTAAAACGTAATGCGCTAATATAGTATTTATTTACTATTAAAATACATGGAATGTATTTTAATAGTAAATAAATACACTTCTATATCTACTGACTCACATAATTAAGTACCTATAATAAAATTAAAGTAATGTCATGTATTATTTTAGAATAAATGATTTTATTAGGTAATTAGCAGATTTAGATTATTAAAAATAGTTTGAATTTCATTAACATGCACTTTATCATTGACATGCACTTTATTTGTACAAAATATAATTGAGTTGGATATAACTGACATTTTGTTGTTTATATTTCAATTATACATACCTACAATAAATCATTTTTCTAGAAATAAATTTGTGATGGAAAACACAGCTAGATATATTTATAATAATTAAATTAGAAATTATGCTGAATAATTTGTGACCTACTTATATATAAAGATATAAAAAATAAGAAAAATCACAGCTCAATAATTAATTTTCATACCCAAGAGTAAGTAATCTATTAACGAAAAGGAAGAAGAATATTGATACAATTTATAGAAACTTTAGAGGTTTTTATTTTAAAATTTTTCTTTTCGATGCTTTCCTTAACCTGAAGTTATTTCTTATTGAAATATTGTATTTATTTACTAGGTACTACTTATTAATGTTGTCGGTAGTTCTGCCATAGGCGAGTCTACCATAAGTAAATACATATACATCACAAATATTTGACACCTTTTGATTTAGGACATTTGTATGAACAACCGAAGTGACAAAAGTTAGTTAGCGAGTTAAGTAATGAATGTATAATTATGTACATTTCGCGCTGTCATTAAAATAGTTAACACGCTAAGTTGACCGAAGTAGAATAAGATTATCATGTAAGTATCTACATATTTTAAAAAAAATGTAAAATAAACCTTTTTATCCAGATAAAGAACATCTAATGAGATTTTAATATTCTGTATCACTATTTTACCACAAAATACTTAAATGGATTATTTATAATCAAATGAGCATATCAATACTATGTGAAGTGAAAACAATTATATGAAGTAAGCGTTCGAAGATATGGTATACGAGTAACGAATTCATAATTGGCCAATCTCTAACTCTACCTTTATAACTTTACTTTAAATATTAGATCACTAAATTCATTTGTACGTAACATTAGATACCTACCTATTAGAAGGATTTTTATGACCGAACTTTCTAATAGATTTGAATATGGAATAGTTACAATTTTATTTTGTAATTTAAAACAAATGATAATTGTAGATTTTGGATATGGAACTTATAAAAAGATTTAAACTCAAGGTGGTGTCGATGGTAAAGTCACGGGTGTAAAAACGCAACTAAGTGGTGCGTAAGTATACGGATTTAAAAGAGAATAGGCTTGCGGGGCGTGTCCGAAGATTTGTCCAGGGAATAATCCTTGCCGTTGTGCTATCTTCAAACGCGACGTGAGCTGTTTCTTCCATTTCGTTCTTCGATTTTGAAACCATGTCTTAATCTGAACTTCTGTTAATCCCAGCGCTTTAGATAATTCCATCCGTTTTGAGACACTAAGATATTTATCCAGTTTAAATTCAGCCTCTAGCCTTTCAAGTTGCTTTGCACTGTAAGCTTGTCGAGGTTTTCGTTCTGGACCCACACGTCGTGGTCTTCTATTACTTTTGTCATCTGTTAAAAAAATAAAAACATGATTACAGCATTATTACTTTTACCCTAAACTAGTAATATTATGAACGTGAAAGTTTGTGAGAATTGACGGATATGTCTAGTGAACGAATTCAAAGGGGCAGAGATAGATATCATTCAAAACTAACACATACGATACTGTTTGCCCGACTTCACGCTGGCATTGTCGCGGTATAAAAGTAGTATAAAATAATCTATTTTACATGTATCTTATGACTTAAATCATGTTAAACAAAGGTATGTAAAAAGTGCGCAACATTATAAAAGTACGCCCCCATTTACAAAGTAGCTGCTCTTGCTAAAAACAAATACCGGGTAAAGTTTTTTCGAGTACTAATCGGAATTGTCACAGGTTCTCGTTAAGTGGCTATAAACACAATCAGGCTGTTTGCGTTACGCCTGCGCAGTTTGACATCTCGCGTGTCAACACAGCATTGTGGCCGCTGTATGTATGATGGCCACGCTAACCGCTTGCTAACAATTTACGTAAGCGATTTACGAAAATACTTTTTACTATCAATTTTCATGGTTTTATTTACAGATTAATAAGGATATTGTATTATTAAAGTTTAGGATAGGTTATTGAAATGACGATCTGTAATGTACGGAACCTCTTTTCAATAAGATGAAACCAAAAACTATTAGAGACATTCATGTGTGTCTCTATAGAACCGCAAATATCTACTCCGAAACTGATAGTCTTTCCCCAGGGAACGTGAATAAAATTTCATTTTTTTAACCTTCGATACAGACTAAACACAGAATGTGGGTTAAAATGACATATTAAAAAATATTTTCTTTAGATAAAGTTGTTCAGCTTGCTAAGCATTTAGCTTAGTTCTAGCTTATACAATCCTCTGATATAAAAAGAAGAAAATAGTAACCTCATTAAATGTAGGCACGAATCTTTATTTCCTGAAATCTGACTTATGGTGTATATTTGAATTCTTGATAAAGTCCAAGAGTAAAAGAGTCTGCGTTAAGGCGGTGGACAAATATAAGAGCTTTGTTGGTCATTATCGTCGCAGCAGCTGTTTACCGTCACCTCGGTGCGAAGTCGCGACCACCGACCGACGGCTGGCGACAATTCGACGAATATATCCCGGGACTTATTGCACGAACTGTATCGCATTGTTGTTTCTACAGATTAGTATGAACTGTGAATATTCTTAAGTTTAACTTACTCTCTCGACATACAAATTTGCGCAGAATTTTTTGAAAAGCAAAAAATAATATTCATACTTTAATGACAAAATAGCACCCACATTAAATCAGGTTTTTTTGGTGGATGATAATGTAATAGTGATCCAATCTGCTCAAAATAAAATAAGCTAAGGTTAAGTTAAAGCTAACGCTGCAGACTTTAAACGGAAAATAAAAAGAGACAAATAATTGTTCACACTGCTATCGCACCAAAAATAATTTTCCAATTTGCCGACAATAATAATAATTATAATAGGAGTAGTAGTCACAATATGCTACTCCGTATACCTTGGAGGCATTATTATCATTACATTACATAGTATAAAATAAAGTCGCTGTCGCTGTCAGTCCCTATGTATGCTTAAATCTTTAAAACTACGCAACGGATTTTTAAGCGGTTTTTTAATAGATAGAGTGATTCAAGAGGAAGGTTTATATATATATAATACATGTACACCCGTGCGATGCCGGAGCGAGTAGCTAGTAATAAATAAATCTTTATTCTGCATTATTTAATTTAATATATATCTACTATTTTTCCCTTAACCTGTGCTTCTCAGCAAAGGACAGTAAGAATGAAATTATATTTACTATGTCGTCCTTAATCCTGCATTTCATATTCTGCAAAAAGATTCTTATCAATTTACGTCTCATGTTAATCTCGTACATTGGTGGGTAGTTGTTTAATAAATCACGGAACTAGATATTCAGCCATACGCTCGCCGTAGCAGTTATTTTTGCGAGTGTTACGGGCGTAAGTAAGTACAAAAGCAATTAATTAATAAAACTTCGATAAAGACCAATTTTGTTTTATTAGTACATTCGTACAAGCTTTGCAATGTATTTTTATTTTTTTTATATGGCTGTTGGAGGAATGTCACTGTATTTATGTGCTAAGTTGACATAGAAAATTTGAACTGTATGAAGACCTCCAAGCAATTCCCGGACATGACACGGTCACACTAATTTTATAGCCACTGGAATGCCATAGGTTGACGTATGATAAAACGCGTGTTCCAGATAGACTAACAAAATTGTCAATGGGTTCATGTATCAACAATTAGGACCTGTACAGACGAGAATACATAGAATGAACATTGATTTTGAATGTCCAAGAAGCAGGCTATGTTTAGGATTTCATACTAAAAACGTAAGAACCTTATGGTATCACAATTTCTGGTCTTTTTCTAAAAATTAAGCTTATGACGTCGTTGCACAGTGCAGCTAATCATTCAAACCAGATATTAAGTCGAAGTATTCTATTTGCACATATTTATCTATAATTAAAATTAGTTGTATATTATATATATGTATATTCATAATAATGTTTATACGTAAAATAAATAATAATTTATATCACTATTTGCTGAGGAACATAAATAAATTTATATTTTATATGAATAGGAAACTCTCAGTGTGTATATCCGGTTCTCATTCGATTGATTTCATTTCACTTTAGAAACAGCTTGTAGGATATAACAATTAATGTAATTCATTTAATTATTAGGACGCTTTTTGAGGACGTTGTAGCGTAGTAGTATAAGTACTACTGAGTTGTCAACTAGCGTGAGTACAAATTTGGCCGAAACTTTTCAATTTTATTGTTGTCTAACTTTTCATTGAAAAAAAACCGATAACCGATATAAAAAATAATACGAGAATCGGCGGTTAGCCCACATATATTAGATAGATATTAGATCTAAATATACCTAACTATGTGGGTATGTCCAGTGTTGGTAAATTACGTCGAAGTATAGATAAATTTCTAAATTTAAATAGATTCTTCTATAAGTATCTATTTATTGAGAAATATAGGGTAGAATAACGATTCATAATAAGAACAAGTAAATAAACGATAATTAATAATAGGATGAGAGGGATGATAGTCCAGTGGCACGGGATCACTGAAATCGCAATGAATACGAGGTGCCTCTTTTTAGTGAACTCGTGATAGTACACAAACACTAGGTACAATGTGACATTTTTAAAATGTGTGGTATTATATGTGTAGTTTGCAATAGGAAGTATCGCCCAGGCAAATAATATATGACCATTAATGTGAAAAGAATTTATTATTACTGAGGTATAGATAATTTGTAGTTCTTATTACAAATACAGGTTAAGCACACATTATATTAAATTCATCTTATAATAAAATCCTTCTATCTTACTTTTCTTGATTAGACTATTTTATTAAGAATATTGATATAATTATAATCTAGTAACCTGAAGTTTAAAATACTTATTGCTATTTCTTGCTTCTTGTTTAATTATAATAATTTATCATAATGTCCCTATTATTTTTCAGAAATAACCTTAAGTGCTTTAAACTAAATATTTACGAAATGTGGTAGTAGTTGTCTATTAACCTAAAATAGACAACCACTACCACATTTCGTGACTGGATCATCAGCTAGTTTGACATTTTAAGTTTTAAAAATGCTAAATAATTTATTATATTCATCACTCAAATCAACAATTTAGGGCGATAGGTGTTAATGCACAATGTCTGCCTAGGTTTATTATTGATATATTTTTCATAATATAGGGGTCAATAATGTGTAGAATTATGTACCTCGGCCGTAAGACTATTGCGTGCTCGACGCGTGCGAATATTTGCACCCTAGGCGAGATCACGCGATTACAACACATGCTATAGCGCTGTTATAGCCATCATCGTTACTGCTCTGGGGTGTCATGGTTAATTATCGCATTTGGGTTTATTAGTTCCCAATCTGTTTTATGTAATTAGAATGGGAAAATAAGCTACCGGCTCATCTGATGGCAAAGTAGTAACCGTCGTAATAATATCACGTTATGATGTGGTACCCGTGATACCACTCTTGCATTGTCATTGCCTGTCTGCTGTAATTCAACTATCTAATCTCACCCTACAATTAAAATACAGGTTACAAGTCAAGTTACTTGGCTGAAATGTTCAAAACTTTGGTACCCTCGCAGGCAATTTTTTACAAAGTTTACCTTGGATACAGTTGTTTAAATATTTAACCTTTTTTAAGTTCTAGTGGAAATTGTTTCTTTGGTAACTACGGCCTAGTAGTTGGAATTATTTAATGTACAATAATGAAATTAACGTTCGATAGGTCATTTTTGCCTTAGTAGTCTAATTGGCAATACAGACTCGAATAGATTCCGTTTTTTTCTTTGTTTCTAGTATCAGTTTCTGTGCTTGTATCTTGTAAAATCCTGGCTTGGTTGTATATATACTATATAATAAAATATAGCCGGTATCTACTGTGAGTAAAATAATCCTTACTAATTTATAAATTCAAAAGTAACTCCACCTGTCTTTTTCGCTTTCATGCAAAAACTACTGAACCGATTTAAACGAAATTTGGTACATATATAGGCTAGACCTTGAGAAGGGACGTAGCCTATGTCCCTTCTCTTTTAATGGTAAAAAAGAGCTGTAAGAGGCTGAAAAAGGTATGAAAAAAGTTTGTATGGAAGTATCGTCAATTTTAACTTGAAACTTATTTTTAGGCTGTTGTTTAAATATACATAAGTAAGACAATCAAAGTTTATTAAAATGTTACTCTTAAAGGGATAAAATAAAATAGGGCATGGAAGTTTGTATGGAAATTTATCTATATAATAGAATGATGACAGAACGAACCTTTTTCTTTTGGTTTTTTGAGTTAGATTATTGAATATTTTTTTCTCTATTTGGTTTAAGACACGCGAGCACAGCAAGTTTACTATAAATAAACTCGTACATATAGTGCCGCTATTCATTATCAAGCGACGAAATTGCTTGTATATTGTTCTAGTATATTTGTAATTTTACGTCGCTTAGATTAATTTAAGAATTTATTCATTCGTGTGGACAGTCCCACATGTCAATATGTTAATGATAAAAATTGACATTTTACACTTGTAGGACTCAGGTATCTGACCAAAATGACGCCATAATAGCTCCATCATTGCTCCTGGTTTAGGGCCGTGTACTATTTAAACTTTGTCGGTGACCACGTTCATGTCAATTATATATTTTACTAAATAGAATAAGAAGAATAGCTCTTGTATGTTTTCGTTTATTAATTTAGCAATTTTTCTTCTTCTTTTGAGTTTAGCACTGAATGAAAGATAGTATTAGAACTATTATATTATCGCAACTATTATTGAATACTATTAAAACAAGTATTAAATTTTTATATAAATATGCAAAAAATACATGGTTGTCTAAAATTTTGCTGTTTTTAATATTATTTTTTTAATAATTTATTGAGGTGTATCACTGGAATAAAGACAGAAGGAAAGAAGAATACAAGGAATAGTTTAATTTCCAAAAAAGCAAAAAAAAAATATTATTAATTACCATAGAATGTGGAGGGTTGATGTGAGGCCAACCATTGCGCATACGCATGACCAGCAAGTAGACCCGCCTCGTTGAGCGTGCCAAACTCCGCGCAAGTAGACGTTGATGACACTGTTAAAAAATAAAACTTTTTATACCTAGTTAGCGTCGTGACCTACTAGTTACTGCCCCCGACTTACAAGGTAAGGTTGTGACATCAAATCTAGTCAACACCAAGAAATAAAAAGTAAACTTTGTGTTTATGTTTTGTCTTCGACTTACTCTCCAGTCAAGACACCAGATTAAAAATCAACAATTACTATGAATTAATACTAGCTATTGTCATGTGTAGTCTTGCCTTCATATGACGTTCGTCGGCAACTGACACATGGACAGTCATAGTTGGAATAAACAAACGTGACGGTATTTCTTTGTTTAGTTAATTATAGTAATTATAAATGTGTACTAAACATGAGCAGCATCATGTCGTTACGATGCTTTGAATTCAATGCGTAGATATATATGTGTAAAGTAATATTTATTTAATTTTATTAAAAATGTCTTGATTATTCCACTTATAACGATGCCTTTGCAATAGAGCATTGAATGCTAAAACGCAGGTATTTTTTATACTTACCTCAGAAGTCAAAGACTTCATAAATACGTAGTACAAAATATGTGAAAAATAAATAATTATTATAACAATTACAGTGTCATGCCTCCCTACTCTGTAGTTTTACTGCATCTCATATTACCTATCAACTGAAACACGTCATACAAAAGCATGCTGCTTAGCAGTAGGAAGATGACTCTTAGATATGCTACTTCATGCGTGTTTAAATTGTACAACAATGGCATTTATATTTTACACGTAAATTCTCTTAGTTAGCATCAAAGACTTCTAATGTCTTTGAATCCTTGATTTATAGAAACTACAAGATTGTTAAACTATTTTTGATAGACAAAAATTTGTCTTTCACGTTATTATCACGGATGTTTGCATATTTCTTTATGACATATTTTCATACTGTATTGAATATGTAGGTGATAATGTCGCTGCTTGTGTATGCAATATTAAGAATATTACAGGAAGATACTCTAAGCAATATCAATTCTTTTAAAAAACGATAGTTCAGCTCTTCAAAGTTGTCTTTGTAAGATGTGCTTCGGAGGCAGGTTCTTAGGATTGGGCATGAATGGGTTCTACTGGTACGCGACAATGTATATTCCGTGGTGCTATTATTTATATAGGCGACGGTTGCAACTTACCATCAGGTGGTCCGTCACCTTGTTTGCAGTTTCAGTTACATACATTAAAAAAAGTTGAACCACTTAAGAGAAAAACTAAAAATGACGTGAGAAATAGCGATTGTTAAAGAATATATGAATTTACAGAAAAAATTTCATAGTAATGGATATTTTTTTAAAGTAATTGAATGAGTGTATTGGTAATAAAAATTATAAAAAAATCGAAAGTAAATTAATTAAGCACATGTACTTGTTCACAGATGCGGTGTTTTTTACATCGCTAATATCGTCTTTTTAAGGTATTATTGGTTTACCTATCATTAGTGCACTTACTTTTTTTTACTCTCTGCAATCAATTACTAAGTCACTTGATAGCATTGCATCTGTTTAATGCATATACCTATTGTATTTTGGGTATAGATGCATATAGTATAATATTTATATTATTTAATGTAATAATGTTAAATATTTCTTTTAATATAAAGCATACTTTATAAAATAATCTCCGTCGAATTTTAGATGCAATCAATCATATTTAGTAAATTAAATAATAAAAATACTAATGTCCAATAAGTCTCTGTATGTAATGTGCATGTTTATATATTTGTGAACATTTAAATTACTCACCATTATGCTCGTCAGCATTTTCACCAAAAGTGGTGCTGTCATCCTGATCCGAACAATCGTGTATCCGAGATGTATTATTTTTGGTATTTCCTAATAAATTATCTATGAGAAAAGTTTTACTTTTACCATTTATTACACTATTCATTGAGTCTCTTACACTACTGTGGGTTGATTCGCTATTACCATAAATATTCCTTTGACTATTAAGAAATTTTGTTGGAAATATTACTCTACTTTCGATAAAGCAACCTCTGTCTGCACTTGTATAGGGAGTGGGTGTATTTTGATTTTTATCACTAAAACGACCGATTGAATTAACACTGTTCTCACAGATAACATCAATAGTTTCATTTTCACTGTCATATTCAGTTTCAGTTTCACAGTCGTAGGCAGTCTTCCCGATATTACATACATCACTAGATTTTTCTTTTATTTCGATTCCAGATTCATTTTCGCAAGTACTTGATATATCCTCTAATACGTCCATTTTTATGAAAACTTTATTTAACACTTTTATTATATTCTTATTATTTACATTTTATTTTAAAAATACGTAAGAAAAATATAAGACAACGCCCGAGAAAGTTATTGCAATGCTACTAATACTAGTTGAACTTCGGAGATTGTTGCAAACTGATGATTGCTTTTGAAAATAGGTGGTGCCGCTCTGATTGTAGGTATGAACAAGATGAGCTACTTCAACGCTACTGGCTGGTAAACGGTCGGAGGGGATAACGCCATCTTAAGTAGGTGGGGCTTCGACAACCGCCTGTGAGAATTCACACCTTTCTTTTATTTGATAACACGTTATGTCAGGGCTCTTTACCACACAAAGGATCTCTAAAAGCTTATGATGAGATCGGATCGAATTGCCCCTAGCTCATTGTTGATCATGTCTCTGATTTAAGTGATTTATTGTTAGCTATGTTATCGAATGTATAAATAAAGGGTTATTACTAACAAGTGTAAATATTTAGGTACGCATACTAAATAGATAATATTACATCATGTATTCAAATTTGCATTATATTGTTATTGTTACTCTATAAAAGGGAAAAAGGACTTTATTGCTTAATGTACAATTAAGTACGGAATTGGAATCCCGTCTCGCACATACTCGCACTTAAGCAATTCATTATATAGGTAGATATTGTTCATAAAAAATGGCCATACACTAATAATTGGTGGGGGAATCTATTTATCAATATTTTTTTACTGCCGTTTATAATAATTTATTTATTATCAATATATGTTACACTAATAAAGGTCTTCACCATTGTTGTCCATGTTTCCCTTTTACAAGAATATTTAAAACAAAATATGCTCAACAAATTTCCAATGCTCAATATGGGTCTCTTTTTCAAAAAGAAGGATATTAGTCTTCTCCGTATAATGATATAACTGATGATAAATATAATATATGAGAATAACGTAACGTAAGGAATTGTGATGGTCAGACAGTTTATTATAGATTATCGATTTCAGCTTTTTCCTTCACTCTTACTGATGATATGCTAAATTTATCATAGTTTCTTCTCACATTATATTGTTTGAAAAACAGTGCTGATACAAAAAGATATCTATCTAAATAATCTCAATGATAAAATGTCGCCACAAATACAATCTAAAGAAATAGAAGGCATTTCTATTTCAGAAATGTCTCTCCTGTAAATATATATATATATACTTTCATTGCTAAAACATATAGGTTTCGCCAAATTAGCTTATATAATGTTTCCACAGTGTTAGAAGCGTTAAGAAATCAAAAATATGTGTCAGAGACAATATTTTTGATTTCGAAATTTAGAAAAATTTAGAAACATCACCTAATTTCTACCTTATCCAATCCTTACCTATACCTATCCTTAAAAAATAGCCCATAAGTTACTTTAAAATACGATCGATGTGTACAACGTATTTTATTACAATTCATCTTATTATTTTAGCATACATTTCCATATTACATTTCATATTTTCACATTTATAATATGGAAATATATCTGAAGGTAATGAGGTAGGTACCTAATTAAATCATCGACACTTACAAAATGTTAACTACGAAATTACCTAGTAAAATATATTGTATATAAATGAATATGCATTTATGTAGTTTACCAGATATATTTAATTGGTGGCATTAGAGCGTTCAAATACAGATTTATTATTTGAAACTGTGGTTACAGTCTCCTAAATGGTGACCGCCGCTATACCTACTTGTTGCTAACTACAATATATTCACATCTTTATTGTAATTCTATAACAAAGATCCTTAGTGACTTCGAATAAATTTGGCAGATTTCAAGAAATTAGTACCGATACAAAAAAGTATACATAATTGAAAATCCGGGATAAATATTTACAACAAAAATTATTTCGTCTCCTTTTTTTATCTTACTATAGCCGTTACGATTTTATTAAATATAATGATAATATTATTGTAGGGGTTGATCCGCTGTGTAAATAATAGGAAATAATAAAGGTAAAATAGACAGATTTTACTTGTTTTATTTGTTACAAGTCCAATAATGCAATGTGTAAAAAACCAACGAAAGAAGAGAAAACACTTTTTACTATTTTTTTTAAATACGAATTTTTTTTATGTTTCATAAAAATTTAACTTTTATTTACATAACTGAATTGTACAACTAACAACCTAAAATTAAAAAGCTTAAAAAATATAATATAATAACTAAAATATATTATTAAAAGGGTCCCTTTAAGCAAAGTTCCGAAGATACTGGCAGCGTTACCTCTTTGAATGGCTAGACTAATTCTTTGTCCAAGGTAGCTGCCAGCTCTTCGGTCTTCTGTGATATCGAATAACCTTTTCGTTATTTCTTTGAAAAGTCTTATAGCGCTAGGACCTACACCGAATGGGACAAAAGCATATTCGGAGCCTAGGCCCCTGTATTTAGCGGCTTTTTCAGCCGCTTCACACGCCGCACCAGCTCTGTTGTTGGTTCCATGTAGATGGGATGGGGCCAGCGTGTCTGAACAAGTTGCATCTCATACCAGCACTCGGCCCATTTTCCATGGAATCAAACTACCATCGAGTCTCTTGCCATCGTCTCTTGTAATACCAGTCGGCTCAAGTAGACTTGGCACGTTGACGGTGGCAAAGGACCGGAGTATGATATCGTTAAGTGCGGAGTGTCTCGAGAAACGACCTGCACTTTTTTGGCATGACAGTCCGTGATGTCCTAGTTTGTCGACATCACTACCACAGGGACATTTGTGAGGAGCGCAGACCGGAACTT